AATGATAAACAAAAGTGTTGTGGGAGTAAACAACAACAACAACAACAACGACAACAACAAATTCATGAAAGGTTTTCAAATGAAGTTTTTCCATTCCCATCTTTATTGTTATGCACTCCAGCAGTGAATATTCATAAATTCATAGAGCCAAAATTTACATGGTTGAATGGTTGATATGCTATCGGTGTGATTATAAAAAACAACTCAACCAACCAAATCGACCAACCAACCAATCGAATAAACAAAAAAAAATGGTAAATAAAAATGGATGGTATTCACATCCATTTTCCATGTGGATAATTTAAATGTGACATAAATAATGTCTTCATCATCATTTGAAAATTAGAATAAAATAAGCTGTCCATCATCATTTCGGACATCACTGAATAAATAAATAAAAGATGAGATGAGAATTTTTTTTTTTTTTTATGATGTGTTAAAGAGTGTATTCTTTGTACTTTTCAAGTTGTTTTTTTTATGAAAATATAACCGGAAAAAAATTCTCAAAAACTTCCGGTGTATATATCAAACATCAATTTAGACAAAATTTCTTTTTTTTCATTGCTAAATATAGTCGTCATCGTCGTCGTTCATTCATTCATTTATTATCTGTTATGTAATGGATAGATAGCAAAACAACAACAACAAAAAAATCAAGAATGAAATAGAGCGAAAAACAATGCCAAATATTTTTAAACATTTTCAGTATTTACAAGATATAAACAAAACAACACGACACATTTCGACACTTGTTGCACATAGATATATACAACAAAACCAAACAGGTTGACAACAAGACAAGATAAAAACACTTGAAACAACAACAACAACAAGCGAAAATTATTATTTTTTTTTGGGAAATTGTTGTCGAACAATAACAACAACGACAACAAAAATAATCGACAAGATAAAATGAAATGAAATTGTGGAAAAAAAATGAAATTTGAAATTTCACAATTGAAATTTTTCATATAAAAATACTGTACTTTTGATTCGATTTGATTGAATCGATCATCAGATGATTGAATCATATGAAGAGAAAAAAAAATTTTTTGGGAAAATTTTTTGAAAATATACCCGCCATGTATATAATTATCAGGTTTATATATTATCATCATCATCATCATCATGATAGTATCATCAACATGGTTGAATATGATAGTGATGATGACCTGACACACACACAAACATATGTGGCCCATAGGTCATCATCATCATCATCATCTTTGACATATGAACTTTTAACTTTCATAAATAATATGAAATTGATCCCTATAGGAATCTATCATATCATCTCATCTTATATTATCTTTTCCACCTGGCATTCATATACAACAACAACAACAACAAAAAAATATTTACGAAACAGGATCTTTTTTTTCTTGCTGGGGTTATAATTTTTTTTTCTTTCTGTTTTCATATTATCTATGATGATGATGGTGGTGGTTGATCATTTTATTATCAATGAAGAAAAAAATGAGAAAGAGCTAGAGAGAGAGAGAGAGAGAGAATCAACCTTTGAATCAAGAATAATGGTAAAGCAAAAAAGTATTCAAAAAAATCAAAATAAACAGAAAAAAAGCTATTACAATGACCACCAGTTTCGTGGAATGGAATGGAATCGTCAAAACAACAACAACGAAAAAAAAGTCAAAGTCAAACGCATGCCGAGATGAGTAAACAGACAAACAAATGAACAAATTGATGATCAGAATTTTCGGCTTTTTTATTCATTCATTCATTCTCAAGCTTCTGATTCATAAACAACAACAACGAAAAAAAAACCTGAAAATTATTCATCAATGATAATGTTGATTCTTACCACCTAGGGCCAATGTAAACGGTTTCCGTACATTGTTCATCATAATAGTTACAATAACACAATTTCTTTATTGTTCTATATAGATGATCATTTGGCAAAATGTAGGGCAATCAATCAAATCAAACAAACAGCAACAACAAAATGAACAATTCTATTAAGGTAGATAAAATAATAACATTCCACATTATTATCATTCATTGACAAGAAGATATGGATAGAAATGTGTAGATTTCAAACCAATATCAACAACAACAACACCATGTGTTGACTGTCAATTATTTTTTCTTTTTTTTTTTTGAATTCCATTTTAAATTGACCATAAGGTCAAGGTGGCTGACTGGCTAGCTAACAATTTTAGTTTGTCGACATTAAAAAAGGGGTTGTTGATTGTCGGCGGCTAGCAAGAATGAAGAAAAAAAACTAGCGATCCAATTGTTCGTATGAACAGTAGTAGTAAAGACAAGGTGATAACGACGAAAACAAGGTCGTCGAATGGTACCAGTGAAAAAAAATGGACAGGCCATCACATAGACAGACACAGACTAACACACATACACACACACAGATGTGGACATTCGACACGAGCCATGAAACAACTACCGTCCAGGTAGTTTGTTCCAAAAAAGAAAAAGAGAAAAAAAATCCAGGTGAACCAACAAACCTAGCTAACACAACCTAAAGCGGTAAAGACACCTTTATGACCCATACAACAACAACAACAACAACAGATGACAGTCATGACCATCAATGAAATGAAATGAGAGAAGAAAAAAAAAAATATGTCAATAAAACATAACTACGAATAATGATTCGAATGAATGAATGAATGAATGGATTGAAATGATTTGAATGAAATTGTTCAAATTTAGATAAAACACACATTTGGCTCAACAAAACATACACACACACACACACATATGGCGTGGGAGTAAAGCAACAACAACAAAAAAGAAAAAAAAAATAAGAAAAAGAAAGTTTCAGGAAATTCAAATACATTTCATTTCATTCATTGAAAATATTTAAATGATCAACCTTGATATAACCATTTGAATGATATTCTTCAACTTGATCATTATGAATCATCATCATCATCAATTTATGGTAACATGACAATCATCTCGTCGTTGTCTTCGTTGTCATTTGGCTTTAAAACATGATCAAAGATAAAAATCATTTGTTTCTATAAAAAAAAAAGATCATATTTTTGAAATTTGATCATCATGTCAAACTTAATGATATTTAGTTCAAAACAAGAAAAAAAGTTTTTCAACTTGAAACAAACAAAAAATGCCATGAGATTCTACAATGATCATGATGTCAGACGATTCTATCCACCACCACCACACACACACACACAAACGTCCTTTTCCCATTATTTAACTATCAAATTCAAAACTTGAGAAAAAACCGGAAATATAAACCATGTTTATTTTATTTTGTTTGTTTGTTTTTCAAGTGGGCAAAAAAAAACAAACAAAAAACAAAATCCAATTACAGATACAACCAGCTACTGTTTTTTCCAATCTGATATTTTTGCAAAATGAAAAAATTGAAAATGATTCATGGTTTTTTTTCTGTATCCAGGTAACCATGTAATAATCATCAAACGAACAACATTGAAAACATTTGATTTGATTTTTTACATTCAGAAAAAAAAATCAACCACACACACACACACACAAAACAAATACATACATTTTCCTAATGGCTAAAGCCATGACATAGATTGAAATGGAAAGAAAAAAAATTTTTTTTTTCACATTTACTTGATGAATATGATGATGAAAGATGATGATGATGATGATAACGTGTCATCATCGTCGTCATCGATAATGATAATATCAACCAGTGTATATGTGGATTTGTAAGCTTAAAAACAAACAAAACAAGCAAAAAAAAAAAAATCATCGAATGAGTGAAAACGAAAACAAAAACATTCAAGTTACCTCGACAACCTCGATCATGACAACCGATATTTTTTGTTCGTTCGTTCGTTTGTTCGTTGTTTTGGTTTTTTTTGGATCAAAATTAAAATAAACAAGAAAAAAAAATTCTTCAGTTAATCTTATAATATGCATATAGAAACACCAATGTTCATTTCAAATTGTAAATGTGTTTGAATGTCAAAAAATGTAAATAAAATTTTGAATAAATTATCAAACAGGCTAAACAAATAGACAACTTGTTTGCATGCATGAATTTCATCTTCATCATCATCATCATTTTAACTACCAATGATGAATTGTTTGGTTTGTTGAATTATCCATGAATTTTTCAATACATAAATGTTTGATGTGTAAGGATTCTCTCAGGTGAAGGGAGAAGGAAGAAAGAAAAAATATTATGGAAATCAATGTGTCAATGTTGTCTAAACAAATGAAACAAGAAAAAAACAACATCATTTTGGTTTCAAATGAACAATGAAATGGAAGCCAATGGAATGGAATTATCAAAAAAAAATATGAATGTATATCATTATGGCATACCATATGAATAGAGACATGAAAATCCAAATTTCAATTCATATGCTCAAATTCGGTTATTATCAATATATTCAATGGATAATTGGCCTTATTTATTATGGCTTCATATGGATAATGATAATTTCAATGTGATATCATCATCATCAAAGGGAAAAAATTTTTGTTTGCTCATTATTGCTTATATTGCTAGAAACCACCACCATTTCATTATTACCTATAGGGGAAGAAAAATTATCATTTTCATTGTTTTGTGGATACCAACAAAATGATAATAAAATATCAATATCAATATATGTTTGACTGGTTCACGATTTGAAAATGAGAAACCAACAGAACAAGGAAAGATTCGATGTCGACAAACAGTACCCGAAACGGCAATCAATTTGATTGTTTTTATTTTGTGTTTGTTGTTGTTGTTGTGTCATAGTTGTTTGTTTCATCATCTATTTGTTTGATGATGAATGGATTGTTGCATATTTTAAATGATGATGATGATCATTCACAATGAATGAAAGGTAATCATCATTCAAATTGAAATAATGTCAATTTGATTCTATCGGTTTTTTTGTATCTGATCAAATAAAGAATAAATCTTTTTACCTGATCCTGTATGAATCAAATTATCTATGTGGATGTACGATACTATCGATTGTTTTGAATCGAATAATCGAACGAATGTGACCAAAAAAACTAACCTTTTTTGTTGTTAAGGATTCGAAATTTCGAAATTAATATTGACGACAACAACAACAAAAAATGATGATGATGATGATGATGAATGGATTGAACACAATAATAACGACAGCAAAATAAAAAATGATGATGAATTTAAATTATGAATAGATTATGAATTTGATAAAAGCCAATGACAACAACGACAACAACAACAAAAAAAATCCACAATAAAAACATTGATACAATGAAGAAAAATGGATTCACTTTCAATACACAACACACACAGTGATTTTGTAGATAACAAATTGTTGTCGTTTAGTAGTTTGTCGATGATGATGATGATGATGATGAAGATTATGATGATGAAGATTTGCAAGGACAAAATCAAAATTAAATGCACATACACACACACACACACAGACATACACAGAAAGGTGAAATGATGAAAATTCAATAGCGAAAAAATATTCAACACAATGTAGACTGCCAACAAGAATCGAATGGCAGCAGCAACAAAAAAAAAACAAACTGATTCTATCGATTTGAAAGAAAATTTTTCAAGATTAATTGATTGCGATCAAAACAGAAATCATTTTGGCCATTCTTTTGGGTAATTGATAATCAAAAAAAAAAAAACATTCAATTGTTTGATTGATGATGAATGAATGAGGATTTTTTTTCAATTAACAATTTTGACTCGTTGACATGTCACACGAAAACAGACACAAAAAGGTAATAATTTCGAAAAGATTTCCTTTTTCGTTTTTTTGTTTACAGTGTATGAAATTCGAGAATTCGATGATTTTGAAAATTAAACCTGTCGAATATGAATGAATGTATGAAAAATAGAATTTTCAACAGGAAAATTGATGAAGATGATGAAATTTGGTTTTTATTTTTTGTTTCAATTAAATTTTTGAAATTTGATTAATTTTTTTTTGACGAATCGTTGGTTCACGGATGAACAAAAAGGTGACATCACTTACATGATCCAATGATCATCATTACATGACGGATAACAATTTGAAACTGATCATCATCATCATCAATGAACGGACAATTGGAAAAAGAAGAGAAACGTTTATAAAAGAGAAAAAAGAGAGAGAATGAAAAACGAAATAGAGATATATGAAGAAAAAGGCGGTAATTATTAGTTTGTAGTAGTAGCACATAATTTTCAATCATCAAATTCGACCGAACATAGAGTTCAATTCAGTATATTTACTTGCTACTACTGTGTGTGTGTGTATACTACATAACATTAGATCAATAGGCAATAGGTTATATGTGCTATTAGCAGTTGTTGTAGGTAGGTATTTTTAATAGGTAAAATAATAATGGCGCGCAAATTCAAAAAGAAAAGAAAAAAAAATTCGAAAATAGATCATCAACCCTCGATTTTTTTTTTTGGTTTATTTTTGTCGATCATCATCATGTCTAAATAGTTACCACTCATTGAAATCTAGTTTTTTTTTATTTGATTTGATTTGATTTGATTTGATTCGATTTGACTTTACCTCACACCTGATACGATTTGATACGAAAGCCATTCCATTATAAATAAATTTATGACGTTCAGAAGATCAGATGGCCTCCAAATATTAACACTTTTATCGCCTAAAAAAAATGATGATGAAAATTTTTCATTTAATCCGATGATGATGATGATGATGATGATGACAAATACCGGGCGTGTTTTTTTTTTGGGAAAATTTTTTTTTTTTCCCAATCAAATAAAGATCGCACCCGAAATGTCCGAATCATTAATCGTCTAATTTAAACGTGAAAGGTAATGGTAAAGATTAAAATCCAATGATGATAATGATCAAAAAGAGGAGAAACAATCGTGTGTTGAGAGAGAAAAAAAAAATTAGACAATCATTTCCGCCCGTCATTTATTGAACAACATCGATTCGAATTTGATTCATCAGTCAATCGATATGATTTAGATTAAATTCAGCTTCATATCATATAATATAAACAAAATAAAGCCATAAAAAAAGGGTTGTCTGATGATGATTTTGGCCATATATAATAATTAATGATGAATTGAATGAAAACTATGACTATCGATTCAAACAATCGATTATGCTGTCCATCCAATTTGGATATATGCATTCGAAAACGAATATACAGACAAGACATGGGGGGCATGACAAGTCTGAAAAAAAGTTATTAATAAACAAAACAAAACAAAACAAAAAAAAATCGCAGACAAACAAGAAAAACAAACTATAAAAAAAATTAATGAAAATAAAAATAGTGCCAAAAGGATTCAACGACGACGATGACGCTTGTTTTTTTCTTTTTCTTCAAGAAAATTTCTCCACTACATATCCGGATTTCAACGATTGAAGACAACAAAAAAAACTTGCATTTTCATCTTCATTACTCAATTTGTAAAAAATTTTCTTCATTAATTAATCAATTGATGATGATCATTTGCAAAAATGTTTTTTTTCGCCGTTTTCGTCAAATTGGACAACACCCCTGTGATTTAAAATTTTGTTTTTATCACCACCACCACCAGTAACCATTATCATTGTTCAACCAAACGAAACAATGGCAGAAGATATTCATTCGAATAACACAAACAATCAATCAACGAAAGAACCGAGTGTCGAAAATGAACCGAAATGGTTATTTTCATTTCATTTCAGTTAGTTGTTGTTCATTTTTTAATTTACCGTTTTTTTTTCTAAAATTTTTCTATTTTACAACCAAAAAAAATCGACCACACATTCACTAAAATGCACTCATTCAGCATTCAGATATTGTGTTGTTTTTTTTCGGCCAAAAATAGACCGGTGATTAGCTACCGAATGCCAACCACAACAAGCAAACAACGTAATGGTAAATATATTGCCATTGATTGATTTTTGATATTAATTTTTTTTTTTTTTTTTTTTTTATTTTACAGCCAAAATTAAAAATAAAAATCGAATCAAATCCGTCTAGATTCGATCCATCAAATGTAATCAAAAAAAAAAAAAAATTTTGAAGTTTTTTTTTCTTTTCAGCCCATTCAATCGGTCTGTAAAATTTTTTTTTCTATGGGGGTTGTTTCATTTTTATCTATGAAAAGCTGTCAACCTTCTGGATATGTGTGTAACGTGTGATGCTGGTTAAAGATCATTGATGATGGTGATGGTGATCAGATGATGAGGAGATTAGATTGCGTAGTGGATAAAAGCGAAAACGTGTTTTATTTTCATGTGTGTCTGAGTGTTAGTGAATCGATCAAATCGATAGACCCAAAGTAAGTAGTGAAAACAACGACAACAACAACAACAACAACCGCAACAATCTATTATTGATTGAATAAGATACTTGATATGAAAAATTTCGGCTTTTGTTATTGCGTAGGACCTAGATCTAAGCTTTCGTTCATTTTTTTTTTTTTTTTTTTGCAAACATTTGTTCCAATTGATTTTGATTACGTTTTTTTTCTCTCTTTTTTTTTCTTTCTACCCTACGATCGTGGTCAATTCAATTCAATACAATACACACACACACACACACACACACACACACACACAACCAACAAGCTTATTGAAGCGGATTGAATGGACTTTGTATGCATGTGATAAGCTGTTATGATGATGATCATCATCATCATCTTTGATTCGAAATATTTGTGTTCGTGTAACACAATCGTAATTTGTGTGGTTTGTTATTATTATTTTAATGAAAAAACCGGAAATGATTTGTCCCCTTCTCATTTTTTGTTTTGATCCATTTGGTTTATGGTCCAAACTGTGTGTGTGTGTGTGTCATATCGCTTTTTTTGGGACTAGCTTAATCAAAATTTAAATTCACAATTCCAATGTAAATTGCTTAATATTGTTGATAGAAAATGCTTTTTCACTCTTTGAGCATCAAATTTTTTTCCCATTTTTCATCATCATCATCATCATCAGCCTCCATTCATTCAATTTGATCATCATTCAATAATGGTTGTTGTTTGTCAAATAATCGACATATGGTTTCGTCGTCGTCGTCGTCGTCATCATCATCATCAATAAACCAATGATTGTCAAAACAATCATTTTGGGCTGGTTCTTTTTTTTGTTATTGTTTCTGGATCATCATCATGATAAACACACACACACACAGTATGATGTTCATCAGTATCCGATCAATTATTCATCAACGAAAAACACAAATTTCACATTATACTATCTCTTATCCATTATCTAAATCAATCTATATCTAGCCCATTGAATTAAAAACACGTTCTGTATATAAAAAAAAAAAAAATGAGACAACCCACCTCCCCAAAAGCAAATGTTTACGACCTTGGGGCCACGTGTCTTATCATCATCATCACCATCACCATCAATTGTCATTAAGATGAAACATGGTTTTTTTCAGGCAACGAAAAAAAAACCCGACCAGTGAAGATTAAATGGGCTAGAATTGGATTTAGATTTTTTTTTCTTCAAGTACATCATCATCGAATTAAATTGTGGTTAATCATTTCCGGTTTTTTTTCATCGTTTTCTTTTTCAACAACCAACGGATAAAAACTTATTTGAGATGAAAATTTAAAATGAATGGAAATTTTTTTTCATTTTCGGTATCACCACCATCACCATCATCATCATCATCATCATCATCTCATCACTAAGCCGGTCAAACATTATCGGTGATATATATTCACAGCAGCATCATGGTGGTCATCATCGTTCATCGTTTTTTTTTGTTGAACTTCCACCAATCGTTTGCCGGCATGTATGAATCAAACGGTTAATTAATTGGATTCAATGCTGCAAAATTTCACAGTATCATCACCATCTTCATCAGGTTTTTCTTCCCCACTACTACCTGGCCATGAAATTTGATTGCGAATGAAAAAAAAAAATGAAATTTTCAATTTGGAGTTAATCAGAAAAATTTTTTTTTTCACAAACATACGTGATTAATGTCATACACAAAAGTGACACACATGTCAAAAGGTTGAATGTTATTTTTCACACATGTATCTCTTCTTTTCTTTGAAATCAAATAACAACAACAACAACAACAACAACAACAAAATATCCAATGCCAATGTTCATTTGGAAACAAAAATTCAATGATGATTCAAGTGAAAATGTCCATTTGATGAACATCAATCTTGAGTGTGATAATGATCATCATCATCATCATTGGATTATCATCGATTAAAATGCAATAATTATCATCATTATCAATGGAAATAAAGTGTTATGTTTTGTTGAAATTTGTTGAAATCAAACATGATTGATGAATTTGTTCGAATGTTAATTTATGAATTAAAAACTTTTCGTTTTTCTCTTTTCTCTGTCATTGGCTTTATACACACACACACACACACACGCGAATGTGGTAACACAATGTTGTCAAACAAGGTATAAAAGAATTTGCAATTTGTTGTTGAAAATAATTGGAATAAAATTGATTTAACAAGCTGTTAATTCCAAGAAATAAGTGAACAATTTGTAGGTGTGTGTGTGTGTGTGTGTGTAAGTGTGAAATTTGTGTTCCATTAAGTGCTCCATTTTCCAAATATGATGAAAAGATTCTATATAGATCAAATTTATTCGTTTTGTCGTTTTTTTTCATTCATTCATTCATTCATTTATCCAAAACAGAAAAAAAATGGTCATAAACAAACAAAAATGAAAAAAAATAATGACATTTTTATTCATTGAACCAAACACAGGATATTCATTCAACGGAATCATCCCATTAAATTAACCACAATAGAAGCAGTGGTGGTGGGTGGTGGTGGTGGTGGAAAAAAGGTGACAAATTTCAAATAATAAACCTTTTTTCATCATTATATTGACCCATGGTCAATATAATAATAATAATAATAATAATACAACAACAACAACAAAAAAAGTGGCCTAAATGATGATCAATTTGAATCAAATCGACCGGATCAAATATAGAATCGTTGAATAGGTTTTAGAGGTGATGGTGGATTTTTGTTTTTTTTTTCATTTGGTAATCGATATTTATCACCATTGGATAGGAAAATTTATTCATAATAATAACCAAAAATAAACTAATCAAACACATGCATTTAATACCATATATAGTGTGTGTTTTATGACCATTGGGCCCTGGTTTTTATATCCATTTGGCCGTGTGTGTGTGTATGTCCCTGTGTGTGTACAACAGACAGATGGTCGATCGACAACAGATCAGGAAGACTATGTCCTGGTTGTGGATCGATCCAGGTTTCAATTTTTTTTCTTCTTTCTGGACCAAACAAAACATAAAAGCCTTATATATATACGGTTATGTCATGTCATGTCATGTGATTATTAAGGTTAATTTATGACAATGGATTGATTTTCAGTGGATCGATCCAAGGAAAATAAAAAAAAATAAAAATTAAACAAACAAACACATGTATTACATATCGAATATCTTCATATTAGTAAAAATAAACAATGAAATGAATGAATGAATGAATGAATGAATAAGGATATGGCGTCGGATTTTCTTTTTTTTTCATTTATTTACCCGATAACAACGACAACAACATAACGGATATTTGATTACAACACAATGCAATGTATTGAATATCCGATAACATTACATGACCACCACCACCACCACCAAACAAACACGTGTTCATTTTTTATATGATAAACAGAATCATCATCATTATTAATGACGTTTATTATATTCATGTTGACCATTGGAAAATAAACATTGGATGGATCCAAAAAAAAAAAAAAAAAAAATCAATGAATAAACAATCATGGAGAAAAAGCCAGAAAATAAATACCGGATCAAACATGTGTGTGAATATAACAACAGATTTAATATATGAAAAAAAAAATCTGGTTCGGTCAATTCTGGAGAATATTCATCTACATTGAAATCATGTCTGTGCATACATTGTATGACAAAAAAAATATAAATCAAGGACTTATTCTATGAACGAATTTCATAGATTTATTCATTGCATACGTTTGGCTGATTATTGATTTTTGTAGTTGTTGATCTAGGAAATCCATGAAAAAAAATCAATGCTGATCAATATAATGATAATAATATGATGATGATGATGATGGATCAATTAAATTCAAGTAAAAAAAAATCACTGTAATCGAAATTGAAAATGAAAATGTAATAATTTGATTAATGGTGATGAAAAAATGATTCGTGACCAATTTGATGATTTTCATATCAAACATGATGATCTGTATATACAGTTCTGTGTTCAGTGCTGCAATTTATTGAGAGAGATCAATAGAGAAATAAACGTGGCCATCAATGGAAATCAATAATCATTAACATTAAACGAAATTATTAGAGAAATTGAATTTCAGATTACTGTAGCAACAATTTGTGGTTTTTAATTTTGTTTTGTTTTGTTTTTTTTTTTGACCAAGCCAAACAAAATTGCACGATGTTGCACCATCCATAATAATGATAATTATTATGAAATTGTTTTTGGGAAAAATCTGGACAATGGCGATATATATGTTTTTTTTTATTTCATTTCGTTTGCTGAATGTGTGTGTGTGTGTGTATAATTATCACCTAAAAATTTTCATTAAAAAAAGGTGTGCCACAAAAAAAATTGATGATGATGGACCACAGTATTATATCTGTGAAAAAAAATCAAGTGATGATTATCAAAATTTTTTGATTGATTGATTGATTGATCAATCGATGCATAGTGTCATGTGTGTGTTGTAACATTAATAATCAATGAACATAGATGTCGCTCTCAGCAGCAAAAAAAAATTTTTTTTTTCAAAATAAACATTCGAAATGACAAACGATTGGAATTTCGACTTTTAGTTTTTTTTCACATTTTTGGTTTTGTTTTGTTTTGTTTTGTTTTTTTCCAATCATTTCTGGGTATTTTTCTTTTCTTTCTTTCATTTATAATCATATTATCATCATCATCATTATCATCCACCAACAGCACACACAAAATAGAACGATGCTGTCAAATCGTTTGTTTGTTTGTTTGTTTTTTATTTATTTTTGTTGTTTCATTTCAAAATTTATTCGTTATGCGTATTCGTATTTGTTATCATCATCATCATTATTATTATTATTTCATAACAAGATAATCAGAATGCAATGATTATCGAATGTTCCGGAGAAAAAATTGGTTCACGATTATTATGGCTGCCATATTTCAGCACATGATCATCATCATCATCATCATCATCATCATCAACATCATAATGATAATAATAATAACGATATAATATATAATATATTGTGATGTGATTTGTTGAAAACTTTATTGCCATTGATGTTGATATATATAAATCCATGTTTGTGTTGATAATGATGATGATGATTTTAAATGTATTGCAATGATAATGATAATGATCATTATTTATATACCACTACCAAATATACCATTTAAAAAAGAAACTTTGATGATAATAAGGATGATGATTGGTGATCATCATTGTATGAATATCCAAATTAGGTGTGTGTGTGTATAACATGAACATAAAAAAAATTTTGTTCTCGTTACGTAGTGTTTATCGAGATTGCTCTCAATCATTTTTTTTTCTTCATAAAAAAAAATTTCTTTTTCACTCAATTTGCACTTAAAATTGAAATCTTGATAAATCATTAAATGATATATTGTAATGTCCATTTTCAAATGATCCAAATGAATATTTAGGAATTTTTTTTTGTTGTCCATTCAATAAATGATTGTTGATCATCATCATCATCGGATCAATTGACCAAATGATGATAGACTTGTTGAGAATGACATGAATATTAGATAAGAACAGAGTGTCAAAGGTCAAGTATTTTGATCAAAAAAAAAAAAAAAAATGATTGATCTGTTTGTTATTGAAGGGTATTCTGTATAGGTGTGTTCGAGTGTGTGTGTGTGTGTTGACACAACACATTTATGCCACTTATATGTATGTATGTATGCATGTAATGGATGGATCAATTTATTGTTTTGAATCAAAAATCATCAAGTATTTGAAAGAAAAATCTTTTGATTGATCAATCGATCGATCGATCAATCAATCAATCATGATCAATCAATGAGAGAGGACAATGAATTATTTATTCACAAGAATTTCTTTATTTTTGTTTATTTATTTTATTTCCGATAAATTGCAATGTTGATGACTGATTTGTATTATCGACATTTTGTTTTTCTAAGCAATAATTTTTTTTCAAATTTAAGTTCACTATAGTGATCATTTTCAATCTAATTTCTTTCATTTTTTTTTTTGCCAAATTGAAATTGGGTTAAAAAAAATCTTGTGACAAAATCTCATCGATATATATTGTATAAATTCAGACACATATATGTGTGATGTGATATGAAATACAGTGATTATTATCGGCTAATGTTCCGAATTGAGAACAAAAAAAAAAAAATTTTTTTGATTTCCTTTTGATCATAATAATTATCAATCAATCACATCACGGCTACTGTGTGTGTGTGTGTGTGTGCCTGTATGAATTTGGATTTTTACTTTCTATGTTCATTTATTGATGTGATGATTCGATCGATTGGATTGTTTACATTTACATGTGACAACTTGTTGTTGTTGTTGTTGTTGTTGTTGTTGTTGTTGTTGCCGTTGTTGTTATTGTCGTTTTATATTGGTTTATTGATCATATCATATCGCTCATTCATTCATTCATTCATTCAATGGATTTGCATCGAATAAATGCAATCGTCATTTGCCTAAATATTTTCATTTCATTCATTTAACAATTTTTATTTCCAGATTTTTCATTTGGAAAATTTTCAAACAAACAAAACAACAATGGAATTTGATCCATCAAAATATTCAACAACATCGTTCGATTCGATGGGACCAGCACTACAATTGGTGAAAATGATCCAGAAACAAAATGTTAATATAAATCAGTAAGTCATTTAATCGCATACTGTCATTATATATAATGAAATTTGAATTAAATTACAGGCCATTAAGAATCGTAGATTTAGGATGTGGTCCTGGTAATTCATCTAAATTATTGGCCGATGCATTTCCAAAATCAACTATAATCGGTTTGGATGTCGTACACGAAATGATTGAACATGCAAAGAAAAATTGTCCAAATGATCGTTGTAAATTTTTTGTACAAGATTTGAACAAACCATTTGATGAATGGCAACAGGAGATAAAAGAAATATTGTATACAAAATCAGCCGATATAATATTCTCAAATTATGCATTACAATGGATATTCGATCCATTCATATTAGGTGATTCAATCAAAAAGATTTTAACACCAAAAACTGGCATGTTTTTTGCCAATATATTATATAGTGATATTCTATCGGTTGTTGATAAAAATGATCAACATGAATGTGCAATGTTGGAACGTTATCTTCGTTATCCAAATGAACAACAATTCATTAGTGATTGGATTTTTGGTCTTAAAAATCGAAGCCATCTACATGATATTTGGATCCATTATTGGCAACCAAGATCTGTTTATCCGGAAAAATATTATCGTGAATGTATGTAACAATTATTTTGATGAAAACACACACACACAATTGTATTGTATTTCTTCACAAATAGCATATGTAAAATACCACTTAAATGGCATGAACATTTCATTGTTGATGATGTATCGGCAGATATCCATGCACGAATGTCGGAAATACTTAAGAATTTAATTCTTAAAAAACGTGTAAAACGTATTATACCCAGAAATATGAATGGTAAACACGATGAATGTGATTGTAATGTTAATGGCAACAATCATGTTAAAAATGGTGATAATGATGATGGCGAAGTGAATGATATTGAGATTGAACAACAAGTATGGACAATTGTTGCTCGATCATCAAACGATTCTTGTGTATGTGTGTATTATGTATTTTTTTTTTTTTTTTGCCCAAATGATAATTAATTTTCAAATTTTTTTTTTTTAAATTTAATTTTACAACAATGAATACGGTACTGCCATCTGTAGATGGGCGAATCATGTATTTACAAAAATCTTTTCTAGAACAAAAAAAAATGATCATCATCATTGGAATAAAAATAAAACGATCCTGAAATCAAATCTAAATATATTGAAAATGAAAATCATAATTAGATTACCTGTCTTCATTTTTATTTTATTTTCTTTTATTACTACTAAACTTTAGTTTTCTTTCTATCATCATCATCATCATTAAAATTAAAATTCATTCCTACAATCAATCGATCGATCAATTATTTATACCTTATGACTGGTGTTGTTCATTAAGCTTACGACCATATCACGTTGAAAATACCGGTGTTCTCAACGTGATATGGTCGTAAGCTGAAATTACAGGCGTTTCAATAAATTTATAATGTTCAACATGAGTTGTGTATTTGATATTTCAAAAAAACTGGATGAAAAACATCAATTAGTCTCTTTTTAATAAATTAAATGAAAAAACAAAAATTGTGGCCTTTTTTATCATTGAAATATTGTTACAAGCTTCTACTTTACGAATTGAGAATCACCCCTATCCTTTCAGCTTACGACCATATCACGTAGAAAATACCGGTTCTCGTCTGATCACCGAAGTCAAACTACGTCGAGCCGAGTTAGTACTTGGGAGGGGAACCACTTGGGAACACTCGGTGTCGTAAGCTTTTTCATTTTTTTCAAAATTTCAATCCATTACCATCAAAAATCGTATCATTCATCCAATTAATGATAAATAAAGGTCAAGGTAACATGTGTGAAAACTTTTTTTGTTTGTAATATATGAAATTCATATTATAAACTTATAGGAAGTTGTCATACAAGCAACAAATATAAGAGAATAATGATTAAAAAAAACACAGTAATTTCATCAATGAAGATGGAAGTCTTCGGCAATTTCTTTGGCTTAATTTTCAACCATGAGCACATGTCTATTTGATTGGATATCTATTTGGATTCTATGTCGCCCGTACTGACCGCAACTATCACGGATGGATGGATCTTCGATACATTTGTTGGCCAATTATAATCGGTGGTTATCTATTCTGTATTTATAGCCCCACACCATGGATTTATGGCCGACCATTCAATCCGATTTGGTCGGCAATACTTTGGCCATTAAATCGTATCTTTTGGATGAATATAGATAAACAAAAATTACTTCCCACCGATTTGAAATCGACCATTGTAAATGATTTCAAATTAATCAATTCACATTCGACAAACAATTATCATTAAAAAGTTAATTTAACCGTGAAACATAATAATTTTTTTGTTCAAAATAGTAAAAAGATGTCTAAAAATTAAAAAATGAAAAAGCTTACGACACCGAGTGTTCCCAAGTGGTTCCCCTCCCAAGTACTAACTCGGCTCGACGTAGTTTGACTGCGGTGATCAGACGAGAACCGGTATTTTCTACGTGATATGGTCGTAAGCTGAAAGGAAGATGATGATTCTCAATTCGTAAAGTGGAAGCTTGTAACAATATTTCAATGATAAAAAAGGCCACAATTTTTGTTTTTTCATTTAATTCATTAAAAGGAGACTAATTGATGTTTTTCATCCAGTTTTTTTGAAATATCAAATACACAACTTATGTTGAACATTATAAATTTATTGAAACGCCTGTAATTTCAGCTTACGACCATATCACGTTGAAAATACTGGTAAGCTTTCCCATTTTTTTTATTCATTCAATTCTCTTCAATTTGTATATTGTCATCCTCAATGATCAATCGATTTCGGGAACAAAAAAAAATTCAAATTATATCAATATCTACTGCCGTCTGATGTGGTGGAATATCAGCACTAATATTCATCATTGATTAAATATTCAAGGTAAAAACTGTCGAAATATTTTCATTTTTTTTTGTTTTATTTTGTTTTATAAACGAATTTTCTATTGATTTAAATGAGAAAAAGAATTTTTCAAATTTTAAATGTCAAAAAAAAACAGCAGCATTTCATTTTCATCCTTATATATTTAGTCAAAAATCGAAATGGTGGTGACTAATTCCGATTAACATTGCAAAAAATAAATTAAGGGGCCATGAATGAAGTTGAATGATGATATTTTTTTAATTAAGAATTTTTTCTTTTTTCTTTCTTCGGTTTGTTGCCAATGATGGAAATTTTTTTTCAAATTAATTACCACAAAAACAGTATTGATCAATATTGTGTAAGTTTCCATTAAGATTCGACCAATAGCATAGGTACATTTTATTCGAATTTTAAAACAGTGAACAAAAGACAGCGATCGTGTGAGAAAGTGAAAAGAAGAAGAAGAAAAAATGTTGTATCAAATGCATAAACTTTGTTATAGACAAATCTATGAAATTGTCAATGAATCTAATAGCCATGATTATCGGCTAAAACGTATCATAGAATTTAGTCTATTCATCATGTGGATTTTACGTATAATAATGGCATTATTTAGTTTTCTTATCGATTACAACAATTATTGGCTTTATGATCCACATAGTCAATTTATATATAATTTAAATGAAAAATTATATGTTTATTATTCAACCAAAGCATTGCTTACATTATTTGTCATTATGGTTGCATTATACATTGTATTCATACATCGTACCGATTCAATTGTTTACAAAATTTTTGATGATTTTATCGTCATAAATTCACAACAAATACAACAATGTTATCATCCAATGGCTATAATTGAAAATAAATTACAATGTTTATATAGACAGAATTTACAGCAAAAATATTCATCATCATCATCATCATCATCATTATGTCCACCATTCAAATCAATCATTGAATGGTATTATTGGCAAAAAACTCGTATACAATTCTATATTGAATTACGACATTTGAATCTGAAAAAAGTGGCTACATTTGAATTGAAAAATTTATCACATTTAACCGTCCGTACAAGATCAATGATAGCATTAACGTTGACCGGAATGGATCATTTTAATTATGTGGCACATATTCTAACTTGTATGTGTATTTTTTGGAATATATGAATATTCTGTAAATGTTTTTCATTATCATTAATTTTGTTGTCCATTTTTCAGTCATCTTCCTTTTACCGATATTATATTTCTATTATTTCAATACAATCATACATTTAGATCATTGGTATCAAAAATTAATCTCTTGGATAGATTTACCGACAGTAATTTTTATGTTTTTCATAACGGAACGATTATTTTTGATTGGCATTACATTTATCGCCATCAATGCTATATCATCGAAAATTCAATTGGAACCAATTGAACGTTTTCTATTCAAAATGGCAAATGAAAAACATTATATGATCATTAGAAAATGTCAATTAAATCATGCAGTTGATTGGCGTTTGGCAAAAATTTTAAAACTACATACATTACATTGTCGTAATAATATGATTATTTTTCGTAAATTTTGGGGCCGACTAGTATTATTGTGGATTGCATTCGGCATACCATTGACAGCATCGATTCTGTTCATATTGATTATTAAAAATCCAACATGGATTGAACAATTTTGTTTCACAGCCATATTGATCGTTCATTCGGCTGTCATAATTCAGGCACATCTGATTCTGGCCAGACAAACAAATCAATTACATAGACCAAAATATCATCTTACACGAATTATTCCAAATATTACGTGCATAAAATTGAAAATTCGTTATGATGATTGGCACCATCGTTTGGTATGTGGTAATCAACAAAAATATGGTTCAACCATACCCATTATTGGTACTATTACACGTCAATTAGTTTTTGAGGTAAATCTGATGTTTGTTTTTTACTAAAAATTCAAAAAATCCATTTTCATACACAGATGATCACCATCTATGTTGGATTCCTGTTGTTTTTATTTCAATATCTTCGTGACATCTATCAATGATTATTATTATTATTTGTGGCCGGAAAAAAATTTTCGATTAACAAATATATATTCAATTTAATTCGAAAAATAAATTCAATCAATCAATTGATTTAAGAGAGAGTGAGAAAATAAAAGTACAAATGCATTCATGGTGAGACAATAATAAAAAAAAAATGATGAGAATTACTGATCAATGAACGAATATTGATATATTACAAAGTTAATGATTGATGGCTGATTTGATTTGATTTTCTTTTTGGCATTTCTGATGAAAGTTTGGTTGTTGATGCTAGATTGTTAAATTGACAATATATTCAATTCTTTGGAATAAGTATCCGTATGTTGTAATGAAAAAGCGATAAAAATACCACCCAAAATGGTCAAAACACAATGAATAAGTAGATCATGTGTAATCAAACGTACAATGCCAACATAATAGGCGGCCAATAAAATGATCATAGCACATGTATATGCTAAACAACCGGTAAATGATTCACGACGATCACTTGATTCAAATTCTGTATAAGAATATTCACGGCCACATACACCGATAGCGATAAGACCGAAAATTCGTACAACAATATTGGCAATCATGGCCGTAAAATTAATGAATCGTACAATTGAATAGGCATCACGATTCGTTGGATTAGTACGTTGTGATATTAAATAATCATGTTTTTCCAAATGTTCTTTTTTGTCTATTTTATTCAAATAAATAGATGTATAGATGACCATCGATATGATATTTATAATAGTCAATATGATAAATATTATTGATAATAAACGTCGATAGCTCATTTTGAATGGTTTTTTTAGATTTTTATGCGAAAATTTTGCCACCATTTGTTTTTGATGATGATGATGAGGTAGATTGATGATCATTTTATCTTGATCCATTATATTTGTCGTTATGCCATTCATTTTTCCATATCATCAATCTAATGAATGAAACAATGAAAAAAAAAATCATTAATTCTTTAATTCATCAAATTCAAATAATATCGATTACCTTTCATAGAAACACAAACACATGTTCAATCAAGAAATCCAAAAAAATGACAATGTTAATGTGTTTTTCTACCACGTCTCAACACGTGTCTGGTCATCAAAAACGTTAACTTTGAAATGTTGATCAAGATGTATGTTGTTGTTGTGGTGGTGGTGGTTTGTTCACAATCAAAAGTCGTTGTGATCCATTCAAAAAAAAAATTTATGGCCGCACAACCAATGAATGGATGAACGAACGAACAGCAACAACAACAACGAGCACAGTTATATGAAAAAGAAACAAAAATAAAATTCTGAGCGTACTAAGAACTCAACAACCTCACATACACACACACACACACACCATGCATATTACACACAAAGACACAGAAACTTGTAAACAGAAAACGAAATGATTCGATGATCCGATGAAAAAAAAAGAAACAAACCAAAAAAGACCACCACGACCACTAACAAGAAACACACCGAGAAAAATGTGTTGATTTATGAACAAAAAAAAACTGAAGAAGAAGAAAATTGACTGAAAAGAACTGAATTGAATTGAAAACTGAAATACTTGCCAATCAAATGAAATCAATTTTTAAATCACTTCATTAACGTCAATAACGTTTGTTTTTTAAAAATTTCTTTTAGCTTTACAGACAAACAAACAAACAAACAGGACGACCAAAAAACAATGGTAATGATGATGATGATGATGATCTTGTCATCGTTGTAAAACAAAAAGTTCTAGTATTTGTTGCCATTTAAACATCATCATCATCATCATCATCATCAACGTCGCTACCACCATCACCAACAACAACAAAAAACCATTAAAACAAACCTTTTTTTCCCTTCAATTTGACTATTGTTTAATTTCAAATACACAACATCCTCTTTCGAGCTTCCTTTCTCTCTCTCTCTCTACATTCTCACATTCACTATACATGCATGTGTGTGTGTGTGTGTGGTTTGAAGATGAAAAATAAATGACCATGTTGATTTTCATGGATGATAATGATGAATTGGACGACAAAATTTTTTTTTTTTTTTTTTTTTTGAAAATTGAAATTGAACAAGCCAAATTTTGAAAATTTCAGGAAAAAATTGATCATTACATTTGTATAATAATAATAATAATTTTGAAATAGGGAAAATTACCAAAATCAATTGATTTTGAACGACAACAACAACAACAACAACAACAACAACAATGACAAAACAAAATAACGACCATAAAAATTTTGATTCAAATTGATTGATTCTACTTGAATGAAAAATAACAACAACAACAGCAGCAACCAGAAATCAAATCATCATCATGTTCAACTATTCTTAACTCTACTCAACTGGTTGTTGTTGTTGTTGTTGTTGTTGATGTTATTTCAAATTCAAAATACACATTTGTTGCTTGCTGGTGTGTGTGTGTGTGTGTGTGTGTGTATGACATTTTTTTTTCATTTTTCTAATTCTGATTTATGTGGCTTTCTCGCTCTCTCTCTCTTTTCGGTTGATGGATTTCCCATTTGTAAATGTAATTTTTTTTTTTTTTTGTTTTTGATTGCTCATTATTTTTATGATTATTATTAATAAGTTTGGTTGTTTTGTTTTGTTTTTTTTTTCTCATTTATTGATTGCAAATGGCGATAATGTTTGTCATTTTGATTCATTGATGATAAAATGTACGATGAACGATTGGTGATGATGATGATGATGATGGTGCATAAATACATAGCAAACGAAACTTTTATTATTTGAATTTTGATTCTGGAATAAAGATTTTTTTTTTTTTTTTTTGGCTGTCTTCGTTGTTTGAATGAATTTGCAATTTCTTATCGTTGCCACCATTGGTTGATGATGATGATGATGATGGTAATTAATCATTCCATACGCTAATTATTTATTCATAGAACTATTGATGATAATGTTATAATGCGAAATGATCAATGTGCAAAAATTATCTTGATCCATAGAATGTGTGTGTGTGTGTGTGTGTGGATGTTGTTTTTTGTAAGAGTGATACATGATGAAACAATGTTAATGAGTGTTTAAAAAAAAGGTAAAATCATCAGACATCATATGACAATCTTTTTATATAACATGGTAAAGAATACAAAATTAAACATAAACATTTCTACAAGTTTCATTTTATCAATGAAAAATATTTGTCCAAAATAGAATCCATAATGATTACGTGTAAATTGTTTGTAAGAATAGATTTCTTTCTATAGTTTCTCGTAAATAAATTATCCATTTGAATCTTGATATGTTTGATCGATATCAATATATGTTTGATTGATTTTTTGCATTCCAATCATAAAACATTTTAAAGAATTTTTCATTATTTTTAGGAAATCTTGATATGACAATAAAAACAATTTCTGCATATATGAATGTCATGATAAACACAATAATCATGAAATAACTATTTATGCTCAAGTTCATTGTTTTACCACAAGCAATTACGATGATCAATACTAAACTTTTGGACATTATCTCAATAAACATGAGAAAATTACAGTGCATGTTGTTAAAATTAATCATTTCATTATAATGTCTTAAATATTGGCGACGGATATTATATTGAAAAATGGCCATCCTACGATTCCAAATAGATTGCCATTGTTTCATTTCATCGATCAATTGTTTCATATACGATGTTAGATAGCCCAAACTGAAGATTAAATAAATCATTTCCATACTGAAGCCAATTATAAAATGATTAATATTGATAAACATTATTATAGTGAATATAGCACCAATGAAAAATTGATTCCAATCAATTTTTTCATCTGCAACATATTCCATGAGCATAATGATCATTTTTATAGTAGTAAAATAAAAACCTAATCGAAAAAACGATTCAATTTTTTGGTGAATCGATTAGATCGTATAAAATATTTGACCAATAACAGTTGATTATGATTGTCAAGATTTTCGCCAATCGTATTACCATATTTGATTAAAATTTCATTCAATGGATAACGATATTCCAATAATTGTCTGACTGTGGTATACCATTTATATTCTTTCAACAATAGTGTAGCTGCCGAGAACGATGAAAGTAATTGCATATCAAATCCAGTCATTTCATTTTGGATTTTTATAATAAATCTTAAACTTGGAATATATTTAGTTTGCGTTATTATCAACATGAATGCCACATACATGGTGGAAATAAAATGATATACAGTTTTTGCACACCGTTTTTGAACGGTATCGAATGAGTTTGATATTCATACATTGAATAATTGATACGTTGATTATAGATTTGTGAATGTTTGAAATACATTTGAAAAATGGTCGAAATTGATGTTATTTCTTGCGAATTCTCCATTTTTTTTTTTTTTTTTTGATAAAATGATCATCAGTACGAAAAAGACACACACAAGAAATGAGAGAAAAAATTTGAAGTTATAGACTTACATATTTTGGCAAAAACTTTTCAAATTAATTTTCTTGTAAATGTCTTCTAAATCATATGCAAACAATGAATTTTTTAATCATTCAGTTTGTTTGAATAATTAATTTTTTTTTTTTTTTTCGCCAGAATAATAATTAAAATAACCGATATGAAAATATTAAAATTTGTACCGAAAAACGCACACACAATTTCAACATAAAAGACACATTTTTTTTCGCTCCAGGTTCCAATTGGATTGTGTGTTGTTGGAAGGGTGTGTCTTCATTGATCTTCAACAACAAACAACAACAAAAAAAAGTCAAACAAACCAAAGAAAAAAAAAGACCACCATCCATGATAAACAAATGATTGAATTCCAACAAAAAAACGTTGAAACTTTTGTTTGTTCGTTTTTTGTCACTGCATGTGTGTGTGTGTGTGTGTGTGTTTATATCCGAAACCATTTAAACATTTCAAACATTTTAAATTTAACGATATAATTTATGATTTGTTTAGAATTTGCATGTTTAGAAAAGAAAAGAAAAAAAAAGTTTAGTAAATGATTCAATTTCTGAATCGTTGGACAATTGCCATCTATTTGTGTGCAACAGTTTATTTTCCAAGAAAAAAAAATTTTTACTTAGATCAACAGAAAAAAACCGTTTAATGGTGAAAAAAATTCGGGTCATCGAAATGATGATGATTAAGCATTACGCGTTGTGGATATTTATTTCAATGAACGACGTAGAATAGAACAACGGAAAAAATTCTCTCGATGTGTATATGCAGAAATAAATCAAAAGTAGAAAAGGTAATTGACATCTACACTTGTCATTAGGATTATTTTCTTCACATAATGAATATAAATCCATGATGATTGAAAACAAAACAAAAAAAAACAAGAAATGGCAAAAGAAAATGTACCAGAGATTGATTGATGAATCTATCATGCATCACAACCTGTTGTACCTTGTTCTATTGATTGATTACCTGATACATCATCAATCACTATTTTTTATTTTCCACAACAACAATTGTTTCTCGATACTCAAGCAGAGGGAGAGAGTTGATCCAAATATCAATGTCCGATGAATCAATAAATCAAATAAAAATCAATCATCATTGACTTTATTTTTTTGTTCATACCTATTCAGATAAAAGTTCAACAAACAAACAATAATTAATCAAACTGTTTTGTGTATTTTGAAATATAATGACAACAGGTTAGGTTGAATCACCTGATTAAAAACTCAACAACAACAACAACAAAAAATTATGAAACTAGATCACTTTTCATCAACATTTATAATCATTAAAATCAATTGAACGTGAATCAACATCCACGATGTTTATTATTTGTTTCAATGATGTGAAACATTTATTTTCTATTTGGATGTTTTGGATGTTTTTTTTTACTATCCAAATCAAGAACAATCCTTTGATTTACAATGGAAAAATATAAAATTTGTTCACTACACAGGATAAACTTCGATTTTTTTTTTTCAATTTTTTTCAATGTAAAATGAAATGAATTGAATTGAATTTTCTTTCTCTTTTCTTTTCTTTTTTTTTGGTATTCAGGACATTTTAATATTTATGATCAAAAAATTTATTTAGCTTGAACATTATGATTTTTCTTTTCTGATGAAATGATTATATACTACACAATGTAATCATCATTATTATTAGGTACATGGCTATAAAAAAAAACAGGGGAATTTTTTTTCATTCATTCATCCCAACCAGCTAGCTTCGTTTATCATTTTTTTTTACGATGATGATGACGACAACGACGATGATGATGATGATAATAATGGTCATATGACGAAGATGGTGATGAGGATCCTCAACAGGTCATGATCATCATGATCATGTTCAATCGTCGGAAGAATTCAAGGTTTTTTCCCAAAACTAAAAAAAAAAACATTCAGCAAGTTGATTTGATTGATTTTCTTGTTGTTTGTTTTTTTCTAAACATAGATCGGTACATTCAAATATCATCCAGATCCATATCACGTGATTTAACCAATGGTATACAAGCTGATCGTGCACGTATCCTTGATGCAATTTGTCGTCTTTCTTCGGTGATTAAAGCAATTAATATGAATGTAAATAGCAGAATTATGATGACAACCAATATGATGAATGGTGATGGTAGCAATGATGTCCATAATAATTGTGATGTCGATGTTGTTGTTGTTGTTGATGATGTTGGTAATGAAGCTATTGTAGTTGTTGTTGCTGTCGTTGTCGTTGTCATCGATGAATATTGATCCACATCATTAAACATTGATTTAGTCACTGAATCATTCATAACACGTACGACGACAAACAATAGAATTAGATACATAATCCATGACATAGCCATTAAACCCATAAGTGTCATCAATTCCATAATGACGGCAAAAATAAAAATAAAATTCAATACAATCAAAATTGACAGAATGAATAATGGTCGTGGATCAAATGGTTCATCATCATAATCATCATCACTATTAGCATCATCATCATATGTAGATTTAAATTCGAATCTTTTGGATGGGTAAAAATTGTTGATGAACTATGATGTGGAAATAGCCATGATGATAATCGTGTAAAAAATTTTGATAAAAATGTTCGATTTGAAACATTATTATTATTATTATTATTATTATGCAAATTTACATCATTATCATGATGATCATTTGCCGTTGCCAATGCATTCAATTGTGATAATTGATAACTTTCACCAGTTTGATGATCATAATGTTGATGATTTGATGGCCAATCTGTATGATGATGATGATGTGCATATGATTTTGTAATCGATTCCGGTGTACGTTGATACCAAACACCAAATAATTCATTCATTGTCATTGTATATGTTTGATAACGGATTGAATATTCACCAATCGATCCGATAATTGCTGTAATGATTTCGGCCACTAGGCCAAATTTGACGATCAATTTGATTGTACAACGCATTTTTGTTGTTGTTGTTGTTGTTGTTGTTATATAATGATTTCACATTTAAAAATGGCAGACACACAGTGAAAAAAATGATATAAAGATGAATAAAACACCTACGATGATCGTGATCAACATCCAACATACACACACACACACACACACACACAACACAGAAACCCACTTTATGATGATGGCAAACTTCTGTTTTTTTTCCGAATTTGAAAATTATTACATAATAAGAGTTGTGAAATCAAAACAAAAAAAAACAAAAACAGATTCACAGATGGATGAATGAATGAATGAATGGACGGCAAAAATATAAATGAAATGTGGAACGAAATAATTCGAAAGACAAAGTCAACCTGCCGAAACCGCAACAACAACAACAACAACAACAACAATGACGATAAATAAACATGTGAATCCAAATTAGCAATTTTCATTAAAAAAAAAAAAAAAAATACAAGGCAAATGACAAAAAATTTTTGCATAAACAAATTGATCGAAACAAGAAAAGAGAGAAGAAGAAAACTTCTATGTTCAGCACGCAATCCTAGATCAATGTTGAACATAGGAAAAAAAACAAACAAAAATATCTCGTAACCAATATATGACAATGATCTATGTACTACTATGATATCAATATATCAATCAGTCAGTCAATTTATAGCATGTATAACTAGGATGATGAAGAATTATGATTATTTAGATGAAATCAAAATGTCATGACAAACATGGTTGTATACACAGGATAATAACAACAACAACAACAACAACTAGATGAAGGTAGACTGAATCACGAAAACCGTTATTTATAACGATATAACGGTAATGTATAAATATATCAAAACATACACAAACAATGGATAAGGCAATAAGTCACAGAGGCAAATAAATAATAATAATAATATATATGACAAAGTAATTAAAGATTCGGTTAGATTTTTGATGGTTTGTTGTTGTTGTTGTTCAATTTTTTTTTTGGCTGTCAATCACTGTTGTTGTTTTTTTTCCTAGTTTTAGAACATATGAATCACATACACAGAGAGAGAGAAAATTATCATTGATCGATCGATCAACAATTGAATGATGATGACGATGACAATGACAATTGGAATTTGGGTTTTTTTCCCAATGAACAATGAATAGACGAGTGAAGAATCAATTTAAGTTTTTGGCCGTCGCCGTTGTAGTTGTTGTAGTTGTAGTCATGATCTTCAATGTCACCAAATAACGAAGTAAAAAAAAAAATTCATTTATTCGTTTGTCTTGTAAACATTGAAAATTGAGATCTTAAAATGTTGTTGTTGATGATGATGAAGTGAATGGATTGTAATTTTTTTTTTTGATGGTATTGTATTCGAATACCAATGGGAAAATAAAACCGCACAGAAAAAAAAGACGACAACAGCAGCAACAACAACAAAAAAAGATTGGCTTCAATTCAATTTCCAGGCAATCAACGACAACAGCAGCAACAATGAAGATGATGAAATTATTACCGAATAGCAATTTGTTGTTGTTGTTGTTGTTGTTGTTGTTATTGTTGAAATGAACTATTTATTTTTCTTCTTAAGTCTGTTGAGCATGTTCTGGTTTTTGTTGTTGTTGTTGTTGTTGATGATAATAATTGAAAATGATGATGAATAGAAATTAAAATAAATCAAAAAAAGAGATCAACAGGCTATGTGAATCAATCGGCAATAGTTGTGGATATACAACAATATTGTCACATCAAAGAGAGAGAGAGAGAGATCATCTTTATGGATAATATTTTATTATTCATACAACAACCAAAGACATTTATCAATTGAATCAAGTAGTAGTAGTAGTAGTATGTTAACAGTGTTCACAAATGTTCAGAATGTTTTTACCTATAGAAATACAAAAGAGAAATAAAAATGAATTTTAAAATGCAATCAAAACATGTATCATTAACATACCTATTTTCATTTTTTTTGTTTCGGTGATTGAAAGAAAATTAAAATTTGTTTTACCAAATCAATCGATGATTGATCACGAAATATATCGATGATGACAATTTTTATGATTCAGATTGTAATTTGGTCGTTGATCATTTTCGATCACCAATTGGATGCATGTCGAATAAATATATAACCAAAACGAATTATATATATTACCATTAAAATGTTTAATTTATGCCAACACTTACGTTCGTTCGTTCGTTCGTTCTTGTGTTGTTGGCGGTGGTTTCTGGTATGTTTACATTTGATCAAAATAACTGATTTGTTACAACATGATGATGATGATGATTGTGTGATTTTTCACATTCAAAAAACAAAACAAAACAAACATTTGAATATTATGTGTTGGCGCCGAAATTCATTTGTTGTTGAATATTTTCATGATCAAAACAATGTGTACCTGATGAATGGAAACGACAAAAATTGTTATTTATCAAAAATCACAGGCAGCAATATAGCAGCAGCAGCAGCAGGTGGCCGTTTATATATTTCTTGTTGCGTTGATGAGAATGAATTTTTTTTTCTTTTGATCGAATTTTTTCTCTCCATCTTTTTCAATTCTTCAAAAAAAAGAAGATGCAATCAAAAGGCGGAGATTTATCGTTCAATTTAAGAAAAAAAAACCGAAAAAAGGAGAGAGACAGAGACAGACAGAGACATTTACATTGACCTAAAGACACTCATTTCTCTATCCCTTTTGTGTTAAATCTTGTGTAGCCACCAGTTTTTTTTTCGGGTTTTGTTTACCATTCGACACACAGTTAAAAAAAAACATAAAAAATGCACTTGTTTCAAAGAGATGAACAAAGTTCATGATCAAAACAAATGATGATGATGATGATGATGAGATTTTCTTTTCTTTCTTCATTATTTTGATTATTACTTTGAAATCGTTTTTAAAATGAAGATTAGAATGAATGAATGAATGAATGAAATGGATGGCTTTTGACTGAATTGATGAAGATTTTCGGGTTATCATCATCATCATTATTATTATTGTTTATTGGACGTCGAAAAAAACGAGACTTTTTCCATTTAAATCGGATGGATATTTTTGGATTATAAAAAATTTTTTCTCCTTGCATTCGTGTCATTCGATTGTCATGGAACGATGATGATCATGATGATGATAGGAAAGCAAAAAATATCGTAGGTTTTTTTTTTTGAAAAAAACCTACGATATTTTTTTCTCCAATTGATTAATTGATTTTTACTATTTTGATACGAATCATAGATTGAAATCATATCATCAAACACCTGGAAATTCAATATTCAATACATGATTAAATCTAATTATTATCCAAGGATCATCATCATGAATATTAATTGGAAAACAAGATTTGATTTTCAATAGAAACAGAGAGAGAGAGAGAAAAAAATCAATTTAACGATAAAAGTATTCATCTTGATGATGATGGTGATAAAAATCATTTTGATAACCATGATCTTGATAATAGAATTGTTGCTGTTGGCTATCATTTTGATGAATATATTGCTGCTGTTGTCGGTATAAATGTGGATCAGAAATAGCCAAATTATGATGATTATGATGATGTTGATGATGATAATTATCACCATATGATTGAGCATGTGAATATGTTGTCACCAATGATTCAGAGCTTTGATGTTTTTTATGTCGTTGATGATGATGATGATGATGTCGTTGTTGTTGTTGTTGCTGTTGTAGTTGTCGTTTATGATGTTTAAATGATGAATCGTTTTCATCATCTGATTCATAATCATTTTCCATGCCGGGCACGGTAAGTAGATTACGATTTGACATTGATCTTGAATTTCGTGATCGATTTTGCTGTTGTTGTTGTTGTTGCTGTTGTATTGTTGTTGTTGTCATTGTTTTTGTCGTTTTATTCACATCGGCCGATGATTCAGAATCTTTTCGGCGTTCATTTGAATCATCATCATTTGATTCACGTCGTTGTTGTTGTATAGCTAACGGTGATCGTGAACGGCTACGATGATTACGTCGATGACGATGTCTTTGTTTTTGTTGTTGATGATGTTGATGTAAATCTTCAGATAAATGTTCAATAACACTTAAAAGACTACCAAATTGTTTTTGATCACTTTGTCGTCGTATATTTAAATATTTGTCATCATCTTGGCTTGAACGACGTTGCTGTTGTTGTTGTTGTTGTTCCATTTCTGATTTATTATCAATTTGTTGTGGTTGTTGTTTTTGCTGTTCTTTAGATTCTGTTTGACATTCATCAACACTTTTGTCATCACTATTATTACCATCATTTTCATCATCCGTTCCAGATATAATAATTGATGGTGGACTTGCTGTCATTGGTGATAATTGTCCAGCATAACGTCTTTGATGTGGCATCATATGTTGTCTTGATGTTGTTGAACCCGGTGATCCAGGTGATCCAGGTATTGTTTTCATATGATGATGATGATGATGACGGCCATGTTGTTTATGACGATCAAACATTTGTGATAATCGTCGTTGTTGTTCCAATTGTTTTTCAATACGTATCGCTTGTTTATGTCTTATCAATGTAAGTAAAAATAATAAACCGGAAATTTCACTAGCCGATGTTGAACAAATAATCGATGATTCCATTATGGAATATTGACCAAATGTAGCCAGATTATAAACGAGTACGGCAACCAAAAATATGGCCATTACTGTGATGCCATAAAAATTTTCATGTACAAGCATATAATTATAGACAAATGTAAAAACAATCATTAAAATCAAAAACATTGCAATCATAAATAGGCTGATTGTATAGATTTTTTCCGATGTTGTTGGCGATGAACCAAACAGTCGGCCAAGACGATCATAAAGTATTACTTTATGCACGATTGCATGAAGAAGATCATAGATTAGAAAACTGGTTCTATTGAGGAATGGAGAAGAAAAAATTAATTTCAATGTAAAAATTTATATTTTAATTAAACCAAAAAAAAAAAAAAAAATTCCAAATAAAGATTGATGGAATTTTTTTAAATTCACCCGGCCACTCCCTCCATAAACAAACCTTGTGGTAAACAAAATTGCTTGTAATATTTGCATGGCTAAAAATTTTTCCGTTTTTTCATCACCATCACCATTATTATTTGGTCCATTGAATCGTTGTCTTGTATATCGTTGTTCATTGTTTTGATGTTCTGATGCTGCTGCTGCTGCTGCTGAATGTTGTGGGCTACGTTGCCTTTGAAAATTAGAACGTGATGAACTACTACGCATTTTTTTTTTTTTTTGATATTTTCAAAAACAAAATTAAAATTTATTGAATCGAACCGATGGAATTTGAAAGACGAAAAAAAAAATTTTTTGTCATCCACATGCACACACACACACACATTTGATGATGATGATGATGTTTATAATTAATTAATTGTGTTCGATTAATGATGATGAATTTTGATCTTGTCGAAACAACGGCAACAACAACAACAACAACAACAAAAAAAAAGATTCAATAACCGGATCTACATGGTTATAAAATAAAATGTCCATGTCTGTTCATGTTTGCATGTCGACATGGAACGGAATATTCGTTACACTGTGAAAAAATGTCATCACAGAAATTTTTCAAATTTTTTGTTCCAGAATTAAATTCATAAAACAAAAAAAAAAATCTTCAATAATTTATTATCCAACATTATTGTTTGTGACTGTGCAACGATTCAGTTTTCTATTTTCTATTTTCTATTTTTTTTTCATCATTTGTCACAAAAGAAAGAATCAGAAATTCTCTTCTCAACTGTGAAATCATAGTGAACAAGTGAGAGACGAAAAAACGACAAAATGACCAAAAAAAAGGAACTGAAACAAACTGAAAATGGATTTCATCTTTCGTAGTCGTTATGTGCTTGTGTGTAGATGATAAGAAAAGATTGTCGACAAGATTGTTGAAGACAACAACGGCAACAACTACAATGATCATTGATGATGATGATGATAAGTGTAGGACAGAAACGACATTTTGACAAACGAAGCGAATAGTTGAATGAATCACATCATCAACAACAACAACAACAACAACAACAAAGAAAAGAATTGTGAAGCCAATTCTTTAAAAACTGATTCCGGAACAATGGACACAAGAAAAAAATGACCAATGATTGTTGTAAATGAATATTATCAATGAAATCATCATACAAATGTAACGAAATTGATTCAATTTCATCATTTTTAATCGATACAATTTTCATTGTTGTTATGATGATGATGATTCAAAAAATTCTTTGCTAATAATTCAACCAATCAATGATTAGATGCGCAAATAATGATGCGTCGATTATTCTTATGCATAAATGACGCCCACACACACATTGGATTTTGATATTGAAATGATTTCAATCGATATCATCACCATTTGATAGTACGGGTTGTTTTTTTGTTCTGGGTCGATCAGAAATTCACAATGAGACACACAGATACATACATAGAAAATTTAACAAACAGTTTTTTTCAGTGAACAGAAAAAAAAATTACCAGTATCCACAAAACGAATCTGGTTTATAGTCGACCGAAATTCTTCGTCTTGTATAAGCAAACAATAAAAAATGATACATGTGTTTTTTTTCTTTCTTCTGGATGCATCAATTTCTTGATCAACAACAACAACAACAACAACAACAACGAAAAAAAGGAACAACAACGATGATCTATGGATTGAATTGTAAATCAATAACAAACACAAACCAAAAAAAAATAAATCGACAACAGCAACAACGATGAACGATTCTTGTCGAAGATTCTTCTTCGTCGTTGGTAGTGATTTTTTTTTGTTGCTACTGTTGCTGTAGTTGCATTTGTTGACGAGAATCGCGAATCGGGAAAAAACATTCCCGAACATTGCGCCAGCAAAAAAAAACCGGAATGATTGATGAGTGCTCATCATCATCATCATCATCCAGAAGAAAAAGGAAAAACCATCGACTTGGTTGTCGTTGTCGTTGTCGTTGTTATTGTTGTTGTTGTAGTTGTCGACGTTATATTGTTGTTGCTGAAAACGATCCAAAAGATTTTCATTTTCAACTAGAAAAAAAAATTTCGTTCCAATAAAAAGAATTGAGACATTTTATACATTATCATAATTCTTGTTGTCATCATCATCATCATTGTCATTGTCGTTGATCATGATCATGATGATGAAGGCGATGGATAATGTTGTTGTTGTTCACGACAAACAAGCAATTCATGCAAAGAATTTTTCTGTGATTTTAGAATCTGCTTTTTTTGGCCATATATAATCAGAACAAATTCGTTTTTTTTGTTTGAAAAAAAAACTTTTTTTTTTACCATGTTGATGAGGATGATGATCATCATTTACTAATCATCATCATTCATTATGTTTTCAATTAAAAACAATATGAAAAGATTTTTCACAACTTTGAATTTTCTAACCAGAAACTTTTTCAAAACAAAAGATCACCATCATTCTTAATGTTTTCACACACACACACACACACACACACACACACATTGTTTTCCGGTTACATGTTATCATCGCTGGTGTTCGGTTCGTTGATTTTTAAATTTGAATTTAATTTCAATCGTCATCATTTTTTTTTCTGTTTTATTTCGATAGGAAAAGTGTGAAATGTTTCAAATGGCTCAAAAAAAATTATGGTTTTTTTTTGTCTCGACACTCATTGAACTCAAAACTGCAAGAAGAAAGAACACTTAAAAGCTTTCAGAGAATTTTAAAGTATAAAATTCTTCAAATGTGCCGGAGAAACCAGAGAGGAAAAAAAACTCGGAACCAAAAAAAAAAAAAAATATGACTAGGGCATGAAAAGAAACATTTAATCTACTTCAATCTTGTGCTTGTGGTCAGAATTCTGACCACTAAATCAATAAAATGTCGAAACATTATTATTATTATTCAATGATAATGATGGATTGGCCATTAAAATGATGTGTGTGTGTGTGTAGTGGAAATGAACTTCCGATAAAAGTGAAACGGAAAAAATTTCCAAAAACTTTCTCATTCTGTAATAAAGTTGAAAGTTTTTCATTTCATTTCAAATGAATTTCTGACATTTCGACAGTTTCCATATCATAGGGCAAAAAAAAATCTCCCAACTTTGGTCATTCGAGCAGAGAAAGAATTTTTTTTTTTTCTGTTTTAAACATTCAGCAATTTTTTTTCTGATTCTATCGTTTTGTCATTCTTGTCAACAACAACAACAACAACAACCAAAAAGTCATCAAAGATCATGATGACATTATTGCTGATGTTTATTTGATGATTTCATTCTCGTAATCATCATCATCATCATCATTATCAAACATTCAGATACAAATTGATTCAGAAACAACAAACAAGATTTAGGATGTTCCACCACCACCACCACCGCAACCAGAGTTTAAAGTTCAAAATCAATATTCACCAAAAAAAAAAAAAAAAGAAAAAGAAACAATTGTTTTCAACGAACGAAAAAACAAAATTCCTGATTCTGTATTTTATTTCATTTTATTTTTTTTCGGGTTATAGCTAGAATCGAGAATTGAATACAAATTCTCTATCTATCTATGTGTGTGTGTGTGTGTCTGTTTGTATTTTCTTAAATTCGACATTTATTACAAATGATAATGATCATAGACGAATGTTGTTGGAAACATTCTTGCCAGATTTGTTTTGTTTTCGAATGATGTACCAAAATTGCTTGTGTGTGTGTGTGTTTAAAATCGGAAAAAATATGAAATTCAACAAACACACACACACACACAGCTTGTTTTTTTTTGTCTCATTTCCACCAACATTGATCCGTGTGGAAAGTTTCCGAAAAAAAAATCTGAAATGAAATGGAATGGTTTCAACAAACGATTAACAACATAAGGAAAAGAATAACAAGATCAACAACAACAACAACAACAACAAAACAAAATCGACAACTACAAAAATATAACCAATTTGTGTGTATTTATTATATATATAGAATGAAACTTCGATTGATCAAAAACATTTGTGAACAACATTTGAGTAGGTTCAGTAGTTCCGGCAGACAAAGTAAAAATAGTTAACTGTTATTTTTTTGTTGTTGTTGTGTAACAGAAAGAGAAAAAATTCTTTTTTCGCCGCCATTGTTGTAGTGTAGATATATATTTCCGATAAATTAAATCGATTTTTTTCCCACTGGTTTCGATTTCGATTTCATGTGTGTGTGTGTGTGTGTGTGTGTGTGTGTGATGATTTTGATTTCAAATGACAGGCTGACGATTGAATTGAATTGAAGAATCAAGAATTGTCGAACATTGGATTCAATTCTATACACATTGTATTCATGTCAAGATTTGTTCAAGATATTTTTTTCTCCCAGATTTGAAATGAATATATTCTTCTTTTGTTCACGTTTCAACAACAAAAAAAAAACATTTATCCACTGATGTCCATCTTTGTCGTTATGGTTGAAATATGGCTCGAGGACCAAAATTTGAGATTCAAGAAGTCAAGTCAAAATCCTGCAACACACACACACATGGTTTATCATCATGGATCTATATGACCAAAAGAGATGTTGAATAATGTCTCAACAATTAATTTCCGAAACAACTGAGAATCTTAAGAAAGAAAAAAAAAAAAAAAATCGAGAACAAGGAAGCGACGAGAAAAAAACCGATTACTTACTTGATGTGGTGTTCATTTTACTCATTGTAAATCTATAGGGTCGTCGTTGTATTCGTGCCACATGTATAAATATCGACCAATGGTCGCGTTCACTATTCGGTCATTATTATTATTCTACGATACTCCGAATGTGTTGTATTAATCAATTAAGCGATTGTTCACCATAATGGATTGATGAAACAAAATAGAATGCTAACAATAAAGAATCGAACAAATACAATGTCATTTAGCTGAAAATATCGATCTTTGATTTTGTTGATGATGATGATGATGATGATGATGATTATAATAACGATGATGATGATGATGATGATGATGATACGAGCAAGTTGATCAATTTCAATAAATGACTTTTTCACTTTCTCTTACAGATGAGAAATGTTTTTCTTTTCTTTTCTTTTCCTTTATTTCCAATTCCAACAACAACATTGAAAAAAATGAGTCCAAAACATAATGAGAAAAATCTGTTTCATAAACTTTTTTTTTCTCTTCTGATGATTCTATTAGTTAAGAAAAAAAAAAAAAAACGAAAAATTTAATGAAATTCATTTTTTTCTCCTGTTATCGTGTATTGGTATAGAATTTGGAATTTGGAATCCATGTCATTTTAAAAAAACTTACGATTTCATATTTAGATGCCAAGAATTTTGACCCGAATCTTTTTTTTTCTTGTTCTGGATATTCTTCCATCTCAACTTGATCATTGTATAATTGAATTATATAAAAAGAATAAATAAATCAAATTAGATAGATGAGCGGCGACATTTTTTTTTTTTTTTTTTTGGCTTCGATTTTGATGACATACAGACATTGGAATGTTTGTCTGTTTGTTTGTTTTGATTGTTTCGCATACACACACACACACGAAGCAATCTAATTACAAATGGACATTCAAGTTCGAATGTGTGTCGTTGAAGTTATTTTTTTTTTGTTCGATATTTTTTTGGCTAGATAATCGTTGATATTGTTGATGACCAATTTCATTTGATTGTTTTCGGAATTTTGGTTATTCTTGTTGTTGTTGTTGTTGTTGTTGTTGTGATGTCAAAATCATTATTGTTTTTTGAACCGAAATTAATAATAACGTTATATAAAACATTTGTGAATGTATGCTGATGATGTTAATGATCCACGAAAAATGATTTCCACACACACACACACATACACAGAGATAAAACATTTGTAATCTTTTATTTTGATTTACGCAATATAATCATTAGCATTGAATATAAATGATGATTATTCATTATATACATCGATTATCACAATGGTAAAAAAAAAAATTTTTGCCTTTAATCGTTAATCAATGAATACAAAATTGTTAACACAAATCAGATTTATTAAATGAAAAAAATTGCATTTTACGCCATCTGTCAACAGTAATTCTAAATATAACATTGAATTTTCTATTATTTGCCAATAGGTGGCGGGAATATAGTCATTTTATTGGGGAAAAAATTCAAAAAAAAAAACAAAAAAAAAACAAAACAAACGAAAACAATTGTTGAAAGCTAAAGTGGATAAAATGTGACTAAAATTTACAATAAATGTGGGAGTAAATAAGATTCAAAGATTCTTGTTAGAAACGGAATGTTGAAAGAAATAGATTCATGGAATCAATGAATTTCGAGCACAACTTTGGCTCATCACAATTGTTGTTGCAATACGATTACTATGATCATTCTGGCCATTTGTTGACAATAATCGTTGATTACCATTATCATCATCATCATTATTATTATCAACATTTATTTGTCGTTGATCATTCATCGATGTATCAGTTCCGTCTGTATTGGACAATTCATTCATTTCGATTGCATGACCATTTGGTATGATTCGAACATGATCAACAGGATGATGATTATTTTGTTGACCATTCAATTGTTGTTGTTGTTGTTGTTGTTGTTGTTGATATTGAACATATGGATGTCCATGAATTCTAGCTGGATATCGTCGTAATAATAATGTGTAAATAAATACCAATATGGTTTCAATAAAACTAATAATAACTTCGATTAGATCGGTTTTTGTCATCCAATCTAATAATTGTTCAGCATCCATTTTTTTGATTTCATGATGAAAACGTTCTGCATTCGTAAGGGAACGATATTTAAACCATTCAAATTCGTCATTATTTTCGAAAATAAATTGCCGTAAACGTAATAATAATGATACAAATGTTAGTATGGCAAAACAAAAAATGGGACAAAAACGTTCCTGTTCAATAATGTAAACATATATTACACAGTAAAGAATTTCAACGAGAATAATTCCGGCCACAATTGTCATGGATAATACTTTAACTTGATTATTATTCACTGTTGTATCGCCAAAGGAATGTGTCATATCTGATTCCATTGTTAGATTTGGATTTTCAAATGATTCATCTGGAATATCATCAGGTAGAATTTGTGCTTCAGCTTTCGGCATACGTTGTTGTTGTTTTGTTGTTTGATTTCCAGCAGCTACCACAGTATTATCAGTAGTGTTAATCGGTATTATCATTTCTTCGATGGGAATTTCTTCATCCACATTTGTTGGTATGAGAATTCCTTCATCATCATCATCATGATGATGATGATAATGGACATCATTACTAATTGAATGTAAATTATTTTCATATTGATAATGTAATTCAACATAACGTCGGATATAATATTGTTTTATAATCAATAATTCAATCACCGTATATAATAGGAACAAGAATATTGTGATGATCAATGAAAATTTTATATAACGACTTAAATGGTATGGATTCATTTTGAATGGCAACATGATAATTCTATAGATTTTCGATCATTAAAATTACGATGAATGAAAAACGATGAAAATACGATTTTTGGTTTTGTTTTGTTTTGTTTTGTTTGTTTGTTTGCATACACCACCACAAAGTTCAACCTGAATAACAACAATCAGGTTTATATTATGTAGTTGTTCTCATTTTTTCTTATGAATCATCATCATCATCATCATCATCATTGATCATTGAATGTTTGAGAAAATAGCAACAGCAAAAAAAAAATATTCATTCAAGCAAGTCGATTGTCGAAAAAAAGGGCGTTGGACTTGATTTTTGTTTTTGAACAAAAAAAAACGTATAATGTCATCAACCGTATTTTTTTATTACTATTATGACATAAGGCGGTAATCGACGATAACTGCAAGCAAACAAACAAAAAATGTAGCAGCATGTAACAAACGAAAAAAATAAATAAACAAAACAAAATTCTTCCAATTTTCGTTATTAATGATGATGATGATGATGATCCATGATGGTATTTGTTCAGACAAATTCAAATGAATTATTTGATAAAGTATATGAGAATAAAGTGAAAAATATAATACGCAAGTACCGGATAACTGTGCATACAGGTAAATGAACTCGAAACTGGCAACTGGAAGAAGAAGAAGAAGAAGAATAAAATTGACATTTAAAATGCAATAATAATAATAACCGTAGTGTACAAGAAAAAAAAACCCACGTACCTATGAATCCAATTAAATCATCTAGAACATTTGGAATAACATTTTTTTTTCATTCGCTTGCCATTCAAAATCCTTTAATAGCCAATATAGGTTTGTTTATGTCTCTCTCTCTCTCTCTTTCTCTTTTTCGAAGATGAACGTGGCTCAATCGTATGGCTCCCTGTTGTTTAACATCATTTATTCATGATTATCATTTGAAGGATTCAATGCTTCTACGACTTAATGTTGAATATATGAAAACAACAACAACACAGAAACAGGTTCTTGGGTTTTCATTTCATTCATTCATTCAGGTGTTTATTTACAAATATATGAAAATCATCAGAAAATGTGTGTTATGAGAATTTAGAGTAATAACACAAGTATTACATACGTTTGATTTACGTTTTTTTCATTTGGATCTATCACCAAATGATGAAGATGTTTCGTAATCTAAAAATGAGGTGGAAAAATTGATCGAAAAAAAGAACATTTTTCATTGAGTTTGGCTTTTGTCGTTTTTTTTTACAAAATTTATTTAGATCGATCGAATGAATAACATCATCATCATCAACAAAACTCAATATTTCAATGTCAACTTTTTCTTGATTCTATAATTAATGTTTCGAAATATTCAATAATAATAATAATGATAATGAATGTTTTTATGTAATCATCTGGCCTAATTATCATCATCATGATCATCATTAGTTTTTTTTTTGTATTTGATGAATCGTTTTTTGTTTCTTATTGATTATCATTATTATTGTCATTCTTTGTATTCTATATCCATGAAGCGCGGAATAAATTTACTTTTTCTGTGTGTACTTAATATTTTTTTTTTTTTTTTTTTTTTTTAGTTAGAAAACTTTTTGACAAGTTTTTTTATTGTCTTTCTTGATGATTGATTTTTATATAGTTATGATGGAAATTTTTTTTTTTTTTTTTTTTTTGATCATTTTAGAAACAATAAATCGATCAAAAAAAATTATGTTTTCAAAGATATGAACATTTTTTTTCCGGTGAAAATACACAGTTGAAAAAACGACAACAATAGTTTTCCTCGTTTCCTCATTACCGGAGAATTTTCATTAGTTGATTTTTCATCATAAAACCAGAGTTTTGTCCCTATTTCGTCCCTATTCGACGATTTTCCATTTAAATTGTTTTTTTATGTTTTTCGATACATTCGATCATCATCATTTGGAATAATTTCTTCATTTGATAAACAACTAGCTCTTTGAAAGAGAATTGAATTTTTTTTTTTTGTAATTTCAAACGATGGCAAATGGAAAAATTATGGATATGATCACCATGATTATGGTGATCATACGTGATAATATCTTCTCCATAAGAATGGTATTTATGAATATGACTAAAATCCTTTATCCATTCATACTATGTGAAAGGATGGATTTTTTGAAAAAATATTTCAATTCATACATTGATGGTAGAGAATGTAAACAAAAAATTATTCATAATTCAATTGGTAAACAATTTCATTTTGAATGGACAACAACATTATTGAAATCATCATCATCATCATCATCATCATCATCATCAACATCGAAATTGTCACATTTGTTCAACTATCGGATTGATTCAATTAACTTTAATCGTTGCTATAATAAAAAATACATATGAAAATTTCTTTACTCAAAGAGATTTTATTGGCCATTATGTAAATGGCAACTTAATCGCTATCATGCATTTGGATCGTATTGCCAGTTTATTTGCTAGCATGTTATTATTGAAATCAATTTCATTTCATCATAGACTTTATTATGCTAATCCAGCCATAACCATATTGAATAATGTATTATTCAATAATAATCAAAAATATTTTCATCCACCATATCGTTATCGATTGAAAATGGCATCCATTGTTGTTCGAAATATGACAAAAAGGTTATTAATTCATTTGTATCATTTATCATCATGCTCAGTAAGTATAATTATTGAATATATAATATTACTATCCACTATTGATTGATTCTATTTATTCTATACACACACACACAGATTTGACAATATTAATGATGGATTTAACAACATTAATATTCATTTATAATAATTGGAATTATTTACCCACCATTGATATTGAAATTATTGGCAATTTATATCGTTACATGACAATGATTATAATGTTTTTATATTGGAAAATGTTTGAATTATCAATAATATTCTGTGCATATTGTAATACATTAATGGCCACATGTGTATTGTCATACTTGATTATATTCTATATAAATGTTTGGCAAACAGAACAATTATTGATTGATGATTATAAACAAATGAAAATGATGCCACGAAAATTGATATTATTTCAACATTTTAATACAGAAAATTTACGTTTACTTTGTTCTGGCCGTGTATATTCTGAAGCATTACTAGAATTCTTAATCCTAAACATTCCAGTCAATTGTTATTTGATTTTAATCACTATTTCAGGCACTGTTGAAGGATTTTCCAATCTATTCATAATCACAATGATTACACAACAATTATTAGGTCTTTTTGTTTTTCATTTAATGTTTGCCATTTGTAATAGTAAATTTCAAGATTCATCCATTCTATTCATTAAACAATTGATTCATTCACATCGATTCATGCAAAAACGATTGCCCATATTGGTTAAACTATCAAATTATGGCCAAGCATTTCATACGAAAAATAAATATGGCTTTACATATGGTAAATTAGGATTGATTACCATTCAAGAATTTGTAATGGTAAGAATAATTGGTTTTATAATAGAATATATTTTAAATTTACATTTGGATTTTTTTTTATTTTCTATCTTTTACAGTTTCTTTTGCTTTATTTGGAATTTTTCATGTTCATTTATAAACATACAACATGACAGCCATTTGGTTTTGTATTGATAAATTGCATAAATTTTTTTTTTTAGAAATAGTTTATCACTGAGATTTGATATTCACCAGAAAAAAAAAAAAAAAAAACGATTCACATCAAATGCGTGTTATGATTAGATTTAATTTAGTAAAATAAAATTTGCTGATTTATGAGTCGATTGTAATAAATTGATTATTTCCAATTCCGGTTCAATTTGATTTTCTCTCTCTCTCACTCTTTTTTTAAAATTCAAATCATTATCATTATCATCATCATCATCATCATCATCATTGATGTAAATTGATAGACAAACAAACAAATGGAAAAAAAATGACTAAAGAAAATATATTTCATCGAGCCAAAAATGTGCCTGAAACGTGTCGATCAGAGAAAATGAGAGATCACCATGATGATGATGATGATGATGATAAAAAAACAACGATTATGAATTTGGAAAACGACCAAATATTTTTTTTTCTTTTTATTTTCGATTTCGACCAATCAATTTTTATATATGGATCATCAGCGCTGATTGATGATGACGACGATTGACATAAGGAAAACATTCATTTGTTTTATTTCGAGGTCAAATCCTGGGTCAAGAACATATGTTGTACATTTTTTTCATTCACAGATAAACAAAACAAAAAAACATTGAATGGTATCCATCATTTTAATTGAATTTATTTTTATCATCATCATCATCATCATTGATGATTTTTCTGGAATTTATTTTGTCAACATACCATTTGGATGCCATTTTATCATCGAACAAAGTCTTTATTTTTTTTTTGTTCGTTTATTTTAAAATGAACCATTTTTTTTCCACACATTTTCACTGATCTTTATACAATGACTTAGCATAAAAAAGAAATGGCGCGAACCATAAAGTAAATGATGAATGAATGTTTACTACACACAAGTGTTCGAAGTTTGAAATTCGTATGTTTCATTCATCAAAGCAGAGAGAAAAAACGTATCGGAAAGAGTTCAAATTAATATTTTTTCTTGTCCTTATAGACAGATGGTTATTGGTTTTCATGGTATTGATTTTGGAATTTGGACTTTATCATACATTTGTGATTCGAATAAAATGATGAAATTTGGTGGTGATTGCCTATCAACAACGGAAAAAAAATCGTATGTTTTTTTTCGTTTAGCTTTTTTTTTGTTTTGTTTTAAAGATTTGATAGAAAAAAAATTGATAAAAATCTTTCTTTGATTACATATCAATCATTGATTGAATGGACTATAGTGTGAATGAGAATGTGTGGGAGGAATTTGGGAAAAAATCGAACCATACTTTTTTTTGTTCTTTATCAAAATCGATACGAATCTTGGATATAAAAATGTGAAAATTCATCGAAAATTGAACATGTGGATATATAAATTTTTTTTGTCCATCATTTTTTTTTTAGGTCGTCATTGTAGCCGATTTCATTTTTCACATCAACACACCACTCATTTGAGTTCTGGAAATTTCGAATTTATTTCAATTCTTTGATTGTTGTTGTTGTTGTTGTTTTTTTTGGTGGGGAATTTACATTTTTCATCACTTTGGAATTTACAATAAAAACAAATTTTGAGTGATTTTCAAATTTTTCATTCATTCATTGATTAAAACTGCCACAAAGTATCTATTTTTTGAAGAAAATGTCGATTGCAGAACAACAACAACAACAACAACAATCATCAAATGGTGATCATGGTGATTCCAATACACCAATTACCAATGGTCATGATGATGGTAACATTAATATTATGGTCGATTCTAATAATAATCATCAACAACCGGAAGAAGTGTTTCTATTCACATCTGAATCGGTTGGTGAAGGACATCCAGGTTAGTAATAATGATAATATTATTAAGTTATATAACCTCTAACCTTTTTCTGTTTTGTTTATAGATAAAATGTGTGATCAAATTAGTGATGCTGTATTGAGTGCATTTTTGCGATTAGATCCAAATGCAAAAGTTGCATGTGAAACAATCACAAAAACCGGAATGATTATGGTTTTTGGTGAAATAACATCATCAGCACATATTGATTATCAGGATGTTGTACGACAAACAGTAAAACGTATTGGTTATGATTCAAGTGAAAAAGGTTTCGATTATAAAACCTGTAATGTATTGGTAGCCATTGAACAACAATCATCAGAAATTGCATCTGGTGTTCATTATGAACGTTCCGAAGAGGATATTGGTGCCGGTGATCAAGGTATAATGTTTGGTTATGCAACCAATGAAACAGAAGAATGTATGCCATTGACCGTTGTACTTGCACATCAAATTAATGCAAAATTAGCCGAATTACGACGATCAGGTGATCTGTGGTGGGCACGACCTGATTCTAAATCACAGGTTACATGTGAATATCATATTATCAATGGTCGAACAATTCCAACACGTGTTCATACGGTCGTAGTGTCAACACAACATTCAGAAAAAATTGGTTTAGATGAATTACGACGTGAAGTAAAAGATAAAATCATCAAATCTGTCATTCCGGAACGATTATTGGACGAGAAAACACGTTATTACATTAATCCATGTGGTAATTTTATTCTTGGTGGTCCATACAGTGACGCTGGTTTAACTGGCCGTAAAATTATTGTCGATACATATGGTGGTTGGGGTGCACATGGTGGTGGTGCATTCAGCGGTAAAGATCCATCCAAAGTGGATCGTTCAGCTGCTTATGCTGCAAGATGGGTGGCTAAAAGCTTGGTCAAAGCTGGTCTATGTAGTCGATGTTTGGTTCAGGTATGTGTGTGTGTGTGTACCAGCAATTTAAGAATAACTAACTATTGCCTTTTTTCCCAAAAAAAACATCTAGATTTCATATGCAATCGGCGTTGCTCAACCAATTTCAATTACAATCATGGATTATGGTACTGGAAAAAAATCAACAAAAGAATTATTACAAATTGTTAAGAATAATTTCGATCTTCGTCCCGGAATGATTATTAAGGAATTGAATCTACATGCACCAATCTATGATCAAATCGGTGCATATGGACATTTTGGTCGTGATGATTTTACATGGGAACAGCCAAAAAAATTAGTTTACTGATATAAAATTCGATTTTATCGATTCATTCGAATTCTGATTGTTTTCAATATTATCGTTATCGATATTATTATTATAAAATTATTAATTTTTTTCAATTTTACTAATAAAATCTCTTTGCAAAGAAAAAAAAACACAATTGAACTTTCGAACAAAAATTTTAATTCAAAAAAAAAAAAATTTCAATCAACAACACACACACATGCACACATACAACCAATTAGAATTCACATTCGATTCTAATTCATTAATCAATCAGTAGTTCCGGTTGTGGCCATTTGATTTGCACGTTGAAATGCTGCATCCACAGCACTACAAATACATGAATGAACTTTACCCTTTTCCAATGTCATTAGGCCATAGACAGCACCGCCGGATGGACTACATGCTTCATCTTTTAAAAAATCAGAATTCTTTCCCGATGAAAATAATGTTTGTGCAACTGAAGAGATCATTTTAGCTGTCAATTTTGTTGCATTATTTCTTGCCATTCCTAATTTAACACCACCATCAGACATTGCTTTTAGAAATTCAAGAGACTAGGAAAAAAACCATTATTAAGAGATTTCAGTGAAAAAAAAATCAAGAAAAATACATACAAATGCAATTCCAGCACCAGCAATAATGCAGCAAATATCCATCATATCTGCTGAAAGATATTCCAATTTCGATACCCGTGAAAGTAAATCACGTACTGGTTCAGCTAGATTTGTACTATCGGGTTCAACATCAAAATAACAATTACCAGCACCAAATGCAACCGATGGACTAATAACACAACGATGAAATTTTATCGTATATTTTGCCGGATCTTCTGGATTCAATAAACAAAGTTTAATCTGATCGGTTGTAAATCCAAACACAACGGATAAAACATATGCTGGATGACGCATATTTGGAATGAAATTTGTTGTCAATGCAGCCGGTTGTGTACCACCAATACGATAAAGATTACGAATTACTTGTGGATTAACACAAATGAAAATGATATCACAATCATAACGACCAAATATATCAATATTTCGTTTAGTTGTTTTCAAGCCTTTATATTCCTCTTTAAGATGATCAGTATTCGTTGTACTAGGTGCCGATACATGAATACGTTGTGGTTCAACACGTCCATATTTCACTAGACCTTGAATGATTGCTTGAGTAATTTTACCTGCACCAATAAAACCAATTTTTGCTGCACCTGAATCGGCCATTTGACGATTTGAACTTTTACGTGATGTTCGTGCCATTGCTCTTCTCTAGCTTTTTCTACTTTTTTCTTTTTTCGATTGAAAAATTCACAAAAATTCGATATGGAAACAAACAAAAACTTTTTCGAGAAAAAAAAATAACAACTAATAAACACAAACAAACAAAAAACAAAAAACAAAAAAAAAGAATTGAAAAATTTACAAATTTGCGGCATTGTATTTATATGGAAATTTGTTGATTTTTTCGGTGAATTAAAAAATGATTAAATTTCATCGAATAAATCAATTTTTAATTCTTTATTTCGAACAGAAATCGAAAATTTTTTTTTGTTGTTTACAAAAATTTTTGTTGTTGTTGTTTCCCTTAAAGTTTTTCCAATGCACGTTCATGATCATCTAGAAATGTTTCCATTGTTGGTTTTGGTTCACGTCTTATACGTAATTCTTGGCTAATCTTGAATTCTTTATCCTCTTCACGTTGCATTAAAAATTGAATAACGGATAATGTGGCCACAGCAAATGGAAATACAAAACAAACAATTGAACCACGTAGATATACATTAGCCAGTCCCCATACGGCAAACACATATGACAATATTGATAATGTAATCAATTGATATTGATTTTCAGCATGAATACCACGTACAATAAACATTAAACCGAGTAGATCGGCCACTATGACCGATGTAACTGTCCACCATTTCCATGTAGTGACCGCAGAATATCGACGAGCATTCTCATACGTTAGATTGTATTCCCAATCAGCTTGTTCGAAAATGAAAATAAAAATCCATACCGATGATACTAGATATGCGATTGCCATTACAAGATTAAAATATTTAACAAAACGATATTCAGCTGTACGTGCATCTTGTGCATCATGTTGATAACGATATGCATAATCAACTGGATCACCACGTGTTTTTGCAACCATTTTTTTTCGTTTTTCGTTTTTGTTGTTTCAAATCAACAAAAAAAAAACCACAAATCATGGATCGTTTACGAATGACAAACAAAACAACAATAATGTTGAAAACAAATTGGATAAAAAAAAATCCAATGAATCATAATTAGATGTGATGATCATAAAATTCATTGATGATTGCTTACATTTGATTGTTGATTTGACGACGACAACAGCACCAACAGCAACAGAAAAACATTGGCAACAAAAATTGCGGTCTTCTTTGATCCAGTATCATAAACTAATGATGATGATTTTTGATCATCATCAGTTACCCAGGTAACTACGTATCAATTTCCGGTTACCCGGTAAACTTAACATATGTATTCACGAGCACGCATACAAGAAAACAAACACAGAAAAAAAACAAGAAGAAAACAATCAAAAGAAATTTTATCAGAAAAATTTTCAGAAAAAAATTTTCCGGTTCATCAATCATAATGAATCACGAATGTTTTGTTTGTTTGTTTTTTTTTTTTTTTTTTGAAAATCTATAGAGAGAAAAAAAAAGTTCAATCCATCATTATATCAGAATAATAATCAACAAATATAATCACTATATATATAGTGATGTAATGTGTATTTCATCATTAACTAGGCATCATTTTGTGTGTGTGTGTGTTTTGAGTAATGACAAACAAACAAACAAACGAAAAAAAAGAACAAAATTAAAATTCAATATATAATAAAATCAATAAACTACTCAATAACGAGCTATCCAACATCACAATTTTTTATAATAAAAATAAAATTCTCTTCGGTTTTTTTTTTTTTTTTGGATACAACAAACCCCCTTTGTGTGTAAATGAATGAATGAATGAATGAATGATGAGAAAAATTCAGCAAAAACATGATTCGATTTTTTTTTTCGCTATTAGTTTTGGTGTAAACAATTGTAATAGTTGATTAACAAGAAGAAAAAATGATAATTACAGCCAATTAAAACAGATGAACAGATGTGATGATGATAATGATGATGATGCAATTAATCAATCAATCAATCAATCGATCGATCGAATATATAAGGGGTTAAAAAAAGTTTCTTTTTTTTTTTTGCTTTGTTCCATTTTTCATTATTAGTCGTTTTGGAATTGGCTTTTTTGTTGTTTAGATTATTATTATTTATCATGATTATTTTATTATTATTATTATTATGGAAGTAGTTATGTTGTTTGTTTTTTGTATGGTGTTTGCATCAAAAAATGGTCTATTCATTCAGGCAAATTGTTCGTACCAATTGTTCGCATACAACATATGGATCCATATTGGATGCTGGTCGTCGATCTTCCAAATAACCATAACCATCATCGGCAACTTGTCTTGGGATACGAACAGATGCACCACGATTAGCAACACCGTAAGTGAATTTATCCATTGAACTGGTCTCATGTTTACCGGTCAAACGACGTGCATTATCAGCACCGCCACTTGGATCATATTTGACAATATGTTTGGCATGATTCTTTTCCAATCGTTTACATGCGGCTTCAATCTCAGCCAAACCACCTTTTTCACGCATAGCTTTGGTTGAGAAATTCGTGTGAGCACCAGCACCATTCCAATCACCTGGAATTAATTTCGGATCAAATGTAACGGCAACATGAAAATCTTCGGCAACACGGTGTAACAAGAAACGTGCCATCCATAGATCATCACCAATCGAGATGCCTTTGCATGGACCGACCTATATTTTGATAAAAAAAAATTATGAAAATCACGAAAATCAAAATCAAGAAATCGGTTTTACCTGGAATTCCCATTGCGATGGCATTACTTCGGCATTTTCACCGGCAATCTTAACACCAGAATACATACATGCTCGATAATGTGCTTCAACAATATCTCTTCCAAATACACGATTAGCACCAACACCACAATAATATGGACCTTGTGGTCCAGGGAAACCACCTGTTGGCCAACCTAATGGCTTGTTACGATCGGTACCATCCAAAAGTGAATATTCTTGTTCAATACCGAACCATGGTTCTTGATCAGCAGCCATATCCATGACAGCATTACATGTATGTCTAGTATTTGAGGGCGTCGGTGTTTTATCATAACGGATTGTTTCACAAAGAACCAATTTATTATTGCCACCACGAAATGGATCACTATAGACTTGTACCGGAAATAGATAAACATCGGCATTTGAACCTTCTGATTGATAGGTAGAGGAGCCATCGAAATTCCAAATAGGCAATTCGGATGATGATTTCGGAACAAAATTCAATGTTCGTGTTTTAGCACGAAGACCTTGTTGACCATCGATCCAAACGTACATTGCTTGTACAACATTTTCCGGTTGTCGAAGGGCCATATATCTGGCCAAAAGGCCAGCATTCGATTCCAAACTGGTTATGTTTTGCATGCTGATTTCTATACAGTGGGAAAACAAAACAACAAAAAAAAGAATTGTAAACAAACGAATTGTAAGAACAAACGACAAAACAAACACCACAAAAAACAGAAAGAGAAAAAAAAATGTTATGAATGATTTAATTTGAATAGAAACGGGTTGTATATAAAGGCAAACTTTTTGTAAACGTATAAAAATGGATGGATTTTTTTTTAGGAAGGGGGAGTTTACTGATAGGAGATTAAAAAAAAAGATAAAAACGAATGAAAAACAGACAGACAGACAGACAGACAGACACACAAACACAATCATACATGGTAAAAGTGATGATTGAGAGTATATAAGAGTAAGGATAAAAACAAATTGAATTTGATTGATTAATTCAAAATTAATCAAATGACTAAAGTCAATAATAATAATAATGTTATTATGTATGTATGTATCATTGGAAATGTATGGTATGATGAAAATGATGATTTGAAGTTGATTGATGAAAATCCTTGAGCATTTATAATCAAGACTATCATCATCATCATCATCAATATTTGTCGTCATAGCCATAGCATTGATTACACACACACACACACACACACATTATGAATAAATAAAGAAATAGAAATTCGAAAATTGAAAATCAAATAAACAAAAAAAAAAAAAAAAAAAATATCTTCTTATTACCATTTTACTGATTTTTTTTCGATATATATGATATTATCATCATCATCATCATCATTATATCAAATATCATGAATGAATGAATAAGTGAATTTCTTTCAAGTTAACATCATAGTATATCATCAATCAATCAACATAGTGAAAATAAATATTCGAATATAAATATTTGATTCGATTTCTACCCAAGTATGGTTGTGCAATCACATAATGGCATAAATATAGTGTGAAAAACAGTGAAAAAAAATAGAAATAAAAAATCACCTGAGAAACGACCCTCAAACATCATCATTTTTTTTTTTTTTTTTTTGATCAAAATCATGGACAACGCCTACGCATAATATATTTATTTATTTATTTGTTGTTGTTGTTGTTGTTGATGGCAACAAATCTCATTTTCATTCAGTTTATTTAACATTTGTTATTATGATTAATGATGAGATGGAAATCCACTTGAAATGAGAATAATAAACAAACAAAACAAATAATCCTTATTAAAAATCGAATCCAAATGCTCCATTCTCTCATTCCCACACAAAAATCGGTTGGCCTATGAAAACGAAAAAAAACAAACAAATAGGAATCACCACGAGAAAAAAAATGAAATTAAAAACCTCTAAAACACCCCTGCAAAATGATTAGAGAGAGAGAAAAAAAACCGATCCAATTATCATATAACTAAAAAACATGATCGTATCATGATCATGATGATAATATATACCGAACCCGAAACATTAATCAATCAATCAATTTATTACTGTTATCATCAAATTAACCATATTCGGAAATGAATAAATTGAATAAAATGCCAGACAGAACAACGAGAGAGAGAGAGAGAGCGAAAAAAAAGAACCCAATAATAGATAAGAAACAATGAATTGATTGATTTCAATACATCGATACTGATGATGATGATGATGATCACATGATGACCAGATGATTTGATCATCAATAAGAGGCGTGTGTGTGTGTGTGTATGTGCGTACATTATTGTTTGTAATTATTAGAATCAAAAATCGAATGATTAAGGAGGATATACCATATCATTCTAATAAATTATGTGAATTTATCATCATCATCATCATCATCACTGTCATAAAATTGAATATATACATAAATGGGGTTTTTTCCAGCAGAAAAAAACTTTTTCAAAAATTTTTTTTTACAGGATAGATTTTCATCTTCTTGAAAACAGACACAAACACACACACACACACACAGTTTATCACCACAATACAATGGTGATGGAAAAAAACATTTGACAAAACATTTATCGAATTATTCAAATGCCGACTAACTGGCTGACTTTTTTTTCTCTCTCTCAACCATTCAATCAATAATATTCGATCCATCATCATCACATTAAATCCCAGATGTCCGGGTGAAAATATCGAATTGAACTGGCAGAAATTTTTTTTTTTTTTTGCTTTATGTACTGTAGAAGGTCAAATTGATTTTTTCTCTCTCTCTCATAAACTTCCAGTGATATTCGCATGTACAAAAATAGAGAAGGTTTAGGATTGCCGCACTATTGAATTATACAAATTAATAATCAATAATCAATATATCAAATGATGATGAACGATGAAAAATGATTAATGTTTGCCAATGGAGAGAAAAAAAATGAATTTTGATTCAATTATCATAAATAAAGGAAAAAAAATGACCATGAAAATTGATTAAAATCAATCAATGTCAATTATTATATTAAGCAAAAACGGAATCAATGGCCCCACTACATAAAACATCTGGAATCGTTAAAATTCTTCAAATGAAATTCTTTTCTAGAATTACAATTTATTCATGTGATGACAAACTTGCACATAGAAACGCAGGTTTATATTTCATACACTCACACACACACACACATCTGTTTGAATTGATGATGAAAATCAAAAAATTTTCTCTTGAATTTTTTTTTGTCGTTGTCGTCGTATTCATTTTCTTGAAAAATCACAATCGCACGAGCACACAAGATGATGATTTTGTATTCATATATATGACACTCTTGTTTCAACCAACAAAAAAAAGACAGTCGTTTTTTGTTTCACCATTGACGACAATGAAAAAAATGATGATCGTCTACAAAAATTTAGTTCAAAAAAAAAATGATGATGATGACGATGATGATGACAATCTCTCTTCTTCAGTCATCGATGATTGTTGTTGTTACTAAAAATAATGTACTTTTTTTTTCTTCTGTTAATCCTCGTCAAGGTGAATTGTTTATTCAATGTTCGTTTTTCATTTTATTTCAGATGTTTTTTGTTGTTGTTGTTGTTGTTCAAGAATTTACAAAACAAAACAACAACAACAACAACAAATCAGACGAAATATTCATAGATTCCATTGATGATGACCACCAAACAAGAATATTGAGCAAAGTGAATAAAACAAAACAAATCTGACTGGTTATTACGTCATAGGAAATGATGATGCAATAATTAGCCGAAAATAATATTCAATGTTGATGAAACGCGAACGCAATACACACACACACACACAGAGAGAGTTCAATACTTTGATTGTTTATGTATCTACTATATTGAATGTATAGAATAATTTCAAGAATTTTTCAATTTGAAAAAATCAAATTTGATTTTAATTCCGATTTGTCAGAAAAAAAGCTATAAATAATGCAAAAAAAAATCCATCATGGTTGCTACACAACTACACAGAAAAAAATGGCCATTAATTAATGTGAATGAAATGGACGAAAGAAAAATCGTCATAATGGTAGAATTGTCATTATGGAATAAGAATATAGAATTCAATAATAAAATAATGGAACAGAAACAGAAACATATGTGTATAGACCTTGGAAACCAGAGAGAGAGAGAGAGAGAGAAAGAATATAATTATCGTTCATTTCATTCTGCTGTTATTGTTGTTTGTTGTGTGTGTGTGTGTGAGAGAGAGAGAGAAAATTCTAATTACATTTTTGGAACATATAAAAGGAATTGCATTCAATTCAATTCAATTCTTGGCATAGTTTTATTATTCCTGGAAAATCTGATGATGAGAGTTTCTAGTGTGTGTGAGAGAGAGAGAAAAAAAAAGTTGCTCAATATTTTTATTATGGTCGATTCATAGATTTTTTTTTCGTTCATTCATTTATTTAACAGAGGTAATACTGGTGAGGTAAAAAAAAGACATATGTTAACACACAATAATGTTAATCACATATATAATTTGATCGATTAATCAATCAATCAATCAAATCAATCGATCGATTGATTGATTGATTGATTGGCTATTTCTCTAGCTCATACAATCAAAATAATAAAACTCACCTTGATTAGATAATAATAATAATTTTGTACAATATGCAAATATGTAAAACAAATATATTCACATAATAAAATCAATTAATTTACAAACAAGCAAAATCAAAATCAAAAAAAAAATTTCCATAAAAAACTAATAATTGAATTGGACAATGATCAAGTTTCAATGTTTTGGTTTACAGACACGTCATAATATACACTGACTGATGATAAAAATTATATACATCCAGCCATGCACAAATATATTTTTGTAAAATCAAAAAAAAAAAAACAGAAAATCAGAAAACGAACGAACAAAAATTCATTTAAATATATTCAGCATATATATGATGATGATGATGATGATATGATTTGATGCGCATAATTTGTTGAATGTAGCTGCCTGTTGTTGTGTGTTATATACAAAAAGAAGGAAATGATTTCCTCATTCATACATTCAAACAAAACAAACAAACAAACAAACAACCGAGAATAAAATTTAAAAAAAAATGAACTTGATTTTCAAAAGTAGTGAAAGATCAACAGAACACAGACACATATACAACAGTCATCATTTTAATTAATATATATATATATGTGTGTGTGTACAACAACCATATAGATCGACAAATGTACAAAAAAAAAAAATTCACTAAATCATCATCATGATCATCATGATCATCATTTAGATTTTGACATTGAATATAGTGATTTATAATCATCATATACATATCATACAAAAAATCAAGAATATCAAGGCCAATGCCAAGGGCAAAGGGGTTGGTTAATGATTTGACATTTATTTATTCATACATACCCAACATAATTATTTTCTTTCAATGGTGATTTATTTTTTGATATCTGGAAAAAAAATTGATTTGTGATTGAATAGTTTATTTTTTTTTTTTACTCCTCTTATATCGATATATATATATGTAATTGTTTATGGATTGATTGATATCATGAATTGATTTTCGTTGATAATGATGTGGATGATGATGATGATAGCACAATTTAATATTGGATGAAATGAAAAAAATATCAATGAATGAATGGCACTAATATAGTAAGCAGTGATTTTTTTTTCTTTTTTTATTTGGAATTTTTGAAAACAAAAATTTTTATCACACACACACACACACGCACATTACAAAAAAAAAAATACCATTGATTGATGATGAATCGAAGAACAAACGAATCGATTTTGTTTGTTTTTTGTTTGGAATATTTTTCGCTCTCGCTGCAGAGTGTGTTTTGTGTTTTGAATGCGTTGTTTTAATTTACTAATGGCCAGTAAGTGTATTCTTCCGTGAATGATATAACAGAGAGAGAGAGAGAAGAATTTTTGGTCCATTCAGAGAAAAGTTTTGGTAAAGAAATTTTCGTTTTTTACTTTCATTCATTCATTCATTCAATTTGACCACCATCATCATCATCATTTATATATTATGTGATGAGATGAGACAGGACAATGTGAAATGAATGATTCTGTTTTTTTTTTTTTTTTTTTTTTTGGCAGAAACAAGAAACAAGAAACACAAAAATAAGCTCGAAACTCATACGCATGTTTTTTTTTTTTTCTCCATTACAAAAAGTACACAAGAATATCAGCTACGAAAACGAAAAAAATAAATCAAGAACGTGACTTGCAAAAGCCTAGAATTTTGATGTTGATGATGATAATCAATGAAAACACTACTACGTCGCTGTGTTCGAAATAAATTCCTATGTTGTGTAACTACTGCTCTGCTGCTGCTGCCAGCCATCATTCGATGATCATAAGTTGCGTAGTTATTTTTTTCCGCTGTGAAAAAATATAGAATAAATATGGTTTTGAATCAATTTGAAAGAAGAAGAAGAAGAAAAACGTAGTGGTAACCCAGAAAAAAAATGAAAACAAAATGAATTTAAACGATGGCCATGATCACCATCATTCAATGATTTTTGTGGTTAATCAAAAAAAAAAAAAAAAAACTACAAACACAAACACACATTGAATATATAGAAATGAATATTTTATTACTGGAATATATCAGTATAAATATATGTGAGTGGTTTCACAAAAAGTCAATATTCTAAAATAAAAAACAAAAACAATGGAACAAATGGTTTTTTTTTTGATTCCATGTTGTGTTGTATATTGTCGATATATAATCATGCGTGTTTATGAAAAGTGATTCAAAAAGAAAAAACATTCCAAAACAATGCCATATACATAATTCTATTCATTCAGGCAAATTGTTCGTACCAATTGTTCGCATACAACATATGGATCCATATTGGCTGCTGGTCGTCGATCTTCCAAATAACCATAACCATTATCGGCAACTTGTCTTGGTATACGAACCGATGCACCACGATTAGCAACACCATAAGTGAATTTATCCATCGAACTGGTCTCATGTTTACCGGTCAAACGACGTGCATTATCAGCACCGCCACTTGGATCATATTTGACAATATGTTTGGCATGATTCTTTTCCAATCGTTTACATGCGGCTTTAATCTCAGCCAAACCACCTTTTTCACGCATAGCTTTGGTTGAGAAATTCGTGTGAGCACCAGCACCATTCCAATCACCTGGAATTAATTTCGGATCAAATGTAACGGCAACATGAAAATCTTCGGCAACACGGTGTAACAAGAAACGTGCCATCCATAGATCATCACCAATCGAGATGCCTTTGCATGGACCAACCTTTATTTTGATGGAGAAAAATTATGAAAATCACGAAAATCAAAATCAAGGAATCGGTTTTACCTGGAATTCCCATTGCGATGGCATTACTTCGGCATTTTCACCGGCAATCTTAACACCAGAATACATACATGCTCGATAATGTGCTTCAACAATATCTCTTCCAAATACACGATTAGCACCAACACCACAATAATATGGACCTTGTGGTCCAGGGAAACCACCTGTTGGCCAACCTAATGGCTTGTTACGATCGGTACCATCCAAAAGCGAATATTCTTGTTCAATACCGAACCATGGTTCTTGATCAGCAGCCATATCCATGACAGCATTACATGAATGTCTTGTATTTGATTGAGTGGCTGTAAAATCTTCATACAATGTTTCACAAAATATTAATTTGTTATTACCACCACGAAATGGATCATTATACATTTGAATCGGTGACAGATAAATTTCAGCATTTGTTTCCGTTATATAAGTTGAATGGCCATCAGTAGTCCATATTGGTAATTCATTAACAGATTTCGGAACAAAATTCAATGTCCTTGTTTTAGCACGAATATTTTGGTGGCCATCAATCCAAACGTACATTGTCTGTACATAATTTTCCGGTTGTTTTATAGCCATATATTTAGCCAATAGGCCAATCGATTTGTTGCTATTCATATTTGATGATCAATAATAAGGCAATAATAGTTTCTCAAAAACTTTTTCTTTTTACCAGTTTTTTATATTCGAAAAACAATAAATTATCATCATCCAAATATTCAAACATTAAATTATCATCATTATATTTATCTTTAAAAATCATATATCATGTGAAGACAAAAACTAATGATAAAATGAAACATAAGACTAAACAAAACAAAAAAAAAATTTTATTCTATTCTGGTTGTACATTATATTTTATTTAATCAAAGTTTATCGATTAATGAATGGACGGATATCGGTTTTTATTGGTTTTTCTAAACGGTATCATTTTTCATTCTTATGTCATTGTGTGAGTCTGTCATGTCTGTGTGTGTATTTTGCAATTTAATATTTTTTTTTTCTTAATAAAATTAAACCAAACAAAATTGTTCGGAACCGGTATGGAGATTTGAGAAAGAAAGAATTTTTTTTTCTCTCATTTATTTTTTCGTTCCATAATTTCGAATCGTTTCTTCATACAATGGTGGATATTCATCATCAGTTATATCGGATGATATTGAATCACGACAACTGCGATTACGATGTTTTCGGCCATTTTTATTACGACCAAAAGATGGTTGTACATCTGTCGATACCATTGTTGAACCTTGTGGTTGACCATAATTATTATTCACATAGATATATTCATGTATTTTCGATCCATGTGTATCCATTTGAGATTTTGTTGTTGATTTATGACATGCTTGATATGGTTTACGTTCGATTGTATCACCTGAAATGGAAATATAATTTCCTTTCGGTATGATAAACATTGGTGATTGATCCGAATAACGAATTCGATCACACATTCGACATAATAGCAAAAGAATGTACAAAAATAAACTTGTTGCGAAAAGAATGAATAGAATTCGTGTACCAAGCCAGAACATTTCTTCGGTTACTGGATCCATATCAAACCATCCATCGGATGTGTCACGATGATGCAACAATGATGGATCTTGTACATAGAACATACTTAATGATGATCCACAGTTGAGCATTTCATCATGGCCATTACCACAATTGTCTTCACCATTGCATCTATTGTTGAAATGGAATTTTTTCGAATTAAATTTCAAAAAAAAAAAAAAAAATAACTCACATCAAACTATTTGGAATGCAAACATGACCATCTGAATTGCAATCGAATGTTCCCGATGGACAACTAAGGTGTTTCTTTGTCTTTTTCGAATGTTTATGATGTTTAGACGATTTCTTTGACGATTCATCATCATCCATCTCTTCATCTTCATTTTCTTTTGGTTTGAAATACAAATTGATAATCAATTCTTCATCACTATCTTTATCCATATCGTTGAAGAAAATTTTTCTTTCCAATAGGATCCATTTTTCATCGGCAATATTTAAATCAATTGATCCGTTCGGTGATAATAGTTGAACAATATCATCCATATCAATCATATCGATGAATGAATTTGATTTTATCGAACGTTTTGTTCGTTTAGGCTCGGTTTCTTTACTTGTTGTTGTTTCTTTCTCCTTTTTGTTCATTTTTTCACCTTCATAGAAAAATTCAGTCATTTCTGGATCTGAGGTGAAAATTTTTACATTTTTCCAGAATGGATCGTTTTTCATTGCATCCTTCTGCCGGGTGATACTGCTGTCGGCATCCTTTTCAAGTGAATCGAATCTGAAATTTAAATACAGTGAGCGTATTTCATAAACCTTATTCAAGATACTTACATTCCACCAACAAATTTTCGAATGTTGATCATTAAACCAAGTTCAGCGTTTGATGGTTTTGATTTTTTTGGTTTTTTAGTCGAAGTTTCTTTTTTTGAAGATTCTTTTGCTTCGACTTTAGATGTTGATATCGATGATGATTCTTGAACTTTATCAACGACTTTAGATTCTTCTTTTTCTGATTTTTCTGATGATGGAGGCTTTGGTGTTGCATTTTGAACTTCTTTTTCACTCGAAACACTAGATGGTGATGAGCTTTCCTGGATTTCTTTTTCACTTGATGTTTTTTCTTTTGTCACTGACGATTTTTCATCATCAGCAATGGTCAAAATCGGTTTTTGTTCTTTTACATATTCGACGGCAGCGATCATTGGTTTTTCTTCCTTTGGCGATGGTGATGAAGTTATAGCAACTATCGATTCTTCTTCTTTCGTTGTTTTAACAACTTTATTTTCGATTGATTCTGTTTCTTTTGGCTCAGCTGGAATCCATGACTTTTTCATCTGATTCAGCCAAAGATGTTTTTTCTGGCTCTTTTTCATCTTGAACAATGTTAGATTTTTTCTCAGATTCAATTTCTTTGCCCTTTTCTTCAACAACTAAAGTTGATTTATCTTTTTCTGGCAATGATTCGGATTCTTCAACTGGTTCAAGCAAAGTTTGATTTTTGTTTGAATCTATATCCACTTCGGAATCAAGATCATCACTTGATTCTTCGGTGGCATTTTCAGGATTCGCTTTAAATCGAATCAACAGGCGACATTTTGCATAAGTACCATTCTTTTCAGCATTCGTTTCATTTAAAACTGTGTCATTTTCATCAAAAACTTGTGTAGGTAAAGTACTCATTTCGAACATTGGATTATCGGTATTTGTTTCATCACCAACAGCATCATCTGTAGTATCGTTCATTAAAATGGCTGATCGTTTTGCACGAATCACAATCGATGGTTGTTTAACTGGATCAAGAAAGATTTGTTTCAATTCTCGTTTGACAAGTACTTTTTCCTGTTCATCTTCTTTCATTGTTTCTTCAACATCCGGAGCGTTGACTGGTTCATCATCATCAACGATTGTATTCAATGATGTAAGATTTTGGATTTTTTTCTTAAATTCTAAAACAAATTTTTTCTTCTCATCACCTTCTGGTGTTTTTTCCACCTTTATTTTTGCTGTCATAGCTTGATCAATTTTTGTCGCTGTATTATTCTGAAAACGTTCGATCCATTTTGCATGTATTTTTTTAAACGCTCGTTTCCATGACCAACTACCATCTTCTTGTACATCACTATCGTTGGCTGATTGTTTATTATAATCCAATAAGATAATATCTTTATCATCACTTTTCAATTTCGATGCAAATGATGATGCAGATGTTGCTTGTCTTGGTACTCGTTTCAATGTATCTTTTTCAGTTTTGTCCGTTTCTTTTACATTTTCAGCTTCTATTGTTGTTGTTGTATCATCAATGACAGATTTTGATTCAGATTCTGGTTCAGGTTCTGGTTCTGGTGGTTTTTTTACACGAGTAAAATCTGGTCGAAATTTTTCACAAATCGTACATGATTCAGTAATATAGTAAATTTTACTTGAAATCGTTGGTCCAGGTGTTGCAAAATCCTGGAACGGTACCTGTAATTTAGCCGAATCGACATTGGTTCCAATCGAAATGATTATTGCCAATAATAATAATATGAATGTCGAATAATTAGACATTGTTGAATGTAGTGAATAACGAAATTTTGTTGTTGTCACCATTAAATAAATTGAAAATATTCGAACGCATATGAATCATTCAATAATAAATAATAAATTGAATTCATTCATTTCATTTCATATTTCATTTTGGCTAAAAGATGCGTTCATTTTATTATCAAGGCAAAGACAAGAAAAAAAAAATTTCCATTGATTATGTTATAAATATCGGGAGATATTGCACATCAACAACAACAACAACGACGACAGCTTGTGACCAGAAATCATATAGATTATGATGACAAAAAAAATTGAAGACATTTCTTTCATTATTATTATTGATGATGATGATGATGATAAGTTCTTCAGTAGCTTGATTGAACAATGATGATAAGATAAATGGTTTGATTTATTGAAAAACAAAATTTGAATTCATAAACAGATAAAATGTTATTTGGTGCAGCAATAACGCCATTGATTTCCAATCCATTGTCAATCTATCAAAAAAAAGGACATTGTCGTCTATAGTTTTCTGGAACAATCAATATCGGCTGATCTTATGGTTTTTTGAATAAATCCATTTTTATAAATGCATAATTTTGTTTTATTTTTTGAGCAACAAAAAAAATGTTCAACGATTGCTTCAAGTTATGGCAACCAAATCGCGATTCGACATTCCAAATACCGATTGAAAAATCAAGATAATCACAATTTCAATGTTTATAATATTAGCCATCATGGATAATCATTGTTTAGATTTAGATTTCACTCTTTTTTATATCTAAAAAAATTTCAATCTGAAAAAAAACAAACAAAAATATTTATATTTCAACTATTTAGAATGAAAAATAGAATCCCATTTAGCAAACCTCAACACAATTGATCATCGATCGTCGTACCATTTAATCGGAATCATTTATTTATATACCAATCATGTCATGTGACTTTATTCTTGTATATCATGAAAATGATGATATCATACATGATAAACAAAGACCATAACATATGTTGAGCCAATACCATTTCAGATGGTTCAAAGTTTTTCAACATCGTTGTTTCAAAATAAAACACTGGATGGAATATAAACCACACGGAAAGTGACCAACATTTAGTTGGCCAGCAAAAAAAAGTGCGCAGAATCAAATAAAAAAAATGAAATGAAAACAGAAAACAAATTCAGATTTGGGAGGGTATTATTTATCGAGATTCTTTTGTTGTTGTTGTTGTTGTTGTAGTTGTCAATCAATGATGATGACAATCATTGACATGATCTTTTTAGACTTTACCATCATCATCATCACTTTTAAATGTTTTCGTTAATTCATTCGATCGTGATCGAATTATATTGAAGATTATTGTGAAAAAAAAGTAGTCTTGGAAATTCGAATTTACGACAATGTCGTCATTGTCGTCTGCAGCTATAATAAAAAATCGAATTTTTCGAAACGGAAAAAAATTCTATAAATTCACGTATTTATATATCGACAAATTGCCAAGTCATTTTTCGTTGTTTTTTTTCTAATAATTCATTGTCGTTTTTTCCAGAACAAAATTATTCGAAATCCTGCTCACACTTATCAAGCAAAAACAGCAGCCGTAAAAAAAACATTTGTGTTGGTGTTTTTTCTCTTCAGGTGGTTCAGGTGCAATTCAAACGAATCGTTGAAAAAAAGACAAAGTTTTCAATTTTATAACGATGCGTGAATGTGTTACAATATTGACTGGCCAGGCTGGCATACAGATTGGCGATACATTTTGGGATATTATCCGTGCGGAACATGGAATCGAAACTGATGGTAAATTTGATGATCAGTGTAACCGCAATGAAAATGAAACTATTGACACAATGTTCAATGAAGCCAGTCGTGATGGTTATTATGTTCCACGCACTGTAATGGTCGATAATGATCCATCAGTCATCGATCATATTTTATCCGGTCCAAAAGGCAAGAATCTTTTCTCAAGTCGAATGACAGTCACCGGTACAGAAGATGCTGCCAATAATTTTTCTCGTGGTTACTATACGCTTTCATCGAAAATTTTGCCACCAACTATCGATGTGATACGTAAATCCGTTGAACTTTGTGACAGCTTTCAAGGATTTCAAATGTTTAATAGTTTTGGCGGTGGTACTGGATCTGGATTCTCTGCTCGTTTAATTGATCAATTAGAATTGATGTTGAATGGTGATAAATGTCAACGTTTAGAATTCAATGTATTTCCTTCGCCAAGATTATCGACGGCCATTGTTGAACCATATAATGCATTGTTTCGTGCTCACCATTCATTAGAACGTTCGAATTGTATGTTTTTGTTCGATAATGAAGCCTGTTATGAAATCTGTCGTCGGCAATTGGATGTTGAACGTGCTCATTATGCCCACATAAATCAATTGATTTCGTTGGTGGCCAGTTCGGTGACGGCATCAACACGTTTCAGTGGACCATTAAATGTTGATCTTGCCGAATTCGAAACCAATCTAGTCCCGTATCCAAGAATTCATTTTCCAAGTGCATCATATGCACCGATATCGAATCCATGTTGTCAACCATTCAATCAACCGATTAAAACATTGACACAAGCATGTTTTGAAAGCCGAAATCGTATGATTAAATATTATTCATCTTCCACATTACAATCAAAACATCGACAACAACAAGATAGTGGAAAATATATCACCTGTTGCCTATTATATCGTGGTGATTGTACACCAAAAGAAGTTAATGCATCAATGATTGATCTGAAACAACAGGAACATTTTGTCAATTGGTCACCAGCTGGTATGAAATGTGGTATTGCATCTGAACCACCACGAATGCTTGAAGATATTGCTCAAACAAATCGTGCCGTTTGTGCTTTATCAAATCATACCGGTATGGTTGAATGTTGGCGTTTATTATGTAGAAAATTTGATCTCATGTATAAGAAACGTGCATTCGTTCATTGGTATGTTTCTGAAGGTATGGAAGAAATGGAATTTAATGAAGCACGTGAAGATCTTGAATGTTTAATTGATGATTATATGGAAATTGATCGTACTAGTAGTGAAATGGCAAGTTTTGATACAATGGAAGAAATACAAATGAATAAGAAAACAACAAATGGTGATGTGAACAAAAATGGAACAATTGAAAATGGCCATCATGATGGTGACAATGATGACGTAATAATAAATGATGATTTATGAAAATTTATTTTTACATACCCCCCTCCACACACATCTTTATTACCTCAATATTTTGTCCATTATTATTTTTACTAATATATATTATTCATACTCAAAACTTTTTTTTTATTGAAAATTGAAAAAATAAAAAATCAGATTGAATAATAATCAATAGCAATATGATGTGTAACAATGATGCCAAAATGTCCACAAATCAATGGTAATAACCATGAAGAAATACTACCACGTAAAAATTCTGAAAATGAACCAAAACTAGCAAACAAATAGAATAAAATTGTCGTTATGAATATGGGCCAATATTTTTGTCTAATGGTTGCATAAATAGCCACCATTGTCGTTATACAATTCAATGATATGATTGCAATAACAATCGCTTGCCATAAATGTCGTTGTACGTGTGACATTGAATATAATCGACCTGTGTTGGGTGGAAAGAAAAAAATTATGAGAATCTTTGGAAATCAAAATTAAAAAATGAATTTACCATCAATCGGTTCGCCAAGTTTAATTTTAATCGATGCAAAATGCATATAGATACTATTCCAAATAACTAGACAAATATTGGCCACCAATAGTATAATGTAAATAATTTTCGAAAACATTAAATGTGGACGATCAAAACTTTGATAATAATTGGAATAATAATTTATATGTCCAGTATCGAAATATCCGATACTATGGCCATTTTGTTGTCGTTGTTGTTGATTATGGCGCATTAATTGTGCCGAACCATTTCGTTTTTGTTCATCATCATTACTATTAAAATGAACACGATTATTAGTGGCTGAATGATTATTATTATTATTATGAACATTGAAATCATAAGTTTGTATTGATTTATATGATTGATCTAAATGTTCTTGAGAGCTAATACGAAAATCTGGTGCCAATGATTGTTGTTGACGACGTTTAAAACTTGAATCAAGCTTATTATTATTTTGTCGTCGTTCTTTTTCCACTAATCTTTCGGTACTTTGACACATTGGATCTGGTGTAAAATTTCGTCGATCACCTGTTGTACGAATAGAATCATTCCTAGTGAAATCAGAATCTGGTGAGTCATTCGTAAATTTTTCATGATGATTATCTTTATGATTCAGAAATGGTTCTTGTTCTTGATTTTGAAATTCAGTTTTTACAGTTTTATCATTCGATAATAAACGATGATGATTTGAAGCTGATTTGGGAAAATATTCTTGAAATTTTCTAGGTTCTCTATTTTGATCGGGAAGTCTAAAATTGGCAGGATATTTTTGTGGTTCATTTTTCACCGGAACATTGTTGTCATTTTTTTCATTATAACCGGATGATGTTGAATTGATCATCGTTTTACGAGCGCCTATTTTGTTTCGTTCGAATCGACCAGCTCGCTGTTGATTTACTGAACCGGATTGATTTGATGAATCGTATGAACTGAAACTTGAATCATGTGGTGAAAAATGTTCATTTTGAAATGTCCTTACTGAGGATAATGGTTTCCGATGATGTTGTTTTGATTGATGATGATCAACATCTTTATAATCGATTGGATCATTTAGATTAGATGCTAGCTTCTCAATATTATCGCGAGTCGGCTTTATTGATGAAACATTGACTAATGAATGATAACGGCTATCACCTTTTTTTGTACGATGACTACTTTGTTGAAAATTTCTTAAAACAGGTGTTTGCCGATGAAATGAATGTCCAACATTTTCATTGTAATTTGAAGCAGTAAGATTGCCCATACTTGATGCACCATTCAACCTACCACCATGGTTATACAATTGTTGTCGTCGTCGTTGTTGTTGTTGTTCAACAGGACTTAATGAATAACTACGTCGATGATGATTTGAATAGTTACTTTGTTTACGATTACGCCAATATCGTTCTAATTCAATAATTTCTAATTCATCTTTCGTTAATTTACCATTGGACATTAATTGATTAAGATATGTTGATGATAAACGACGCCAAGAATTTGCATCATATGGAACAAAATGTTCACCTGGACGATGATATGGTGGTCGTTCCATCGATGTGGTGGTCATCATTTGACCCATTTTGAGCTGTATGAAATCTATTGAAACAAAAAAAAATTAGAAAACTTTCAAGTGGCTTTTTTTGTTGATCAAGAGCAAAATCTTTACCGATTAAATCGCATCAATCTCCTGCACACACACATATACCTGCAGCAAACAGCCAAGCCAAGCCAAAAACAACATGAATTGATATGATCCGAGTAACCAAAAAAAAAAATCAAAATTTTTCCATGATATCTATGGTGATGATGGATAATCAAATCGCCGTAACCAAGTTCATCGAATCACACAATATCAACAGTGTAACATTTTTAATCCATTCATGGTAGTGATGTTTTGAGAAATGATAAATGAGAAAATCTATTGCAAATCTATTTTATTGACAAAAATTTTGTTTGATTTTCAACAATTTTGACAGCTGTGTGACAAAACGTGATAATTGCCATATATGCAAAGCAATATAAATGTGTTTAAAATTTCAAATAAACGATGAAACAACAAATAATTTAATTATCGAAAAAAAAACAAAACAAATTCAATTCAATTATCAATTATCAACATAAATTATGATGAATTGAACAACAAAAAAAAGTATTTTCATTGTAATTGTGTGAATTTTGCAGAAAAAAATGTCATCAAATTCTACATTATTATCATCAAGCGTTACGTCCAATACATCACCAACATCTACATCATTATCGACGGCAACCGAAATAACCACCGATGTAAATGTTTGTAGATTCTGTCTACATTCTGGTTCGAATAAACTTATAAACAATGTATGTGAATGCACCAATCCACGATTATCATTTAGCCATTTGGATTGTTTACAAACATTTTGCCGTCGATTTCGTAAAACATATTGTGAATGTTGTCAAAAAGATTTCATTTTAATTATCAACAATTATAATAAAATGATGATTATTAATGATGATGATGGTGGTGGTGGAATCGATAACGATAATTTCCGTGATAAATTTCGAAAAATATTCCATACGATCATCAATGTTGAAGTATTACAGGATGAATTCTATTATCTATTATCATCGATAATTGATTTATTTATCGTAACAATTTTATTGGCCATTATAATCGGTAAAAGCAAATTTCTCTGTCCATCATCATCATCATCATCAACGAAATGGCAAACAATAATTTGTCAACCAAAATCGACAACAACGTATATCATTTGTATTTATTTAATTGTATTTTTATTCATGAAATATTGTTACCATATTAATCGTTTTAAACAATTTTTTAAAAGAATAAAAAAATTTCTCTGAAACCACCTTGAACTTAATTATGTCAAAAAATTTATTTATTGTAAAAAAATAAAAATTAATCTATGTTTTTATGTCATCATCATCATCATCATCATTATCGTTATTGTGTATGTTTTGATTAATGAAAATTTTTTCAAGCCAATCCAACAATCCATCATTTTTCAAGCAAGCAAATTACGGCATTTTTCAATCATTCGATTGATTTGTTCATACTGTTCATCACTTGAATTAGTTAACAATTGAATGAGAATCAAAAATTTCTTTTCATCAAATTTGATCAACATGGAATCCATATAATCGTTGTCTATTTTTGAATCATTTTCACCTTTGAATAGAAAAATATGAGCCTTTTTATATTTCAATTGATCCAATGATCGATCTTCATTGGCAGAATTCCAACCATAATAAATATTATAATCTTGATTAACCAAATAATTATCATCATCGGAAGTGTAATCATTTTTGACCAATAAAATTTTGAACGATTTTGAAGAATTATTTTTGATATTCGGCGAAGATTTTAAGAGAAAATTTGCGGCCATTAATTTTTGTATGGTTACATTTTTCGGTTTGTTTTTATCATCATCATTATATAATAGTAAATCGTTGTCGATAGCATCTGATGTTTCTTCTGCCTGATGATCATTATCATTATATAAACTATCGATTTTCAAATCAAGATTTTCAGCAATGGAAATTTGTCGTTTATCATCACCACCATTGGTAAATCGTTCAATTGAACGATCAATGATTTGTGTAAAACGTTGTTCAAATTTCGATGGTGACATTATTGAAAATTGTTTGAGAATATCGGCTGAAATAAGTATGGCTGGCTCTTCTTTTTCTGGTGAAAAAACCAAAAATTTTATCGTACGGATCAAAAATCCAATGGCTATTTCGATTTCTACATGACCAACAATATAGTCACGTTTTCTCCAATCGACTTCATAATGATGGATTTGGCCATCAATTTTCAATGATTTTAAATAATCGATTCGGATCAATGCATCATAGTCTGTAGCATTCTGTTGATCGATGATCATTGCATTGATTTGATAAAGTGTTTCTCGTTTCGAACCAATAATAGTGATAGGAAAACTATCTTGTTTCTCTGAATCAGATTCAGCTGATCTATCATTATTTGACAACGAAACTGATGAAGATTTTGGTGATAAACCAGGAATTGAATTGGATTTATCTTTTAATGATTTGTCTCCTGAAAATCCAAAACGTCGTCGATTATTGTTGTCGTTGGTAAAGCCAATTGAACTAAGGTTGGAATTAGTGAATATCGAAGTTTTTTTCTCATCATTTACTTTCTTATAACGAAATCCATTTTGATTTAAAGTTTGATCCGATGAAATTGAAAGATCAGCCATTGAAGTTGATGTATTGTCTGCATATTCTCCATATTTGTAACAAAATTCTCTCAAATTTCGACATTGAATAATCGGATGTGATCGAATATGTTTTTTAAGTTTATAACAGATTGGACATGGTTGATCATGATCGATTAGTCGACGATATAGTTGTTCTAATTCTTCGTTTTTACCAAACTTGAAAGAAGGCAAAGCATCATAATATTGAAGTTTTTCTTTAACCATAATCTTAAAATCATTTATCGAATTACGATGAAAATTCTTTGGTAATTTATCAAGCAACATGTAAAGATATTTTTGCCGATATTCTCTATGGATATTATAAGCTATATGCAATGCAATAATAAATAATTGACGATAATTTTTCTCATCATTATTACGATTTGTATCAAATTTGAATTTTTTAATCATTTCTTTTAAAGCCATTTCCCTGGTTTCTGGATTGGAATGATAACTAAATTCTTCACGTAGAATGGCGACGGCATTTTTCATGGAATATTCATTTTCAAGCAATTGAGTTGCTTTCTTATTTTTTTCAATAGATTGTTTTAAATATTTAATTCTTGTTGGTTCATTTGGAATTTTTTTATCTAATACAATAAATTCCATCATTTGTGGATAAAATTCCAACCAATTTGTTTCTGTTAATTGAACATGAAATAAATGTTGTAGAGGATGTTGTTGTACATTTTCAACAACATTATCATTTTGAGACAAAATTTTTGATTCAATTTGTTGTCGTTTTGTTTCTTGTGATTCATCATACACACTATTACTAGTTGAACCATTTAGAAATTTAGCCAATCGATGTGCACGTGAATTGAATTGATCGACTAATTCATCTTGATAAAGATTATCATCATCAGCCAAAATACGATTCAAATAACGTATCTGTTCAATCAATTGACGTATATTCATTTTTTCTGAACAAAGTTCTTCGTCATGGCCATCAGTTAAACTATTGAAATAATCATCAAATTTACGTAAAGCTTTTTTACGCTTTTGGTATGATTCTTCAAGAGAAGCCATATTATCATTAGAATATAGTGTGAGCAGTAATAATAAATCAGATTAAGACACAATGAAATATCGAGTTGGATTCGATAATAAAAAAAAAAACCACAAAGTATGAATTCAATTTCTGAAAAAAAAAAACAAAAATAACAAAAATTCAACAGTAAATATAGAGAAACTTTTATACCTTTTTATACTTTTGCAGAAAAAAAACAAAATAGTTTAGCTTGTGTTCAATGACGACGATTTGAAAAATGACAAATGACCAAATCTTTTTTAGAAAAATATATGTATCAGGCAATATCCTGGAATAAAATGATGCAACAAATTATGATGATGCGGAATACATATGTGGTAATTATATATATATATTAATACAAGAATCTACTTACCTTTATCTCGTAAAATAATCTAAATCAAAAACTCATCCAAAAACTACGCATTAATGGGATATATATATATATATAGTGACAGATTTATTATATGTATTTGGTAACGCAGTTCAAAAACAAAACAAAAAAAACCCCTCTCATAAACATTTATTAGTGTCAAGAAGATAAACAAAAACAAAAGTAAAACAAAATTCCTATTGGTCATCATCACTATAGCCATCTAATCATCATTGAATTGAAATAAGAACCAAAAAATTTCTTCATTTTTATACTCACAACAACAACAACTTGTGTGTGTGTGTGTGTGTGTGTGTGTGCGAGCACACCATGCTTGAATGTGTAACAAAGTTTTCAGGGTGTATGCACAATTTCTATATTTCTATTTAAATAAACATAGCGGTAATGAACTGTATACGCTAGCGGCTATAGCCCTTGATCACAAACGAGCAACAAATACTTGTCAGAGAGAGAGAGAGAGAGAAAATTAAATTTTTTTTCGCATACTGTAATACCCCGCTTAACGCGGGGGTCACGTTCTAAAAATTTTGAGCGTAAAGCGAAACAGCGCTAAGCGGGGTATCACTGAAATTCCAATAAAATTTCAATTTCAAAAAGTGGTCAAATTGGGAAAAATTTGTTCGTGGCCGAAAAAAAAGTTTGGGACACACATTGGCATACACTGTTTTCCAAAATAAATTGATTAGTCACCAAAAAAAAAAAAAATGATCGTTTCCAAAGCATCAGCATAAATTTAATCGTTTCCATCGAAATGTATTTTTTTTTTATTTCTAGAAAGTTCACTACATTTTTTATGGCTATACAAACTGATAAAAACAAAAATCTGTCATGGTTACAATGGTTATAAGATCTGATGGTCGTTATTAGGAACAACAAAATGATAAAACAAAACTTTCAATGTTTGGCCAAATATATACAACATTATTATTATTATAGAAAAATTTATGATGATTACTAAATTTTTTATTTCTAAAATTACTATATTGATTTCTGGATATATTTAATCATCATTATATCGATAAGTGTAAGCGATTATCATCAACCATGTTAATTTGATCACATGATAATGATGATGAATATGGTTATAGTAGATAAAAATATCATGATCAATCATCAACGAATAAATTGAATTCATATTCACGAATAATATGGCAAACATTGATGATAATCACTGTGATTGCAACAATTACCACAACCATCTATTTGGCCATATTTATGAAACAATTCATCGATGATCGTAACATCAATGGTATACGTTCATCGAATCCATTACATTCGAATCAGAATTCTGATCAAGCACAATTCGATTCATACGGTAGACATTTGGAACCATTGTGGCGTGCATTTTTAATTGCAAACATTGTGGCCATTTTATTATTTTCTCTTTACATACCATTGGCCATCTGGTGGAATCAATATTATGTAATGTTAATATTCATTGGATTCATGTTCAATGAAATGATATTAACCATTGGTACTGAATATTTTGCCGTACCATATCGTTTCGCAACAATCATTTATTCATTAACAGCCATAATTGCTCATTGTTTTTGTCATCAATTTCGTTTAGATATATTGAATGAAATGAATGTTATTAAAAAATTTAATCGTGAATAATGAATAAATATTTAAAAAAAAATGATGATAAACACAGTATCATATGCTGAAATGTTTTTTCTGTTTATTATTAATCATCATATAAATCATATATATACCATATTAATATATTAAAATTCAAAATCATTCAAAATAATGGATTGCCCCTTTTTTTCACCACTTTTACCATTCTTTTTCTTTCGCCGTTTAATTATTTCGTTGATTGATGATTATTTATGTTCAGAGTAATGAAAAAAAATTGCTTCAAGTTAAGTCAAACGAACCGTTTGATCTTCTTTATTTTGTAATATAATGTTTTCATCACCATTTTTGATTGCTTCTACCAGATTGATCATTCGACAATTGATTTGATGAAATTGATAGATCAGCCATTGACATTGTTAAATTATTAGAATTTCGATTATTAAATCTATTACGAAATTCATTTAAATGTCGACATCGAACAATTGGATGAGCTTTCATTTGATTGTGAAGATGATAACAAATTGGACATGGTCTTCCATTGACGATTAAACGATCAAATAATTTTTCCAATTCTTCGTATGTTCCAGCTTTTAAAACATGTTGTGCATCATATATTCGAAGTTTAGCTCTCATCATTCGTATGAAATGTGAAAGTGTTCGAGCTCGAATCCAATTCGGTAATTTATACAAAATCATGGGAAAATATTTTTGTTGAAATTCTTCACTAACATTAAACCTGATATGTAATGCAATATCAAGTAATTGACGAAAATTAGCCTCATCACTTTCACGATTTTTATCGAAATGGAATTTTTCAATCATTTCTTTAATGAACAACGCACGTTTTTGTAGAGTCCAATCATCAAAATGTTCTTCTAGAATCTTTGTAGCATTTTTTATCGATCTTTCATCTTTAATTAATTGAATTGCTTTCGGATTTTTTTGAACAGTTTGTTTCAAATAATTGATTCTGGTCCTTTCATCCGGTATTTTTGGATCTCTCACAATGAATTCCATTAGTTTTGGATAATAATCAAACCAGTTGTTATCGGTCAATTCCAGTTCACCAATATAATATATAGTGAGTAACGAATCGATATGATCATTTTCATTGTTTAGATCAAAATCATCATTTTGAAACATTCTTGGTTCAGATTGTCGTTGTGATGGTTTTATTTGTATATCTTTGTTGATCATCATTTTCTTTGGTAATTCTTCGTCCATACCAATATCTGTTGAATCATTAAGAAATTTAGCCAAACGATGTGCACGTGAATTGAATTGTTCGACTAATTCATCTTCATAAAGATTATCATCATCAGCCAAATTACGATTAAAAGAACGTATCTGTTCAATTAATTGACGTATATTCATTTTTTCTAAACAAAGTTCTTCGTCATGGCCATCAGTTAAACTATTGAAATAATCATCAAATTTACGTAAAGCTTTTTTACGCTTTTGGTATGATTCTTCGAGCGATGACATAATATTAATTTGATTTCAGAATCTTTCAAAAAGTAAAACTTCCAAAATAGAAATCACAAAACGTAGATAAAACACCAAAAAGCAGCCAAAAATAAAACGAAATCTACAATCCAATCAAAATGTAATAGGAGTAAATACGTATACAAAAAAAAAAATTGTTGATCATTGATCAATAATTACCTTGCAATTAATGAAAAGTTTAAAAATAAATCAGCACACAACCACTGACCAGCAACGATTATATAATAAAAATGGCAATCTTTTTCGAAATGGTTCACTCTTTGTTTTTTAGCAAAATAAAAACACCACGAATCAGAATGCTTTCAAAATCAATTCAGCACGTAGAAAGAAATGGCTATTTTAACCAACATACAATGGATTACTATTATCATCCATCCTTGGATATATGAAAAAAAAATGCTCAATTCTTTTCAAAATGGATCAAAAAATCAAACAAAAAAAATTGTCATAACAATAGATTTAATCATTAAAAATGATAAAAAATCAATCACTCACTATTTGTATTTATTGTTTTCCCTTCATATCAAATCGATAATCATATCGCAATATTTGGGTGTGGTTCAAATTATCGTAAAATTCTAAATATAGATTCTCGGATGAAACTATCCACTGGTGGTGGTGGTGGTTTGTTTTCTAGAATTTTCGCCAATGATAAATGCCATGAAAAGATGGATGAATTTCAATGACAATAGATGAAAAAAAAAATAAAATTGTTTTCGAGAGAAAATCATTTTTCTTTTCAAATTTCCATTTTTTTCACTTGTTGAATTTTTTTTTTATTAAATGAACACATACATTCATAATAGTTTAAACAGATTGTTTTTTGTCTTCATTTCATTCGATTATTTGTACAGATGATTATACCTGAAATTTCAATCTAAATCAAATTGTTTAATCAGCTGATTTGATGTTTTTATTTCACTGATTGATTGATTGATTTATTGGTTGATTGATTTTAAATTTTTTTTTGTTCATATATAAAAAGAACCTAGGAATTGAAAATGTGGAAAATCATTACCAAAAAAAAAAAAACAAAAAAACATCGAATCACATTCAACAGGATGATTGTATCATCCAAATTAATAGACAGGATTCCTGTCATTATAACAATGATAATAATGATCATTATCATTATTCCAAATGAATGTTTTAAAATTTTTCAACCGCCACCATCATCACCAACATATGGATCAACATTTTCGTTACCGGCAGATAAATTACCGGATATAATGCCTGTTGATGATCAATTGTTGATTATTGGACAATCTGATTTGATCAAACCATCGATGATGATGATGATGATGACACCATCACCAATACCAACTTTATCACCATTGGCACAATTATTCATTCCGCAAGCATTAATGTTACAGATGGATACAATGAATGTTGAACATCGTGATATGGATAATATTGATCCAATTTCATTAACAATGGATCAATCATCATCACAGCAGCAAGAACAGCAAGCACAACAACAACAAACATTACCAACAACATTATCGGTACAGGAAATTGAACAAAATTTAATTGAAAATGATACAAAAATTCTAGCGATGAATAAGGAATTGGAAAAATTTCCAATAAAATTTCAAGGTTTTATTGCTGAAATGAAAATTAAATGGAAAATTCGTCCAATCAATTTTGATTATGATGATCATGATGATAATGAATTGGATCATTATCATTATAATAAGCAACGTATGCGACGACGTCATCGTCGTCATCGTCGTCATTATTATCACCACCACCATTATGATGATGATGAAATATTCGAACCAGGTAAATTTCTAAATTAATAATTTGATTAAATAACAAAATATCAATGTTAATTAATCGTATTCTGTTAATTTGTTAATTGATCGATTTTTATTGATTTTTTTCCATTTTTCTTGTTTTGTTGAATTGAATAAAACGTGAAAATACTTTTTATTTTGTTTTTCTCTTTTCTTTTTTTTTTATTCATATTGAATGAATTGATTTACATAAATTCAATCAATCAATCGAAAAGTTAAATTGATGACCAACAAACTATCGCAGTATAAAAGACGTACAAAACGGCAATCAATTAATGATGTTGGTGGAATATTTAACAATATTTTTCGCCAAGCACGAACAACAGCTACAAATGGTATGACAAAAATGCAACGGACCATACAGGAAAATACTCGTCGATTGTTTGGCAATGTTTTTAGCAACAACAGCCGTAACAATAGTCTAAATAAAATCGGTGAAAGTATGGGATTATCACAATTATGGTCAAGAATAATGAATATTTACGATTTGAACAACAACACTAATAACAGTAGGAATAGCCGATTGAAAAATATTTGATTTTTATTCAAAAATAAATTGATTTACTCTGGGATTAATAATAATAATAAAAAATGAAAATTTTTTCAAGTTTCATTCATTCAATCATTTCGTGTTTGATAAATAAGCGATACATAACTGATAAGAAAAAAGAACCAATTAAGACAAAGTGTTGCATTGATTGTAAATAGATAATTTACTGGTAATTTTAATTTTTCATGATAAATTTTTAGCCAATTAAATTTCGAATAAATAGCCACCGTTGAACGATCATTATTAATGTTAATCTTTCGTTTTACTCTATTCATTGTATAGTATGTATATGTTTGTCTTTGTATTAGATCCTGTTTTCGACAAACAAGAATATTCTGTATCCATTTGAATTGTTGTAGATTTTCATTATTAAGCCAACAAATACCGATATAGAACAATGTTCTTATGATACGTTCCAGACATTTATGCCAATAATTTCGAAAACCTCGGATTAAAATTTGATTCATTGTATCGACAACATGTAATGATTCACTTGTGAATGCAATGAACATTATCGGTGACATTAATGTTTGTATTTGGCCATTTAATTGTGCAAGATTTTTGATACGATTAAATAAACGTTTTTTACGTTCAATTTGATCCGGATATTGTTGCCAATCATAATGACGATGATCATGATGATGATGTTCATGTTGTACTTGTAGAAATTCTTGTCGATAATTTTTCAATGCTAAATTGATGGCAATCTGTTGATAGAATATCAATAACCATGTGATAAGCAGATAACAGTAAAATATATAGAATATAAAAAATTCCTGAAAAGCTTGCCAATCACCGTGGAATAAAAATGATCGAATATAATAATGACGACTCATCATATAAATACCATTCATGAACAATTCAATTGAAATGGTATAATAAAATGATTGTGGCCAACATCTATACATTGTTCTGGTGAATAATGAATGATCCAATAATTTCATTATTGAATGGCCATTATGAAAATAATGCCATATGAAACCCAAAAATATCATTGGAATGACAACAAAATGATGTACTTTAATATAATAAACAAATAATGGTTGTTCATTATTTTTTCTGGATAGATTATTCACTTCGTTGGTCGCCAAACGATATACATGAATGAATGACCATAGATTTACGATAATATTGATCAATGTCCAATGGATATTTCGCCATTCAAATGGCCGTAATGGCAATATAAATCTGATTGTATTGAATGAGAAAAATTTCATTTTATTCATTTAGATTTTTAACACTTACCCATGAGTGAAGATGATATTTTTCAATAATGGATTTATGATTCCCGGTATAATTTCCATTGCTCCTGGTAATACAAATCAATTGACACCTGTAACAAGTGTGTGTGTGTGTGTATTTGTATGTGTACAATGTATGAATGAAATGAAAATGAAATACAGAAAGATTTTGAAAACTTGGATATCGAATACCCAGAATAATAATCGATAAAATTCCATTTGTTGTTTGTTATGCACAAGAATAAAAAAACACAAAATTCAAGGACATTTCATATGAATATAATTTCAAATTCCTATATATATCAAATGTAAAGCTAATTATTAATGAGTAGTTCAATGAATAATTAACAATTTGATAACGATCATTATCGATTCACAAACAAAAAAATTGTATGATAATTTTATGGCAAAATATTCATGTTGACAATTAATTTTTGAATAATGAATAGAATTTCAGCATAACGTAATTAACATTTGGATACGAATTTAATGAATATTCTTGTATGTGTGTGTGTTTATTAATCTAAAACTAAAATTCAAATTCCGTTGAGAGAGAAAGAAAAAATAATTGTCGAAAAATAAATTTCAAATTTTTATGTCCGATTTCCATGGCCAGATGGCGGTTAAATCGAATGAGAAATTTGAATTTTTTTCTGTTATTCAATGCAAAAATACAAAATTAATCAAAAAAAAAAAATTTTATTTAAATGATAAAAACAAATTAAGAAACATCAATGACTGCAGTCTTTCTGTGTAATTGTCATGTTGATGTTGAGCCATTTGTCAGCTATTTTTCCAATTCAATTTATCAATGCATTCAAATGGAAAATTAGAATTTGCAAATTTGGTTTTTTTCTACTTTTTCTTCTTCTTCTTCTTCTTTGCACAACATCACATCAAATTGACAGAATTGATCAAATTCCAGAATTGATTAGACGATGAATGGAATTTTTTTTCCCGGTTACTCGTATATATCGATTTATTTCGATTAGAATCCTCAAAATAATCAAACAACATTAGACATAGGAATACACACACACAGAGATAAAGATTGAATGTCAAAAACTGACTGTTGTTATCGATAGATATTACTGCCAGTATTTTTATTTCGTCATCAATGTGTGTGTGTGTGTGTGTTTTTGCCTGATAATATGAGAAATAAAATGTGACAAGTAAATGACAAAAAAAAAGAAAAGAAAAACCACTAGTCAAAATAAATGATTCTCGAATGAACGATATAGAATCAAATCTGATTCATGATTTTTTTTTATCTCGGTTCGGTGGTGGCAACATTTTTTTTTCATTTTGAAAAAAAAAGAAATTTCTGCATTGCACCATAACTACCATTGAAGGTGATCATTGTTGTTGTTGTTGTTGTTGGAATCCAATGATAATGATGATGAAACTGATTATGTTTGTTTGTTTTTTTTTCATTTTGCGCATTCTGTATTCATTTACTATTCTTGACGATACAAATGTCTGACATTTTGTTGTTGTTGTTGTTGTTGTTATTGTCGTCTACAACTTTCTTTTTTTTTTGATCCAACATCATCATCATCATCATCATTATCATAATTTTCGTTGTCAGCAATCATTGTTGTAATCAAGTTGAACGGCTGTATCTAGGCACCAATAAAGAATATTTTTTTCTACATTCATAATCCTCATGGTGGTGGTGGTGACGGTGGTGGTTAATGGTCAATGATTGCTACAGATCATTGCAGTGGCAGCTGAAACTTTTTTTTGTTGTTGTAATTGTAATTGTTGTTGTTGTTGCGCACATTCACATTATGCAATGATGATAATGATCCAAAATTTTTATTTTTTTTATCTTGGTGATAGTCAATTAAATTTCATACCTGGTGTTTTTTTCTATATTCTGCTGTCAAGGATACGATTCAGGTCGTCGTCGTCGTCGTTGTTGTTGTTGTTGTTGTTGTTACAGAATCTGGTATAGTGAAGAAAAATAAAGGGAGTAACCATTTTTAACGATTACAACAACAACAACAACCGAAACGAAACGAAACGAAATCGACGAAATGCCAAAATAAAAAATCGACCAACCAATAATAATAATAATCAACCATTCCATTTTCTCTTTCTCCCATTTTTTTTTTTTTCGTTTTTGATTCATTGCTAATTCATATCAACGGTGAGAATATACACCAAAAAAAAAAATACATTGTTTGATCGGGTGTTGTTGTTGTTGTTGTTGCTGTTTATGATGATGATGATGACGGTGGTACTTGTCATTGGTGGTATATGAATGGTGTATGGTGGTGGTGGTGGTGGGTTTCGTTTTTGCCATTGAATCCAATATTATTTGTCACACGCCCGATGGTTGATTTTTTTTTTTTTTTTTTTGTTTCAAATATATAGCAAATAAATGAAATTCTTCGTTTCTTCGGTTTCGATTTTATGATCATCATCATCATCATCATAATCATTACAAAACTCATGATTATAATCATCATAATAAAGTAGAGGAAAAAAAATTATTAACAACGACGACGACGACGACGACGACGACGTACCAGTGAATTCATCAGTCAACTTCAAGTGACCTTTACGCATTTCTTTACTTTTATTTTTTTTTCGGTCATTTTATCCTGTCTCTATGTGTGTTTATGTGGGTGTGTGAGTGGAATAAAAAAAATTTTTAAACTTTGAACTTTAAATTTTCAAAAAAAACCTCAATAATGGCTAATCAAGATTCAAATGATGAATATTATTCATATTCAAAATTGGAAAAATTTCGCCGCTGTGAACGACATTTTCGTTCAGTACAGGCTGTATTGTTATTGTTTATGGTCGTTTGTTTTGTTGTAAGTATTGAGTGTGAAAAAAAAAAATTTTTTTTTGTTTTCCTAAAATTTGATTTTCAATTTTTGTTTGTTTTTTTTTCCAAAAATTCATCCATAGTTTTACATGATAACATTTGGCATCGATATAGCAAAATTTCTAAATGATCCACCATTATTAGCGGCATCATTAACCATAGTTATTGTGGCAATGATATTTTTAATTATAGGCATTCGTGGCGTTGCATTCGAATCATTCTGTATGGTATTATCATTTACCATCATATTCTTTTTGATTACCATTGCTCATGGTGTTACATTCATTTATCGTCATCCGGGATTGACTGCCACTAATTTAGTACTTGCATTATTATTATTCATCGGTGCTATTATCTATCTTTGTTATCTATGTCGTATGAATCGTTTGAAACCACCAGATTATGGTAAAACAACAACCGGTGGTCGTACAGGAAATGATGCCGCTGATGATGATGATGATGATGATACAGAATCAAGTATGGCATTAACTAGTCCACAAACCGATGCAACTATTGAAAAGATTGTAACAAATGTTAAAAGTGGTTTCACCGATCTAAATCGTGGCTTGACCGATTCTGGTGAACGTGAATATGGTCGTATTAAACGTGAAATGGGCAATTTTAAAACTGGAATTGATGGTGAAGTAGAAACGGTGAAAAAAGAATTTGCAAATCTACAAACTGCTGCCGGTGAAAATGTTGAAAAAGAATTCATTGCCGTCAAACGTGTCATGCTGAATGAAGCACAGACCATTCGTGATGGTGTTGAACGTGAATATGATAATCTACGTATCGGTTTGAATGATGTTAAACGTGAACTTGGTGAAAACCTGCAACGTGAATATACGGTTGTTAAACGTGAAATCAGTAACGATATGGATCGTTTGGTCGGTGATGTTAAAGGCCGTTATGGAGATTTGGAAAAAGAACTACGCGGTAGTTTTAAAAGTAACCTGGGCGATATTGAAAATGAATTTAATATATTTCAACGAGAATTTCCGGATACTATAGGTGCTGATACTGGTGGTGGTGGTGGTGATGGTACTGGTGGTGGTGGTGGTGATGATGATGGTAACAATTCAACAACAATTCAACGTATGGTAACCAATGTTCGAAAAGGATTCGAAGAATTTAAATCTGGTGGTGAAAATGTTAAACGTGAAATTGTCGAAGTTAAACGTGATGAATCAGGCAATATAACCAGCTATATTGAACGTCGTCTTACAGATTCAGGTGTTGAAATCTGTTCAGTTAGTGTGGATAAAAATCGTGCACCAATAGCTAATTTTACTAATTCATAATTTTTGACAACAACAACAAAAATTTGTAATAATCGTATAGAAAATTTTCAAAATTCCTGTCACATTTCAAATTTCAATCACACACACACACACACACACACACACACAATTCTATATCATCAACATATCCATTGTAATGACACTGTTTGTTGTTTCATTTACTTGTTTTTCGCTGTTTGTTTTTTTTGTATTCCCTTTTTTTCATATAGATAAAATTAACAGATTCTCATGTCAAATTATCATTCAGCATAATACAAACACACACACACACACCTACTCATTGATTGACCATAATCCATACACGCCCACACACACACACACACAATGAATAAATCATAATTGCATGCATACATACAAAAAAAAGAGCTACGTAATCAAATTATAATTTGAAATTCATTATTATAGAATCAATCAATCAAATTTGATGAAATTTATTCAAATAAAAATCGGACATATGATAATATGATAATGATTTCGTTTTCATGATGAAATTTTTTTTTTTTAATGATGAAAATGAAATAGAATTTTCTAGTAGTAGATGATGATGATGTTCATATTGTAATATATCATACAAATGTTGCAAAAGAAGATTCTGGAATTTAGTCAGTAGTAGAAAAAAAAATTCATCTAAAACAGACAAAGTTTTCGATTTTCGTTTTTTTGTTTTGTTTTGTATGTTCGTGGACAACAAAATATGAATGTAAAAGTGTTGAGAATAAGCAAAATGAACGATTCGAAATTTTGGTCAGTTAGACACACACACACACCCAGCGACCACGAATTTTTTTTTTTGTATTTTTTTTTTTTTTTGTTTTGTTTTCTTGAGTATATTAAGAATGGCGGTGGTGTATGTAGTGTCAAAATGTGAAATGAAACACACAAATACAAACACGAAATAGAGAATAAATTTTACAAAAAAAAAATTCTAAATATTCTACAGAATTAGAACAACAAAAAAAAATTCAAGGTTCTGTGTGTACGAGTGGGCGTATTTGGTTGTATACATAAGATATAATGGAATTATATGCATCAATAAATGCATAAATTTCGACTAGATGGACGAGATTTTTTTTTTGTATGATGATTAATTGATGATGATGATGATGATGTTTTTTTTTTTTTTTTTTTGGTCGATTAATAAATTGGATCGGAAATGTGAGTGTGTTCAGCTTTTTTTTTTTTTTTTTTTTTTTCAAAATTGAGCAATAATTGATTTTTTTAAAAAAGAAGAGATTAAAGTATGGTTCGAAATTGTGATCCTAATGAACTTTTTGATGATCCAATTGTTGATCCATGATGTTGTGGACAACTAGCAGTAGTAGTATTATATTGTTGTTGCTGTTGATGATGATAATATGGATAACGTAATGAATTATTTGTTGTATATGGATAAATAGATGAACCAGCACCAGCACCACCACCACCAGAAACAAAACCTCCTGCACCACCACCACCACAACTATCTTCTGAATTCAAATCATCATTATCACAATCAGCTGCTGCACCAAGATAACCACCACCACAATTATTATGGCTGCCACCAAATTCATTTGCCGATAGATAACGATCATCAGATGATTCAAGAATTTTTCTTGTCAATTTTAATGATGTTGCATATAGTATTGCAGAGAATGTAATCAATATAAATGATTTTCCAATATACCACCATGATACTTGATGATGAGCAGTTAATATTATTTGAGCATTATTATTATTATTATTATGACCATTCTCATTGATTTGATTTGAATTTTTCATTTTTGAATCATCAATAAAATCTATAGTAGGTAATATATGATTAAATTCATTCATAAATGGACCATTTGATATTGTTGTTTGCTGTTTTTGATCATCATTATTATTACGATTCTGGAATGATTCAATTATCGATATTGATGTTGTAGTAGTAGTAGTAGATGATGATGATGATGATGGTATCGTTGTTGTCGTTATAATTGTACGTTGATTTAATTTACCAAATACTTCCCAAATTGTACCACATAATGCAACAAATACAACGAATAAAAATATAATCAAAGTAGACATATAAAAATTGAGCAAACAATGATTATGCTCATAATTACGTAATGCACCAATAATGCCCAATAATGAAACAAATATAGTTGTTGATGCCATTAAAAATATGACTAGTTCTTCATTATCAGTACGACGTATTTGATCAGCTAATGAACGGCCAGTATTACCTGAACGTTCTGCTTCTTCAATAATACGACCAATCCATGGATTATAATAGATTATAATGATAATGCTTGCAACAGTTAACGATGTTAATTGTAACATAATCAATGTTATACGGACTGTTGTTAATTTGGCCATTTTTATTTTCTTCATTTTTGTTTTCTGTATGAATGAATACAGAATTCACAGCAAAAGATTTGTGTTCAATTCAATTTTATTGATGAATTGTGTGAGAGGGTATCCGATTGAAGAAAGTGAGAAAATGTTCACCACAAAAATGTAGATGAATCGATCGTAAATACAACCAAAATAAACAGAAAAATATTCGTGACCTTGTTGTTTATATTTTCAATGCATTAATCTAATGAAAGCAGAGAGAAAAAAAAAACATTGCCAATTAATTTTTTCATTAATCTTCAAAGAAATTAATTAAAATTAATATCAAATCGATCGATCAATCAATCAATTTGAATTTTTCCACTTACTTGATGCAACAAAAAAAAATATTTCAACGACGACAAAATCCAAATGAATGGTTAAAATGTTGTTTGTGGGGAAAAAAAAGTCTGTTGATTTAAAGTGATTTAATCCAATATTTTAAATTCTGAAAGCTGATTCCGTTTTTCATGCTTCTGTACTGACCATCATCATCATCATCGTCATCATCGGTGGTATGGATATGAAAAAAAACTAGATTTTCAAGTAAAACATTGATTTTATTTAGAAATAAAATAAAATAAAATAAAATTTATGTGACACACACACACACACACGCAGACACATATTCACTAGAACACAGGAAATATATTCATCCGTCATCATCGGTTTTCTCCATGACCTAAAAATAGCCATGGATATGAAAATCATCTTATTTGGCTTGTTTTTTTATCATAAAAAAAAAAATTTCACTCAACTTGATTTTCAAGTAAAACGAATACGATTTACGTCGTTTCTATAAATACAACAACAACAACAACAACAACAAAATGATGAAAAATTAGTTGATTTTTATTTAGAAAAAAAAAATAAAATAAAATTTATGTGACACACACACACACACACGCACACACATATTCACTAGAACACAGGAAATATATTCATCCGAAAAAAAATTGTCGAAAATTTCCAATGAACAAAAAAATTTTTTTGCTGTTGTTTTTCGTAGCAACTGGCTTATTTGGATTTTTTTGGTCCAAAATATTATTATTATTACATATATCCAATCAATTTTTCTCCATGACCTAAAAATAGCCACATTCATGTGAAATTCAGATAGATGACTAGCCATTATCATTATCATCGTCATCATCTTATTTGGCTTGTTTTTTTTATCGTAAAAAATTTTTTTCAATGGTCAAATAAAATTTCAATTTAGCTTATTATTCAAGAATCAAACATCGTCGAGGATTTTTTTTTTGCATGTCCTCTTGTACCTGACACTTTGGCAGTGGCAAATACTTTTTTGTTTATGATTGACATAATCATGATGATGATCAATTGATCGATGATAAAAACAAAACAAAACAAGACACAAAATGAAAAACAAGCTTTTTTTTGTTGTTCAAATCAATAAATCATCATCAATTTAATCGATGTTCATTTTCGTTGTTGTTTTCCATTTGATTCTGACCAAATTTAGCATTCAACAATCGATGATAGTGAAACGTTTTTCTCATTCATGTGAAGATATAATCATCATCATCATCATCCGTCGATCGATTGATCGATCGCTATCATTATTTAACCAGTATAATGAATGAATGAATCGTTCATTTTTATTACCCGTATAATTTTCATTTTCAATAATTATTTGGAAAAATTTTCTACAGTTGTTGTTGTTGTTTTGGCGCCAATTTTAGTTAAAACATAAAATGAACCTGAATCAACAACAACAACAACAACAAGTTAATTAGACTTGCCATTTTGTTTATCATCATATGGAACAATGGTTGAATAGCCAAAAAAAGAGAGAGAGAAAAAAAACTTTTAACACATTCAGTTTCATCAATTATATATATCTCCCACCCACAGTTGATGATGGCTGAATGAAACTAAAAAAAGAAAGAAAGAAAGGTTTCACTTACGAATTATTTTCATGTAGTGAAACAAAACAAAACAAAAAATTAAATCATCAAATCCTTTTTACTGTTTTAAATAGTAGCTAGTGGAGCTAAATTTAGAAATGCCAAAAAAATGAATGAATGAATGAATCGGACAACTTTTGTGGCCAGCAACAACAACAACTACCATATTCGGGTTAAATATGATGATGATATGTCAATAATATATATGTACCATATATATACACAACAACAACAACCGAAATGAAATCAACCAACCAGCCAACTAGCCAACCAACCGACAATAATGATAATGATGATGATAACGAAAAATCTCATTTTTGAAAAGGAAAAAAAATTTTTTTTTTTCATATGCAAATGAATTTCAATTTGGGTTAATGTGTGTGTGTGTGTGTGTGTATGTCAACCAAATGACCAATGATTTTTTTTCCCCATTTTCAACAGTTGTATTTTTGAACATCATAGCTAATACGATGGTAAAAGCGACAAAACAAACATGACAATCAATCGATTTATCGATATCAGATGATTGATAAATGGATCAAGAAAAAAAATTCATTTCTCTCACAAGCTCTCCCAATTTTCTATTCTTTGTTTTTTTTCCATTTGCATGATTGATTATTGACAATTATATCGATACGATGATGATTGTCGGAACAAACAGACAAACAAACAAACAAAAAAAAACATTCGACAATCATTTGATCAATCGAATTTGATGAGAAACAAAACAAAAACAACAAATGTGAATAAATAAAACAGGATACCATGGCAACAGCAACAAGGAAATTATTATCATCATCATCGACGTTGAATGACGACAGCCAATGGCTGAATTTATTATATTTAAAAATTTTTCTCTCTCTCTCTCTCTCTCTCTCTCTCTTCTGCTTCTTCTGGAACTAAAAACCAATCAATCAATCAATCAATCGATGATGACAATTACTGTTTTTGGATTTCAATTCCGTTATATCCGATGTTGTTGTTGTTGATGATGATGATGATGAGAAGGTCACGATGTTTTTTTTTTTTTGGTTGCAATCATCAATGATCATCGTGGATAGAATCCAATCCAATAAGCTACAACTGAAATTATTGTCACATTAAAAATTGTTTTTGCCATGAAAATCATGAATCATTTTGTTTTTCATTTCCTTATTATTGTTGTCGATTGGAACATTAGTTGTGGATGAAGGAAAGAATGTCGAACCAATGAATAAGGTAAACACAAATAAATTTAACAAAAAAAAAAAAAAAAATGAAACACAAACACGTGAAAAAGGAAATTTTTCGCACCTTGAAAATAAGAAATAAACACCAAAAAAATAAAATGCAATTCAACAACAACAACAACAAACAAACAAACGACACTCACATGTTGCCACAGTAATTGCCAAAAATGATGATGATGGTAATGTTCATCATCAAAAAAAAGGAAAAATTCACATCCATCAATGCTGAAAATTGCAATGCATCCGTATTACACACACACACACACACACTGAGAGGGATTCACATACACAAATTACACGTATCAATTCATTTGAGATTCAATACTTGAACAAAAAAAAAATTCTTTAGTGGAACACACACACACCATACACACACACATCATGTGTTTGGTATGGATCATTAGCATCATGAGATAATTACATGTGTTTCAAATACCACACATAATACAAATGTTTTTTTGATTCAAAGAATAATTTTAATGGTAATTTTTGGATTTTGGATACACACACACACACACACTTGATCATCGAATGGGAGAAAAAAAAAATTAATGCTGATGATTGAAAATGAAAGCGTTTTACATCATCATCATCATCATCATTTATATGTGTGTTAGTGACTATTTAACACAAAACTTTCGAGTTTAATGATCAACACATAAAAAAATTAAAGAATGGTTGGCTGGTTGTGTGTGTGTATTGTTCAAGTTTCTCTTTTCTTGAAAATTCATCTTTTTCACATATATAATGGTATATATCGTTAACCTCGTCAATCAATTGGTTTTCAACAATAAAAAAAAAATTTTGTTTTGCCATGAAGAGAGCTTTCTCTCTTGTGTTCTTCCTAGAAAAAAGATGCAACATTTCGTTCCGAAAACAAAAAGTCAAAATGTCTGGACAAGAAAGTCGGATACACACAAACAAAGTTGACCATATGAATCATGAAGATTTACATTTTTTTTCCGATCTTGAATAATGATAATAATAATTTAATGATGATGAAAGATTTGATTTGATTTGCAAAAAAAAAAAAAATGGATTGGGAATTTAAAAAAAAAATGATTATGACACAGACACACACACACACACACAGTGTTGAAATGGTCAAAATCTTTATCATAATAATAATCATCATCATCATCATCATGATCAGGATGATGATCAGATTTTCATATGGACAACAGCAGCAACAACAGCAACGCCCCAGATAGGAGATTTTTTTCAGATAAAAAAAACAAAAACTAAGCCAAACGACTATTTTCTCTCTCTCTCTCTCTGCGTATAATGTGCCAATTTTTTTTGGGAGAAAATAAATTTTATATATTGGGAAATGTTTGAATAAAAAAAATCAATAATCAAAAATAGGGTGTGACAATGTGATGTATACGTGATTTTTGTTTTTGTTTTGTTTTTCATATCATTTCAAACTGAAAAAAAAAAAAACAAATGACCTGTGTGTGTGTGTGTGTAAATAAGACAAATTTTTTTTTTTACTGGAAAAATTATTCAAGGTTCAACCAAAAAAAAAAAAAAACAAAACAAAAAAAAAAAAACAAAACAAAATGGACACAAACCTCAGATTGTTTGGAAACCAAATTCAATTGTTCAATTACACCAGAATATATTTATTGAATATGAATGGCTCGAATGTTTTGGATTGTCGAGAAAATGGATCGCTCTTGTTTATTTATTTATTTTCTTTGTGGATCAATGTCCGTAAACACAACAACAACAACAACAACGACAGCAGAAATCAGTGATGTGAATGTTCTAATAGAATTGACGTTTCAAGAAATGAGTTGTGTTGTTATCGTCGTTTGTTTTTTTTTTGGTTTGGTTTGGTTTTTTGGAACTTAGAATAGGAATTTTTGTATTGGATCTGTCTGTGTGTATGTGTGTGTGTGTGTGTAGTAGTTTTCAGTCGTTGTTGTCGTCATGGGACAATATTATATATACATTTGAGTATAGTCTGTATAGAATATGGATCAAATGGTGGTGGTTAACCAAAAGGTTGGATCCAGAATTGATATAACTATAGTTTCTCAAATAATAATAGAATGGCCCAGCATTGGATGTTTCTATAGAACAATCCAATTCCAATATTGGAACGATGAATAATATTGCGGAATATACAAGTATTTAAACCACCACCACCATCACAGACTTGAATTGTTCACACACACACACAAATGTAATGGATAGCACTCAGCTGGATGATGTTTGATTATTTGAACATTGGATTTAGCCAATGTTTTTTTTTTTCGTTTTATGTTTTATGGATGGCAGTATATATATATAAATGATATACATGTGTGATAATTCCTGCATACATGCACATGCATGTGTATATTATGTGTTTATATCACACACACACACACAAAACAAGTTTGCCACTCCTCAGTTGTTGTTTTTTTTCCTTGTTATAAAATACAGTGTTGTGTCGGTTGACGATGATGATGATGATGATGGAAAAAAAATTCGTTCCAAACAAATAAAAAGGACACAAAAATTAACCACAGATCATCATCACATCGTTAATCGTGACACCACTAATATAAGCATATGCGCATACGCCTGCTATTTTGCATTTTTTTTTTTTCGTCAAATTGATAGTGGTATAGAAAAGACAAACACAAATATTTGTTTAATTTATTGCATAATAATTCAATGTATGTGTGGTGTGTGTGTGTGTGTGTGTATGTGACAAGACTTGAACTCTGTGTTGCAACAAATGATTAATCGATTTTGATACAGTTGCACTTGTTAATTTTTACCATAACTTGTAGCGACTTCTATTGGGGAAAAAAATGAATTTTTTTTTCTTCAATGTTTCGAATTTTGAAATATAAAATTTTTCCATCAACAGATTTTATTCCATCAGAACAAAAAAAAAATGTCCATAATTAATAACCCGGAAATAGAATGACATTTTTTTTTTTACTTACCTATTTCAGTTTCTGGAACCCATTATCATTATTTATCACTAAAAACTGCCCACTTTTTGTTTTCTCTAAATCAGTAATCATCATCGTCATTTTTTTATGGCTAGACTTTTCATCATCATTTAATGAATGAATTATTTATACACTCTCATGTAGTGGATGGGTGCTGTAAATCTCATGGCGATGATGATGATGATGATGATACTCTGATGTACGCATTATGTCATTGAAATTTCAATTATACTGCGACGTCGTCATTTATTTTGGCTATCGTCATTTTTTTTGTCCAACGATATTAAAAAAAACAACTGAAAACTGATTCATTCATAGGTTATTCACCTATGTATTTTTTTCGGATTAGATTCTGGTCAAATTCTGTTGTCATTTTTTGTTTTGTTACATTTGGTTGATTATCTGACACACACACACACACACAAGTTCACTGACACAATATATCCATACTAAAATGATGAAAAAAAGAATTTGGTATTAGGAAATGATTTTAACAAAAAAAAATCCAATAAACAATTCCAGAATAATCATTGAATCCTGGACAAAACAAAACAGAACAGACAAGCAAGTTGTCTATTTAGTTTTCAAGAATATTCTGTAATCGAAATATTGAAATTTTTTTTTCTCCATTGTCACACACACACACACAACTTCGTAAAAGTAATCATTAAATTCTGTTTCAAAGGAAATTAATACCACTCATATTTTCATTCTATGAAAATATGAAAATGAAAATTAAATTGATTACAAAATGATCTACTTTATCACCAATGGCAACATGTATTTCAGATATGAAAAACATAATTTGAACCAATTTTTTAAAAAAGGAAAAACATTCATTCGTTGCATTGGACATCACATTCGAATCATTTGAATTTCAATCATCATAACAAAAAAATTTGAAAATTGAAACAGAAAAAAAATGAATCATTCACAGCATCAATTTGACCATATAATGAATAAATCATTTTGTCATTTGAAATATTATTCATTTCGTATGGAATATTCACTTGATGATTATGTTGGACGAAAAATATCGACAACATATCGAACATTTCGTCGTGCTATTTGGATTACATTGAATAATTGGATTTCCATTTTATTTTTATTCATCAATGTTTTTTACAATAAAAATTCTAATCACCATCATCATCATATAATCATCGATATGGAACATATGGAAACAATGACCAAAACAAATCGAATTGATTTATTATTTTTAGAATTATTGATAATATTCACATTGTTGGAAATAATGTGGATATTTTTGTTAAAAATGATCATGAATTATCGCTGTACGTTGAATGATTTTTTCATCAATAATCTATCAAAATCTATTGGTTATGATAATGTAAATCATTTAGATGATGATGATCGTGAAAAATTGATCAAATTTTTCATTAATATCAATCGAATCACTGTAATCATGCACAAAATGATTATCTATATACTCATTATGATCAATACATATTTCATCGTTCATTGTTTTCATTTATATCAAAATGATGAAATCACTGGAATGCAATTGCTATTTACATCGATCATGTTTTATGAATATTGTCGCCACATTTGTTACATGTTAGGACAGTTATTTATATCATTGAAAATTCTACTATTATTGATTGATTTTTGTATCACACGTATACGATCATTATGGCGTTCATTGTCGACGATATTGTGGCGACCAATATCGAAAATTGTATTGGTGAAAAAAATATTCATACGTCATTTTCAATACCGATATGTACGACTATATGAAGAAACAATCAATTTTAATCATGTATTGAGTATGATTCTATTTTTCGTTGAAATGATTTCCAAATCGGCCATTATCATGTCCTATATATTCTATAGTCAACAGATCAATATCAGTGCATTCAATACAATATCGATAATGTCATTAATATCGACATTTTTCCTTACTACATTTCTAAATTTACGTGTATCCCAGCTACCAACATGTAATATTGAATGTTCACGATCATTGTTTCGTTGGTTAGCACGTTCACAATATAATGAATTGAATGGTAGTGAACGAATCCAATGGCAACAACGAACCAGGAATATACGGCCAACAATTAGATTGAATTATTTCATTCAAATTATGATCAATAATCGTTTCGGTTTCAGTTGTGGCCATTTGTTTTTCATCAATAAATTCACATACATTCGTATGTTGATATTGAATTTTCATTTAATCATTAAATTTTATAAAAAAATTTGTATGTAGTCATCATGTTTAGCAATAAATGTGTCGGTGTTTGTTAGTTCTATAAATTCCATAAGTTTCTTTTTCCATTTTTTTATTTGTCATAAAACTTTGTAATGAAAAAAATTCATTATGTGAAATTGATTTTTTTTTGTTTTCTTCAAAAAAAATTTTTTTTATTTTTTACCAGGTACAACCCGTATAACACACACACACACACACATTACTCATCAAAAACAATACATTCCACATCTTCTGCGAACACATACACACCTATCTTCGTCTACTACTCAAGTTTCACAAACACCCACCAAGTGTATTTTTTTCTCATAATCATTTCATCAATATTTCTTATTTTTGTGCACTCATACCTCCTTTATTCGTATTCAGTACAATAAAATTTAGAGAGTTTAGAGAGAGAGAGGAAATCACACGGGCAACCAGAATAATTTTTTTCCGAAAAGAAAAAAACAACTCGTGAAAAAAAATTAATCTTTTTTAAATTATTCATGATCTTGTTATTTAAAATTTTAAATGGTATGGGCCAAAACCATAAAAAAACCACCAAAAAAACAAGAGAACAAAATATTCATCATCAGAATCCGATCGTTTCACAAAGACAACAACAACAACATAGGCATGATGAAAATTTTAAAATTGTTGTGGAAAAATTTTCAAAATAAAAATCTTCAAATGAACAATATATTCATTGAAGGTTTTGAAAATTGGAAATTTTATTCATTTCGTTTGAATTATTCATTATCCGATTATCGAAATTGGCGAATTGAAAAATGTTCATATCAAACAATCAATCGTTCCATTTGGATAACAATAAATGCATGGATCATCATCATTGGTATGGCTACAATGATTTATTATGAAAATAATCCATATCTACTTAATCTACATCATATTGAACGTATATACAATGTGAATCGTTATGATTTATTAGTAATCAATTTAATATTCTGTTTTATTATTCTGGAATATATGTGGTTACATTTATTCAATGAAGTAATCAATTATCGTTCATCAATCAATAATTTTCTCATCAACAATATTCCATTTGATTGTAAACAATTGAAATCGGAATCATTGGAATATCTAATATCATTGTATTCGTTTACGAATTTTTTTGCAAAATTATTACATCGAATTGTGGTCATTAGTTTGATTATGATTTATTCGCTTTTCATAGTTTTAGCATTAATTTTATATGTAAAAGAACAGATTAATTTAATTCAAATGATTTCATCGTTACCATTTTTAGGTTTTTTATCATTGCATTTAATGTATTTGATGGGACAATTGTTTATCAATTTAAATTTTATACTATTTCTGGTTGAATATTTTCAAATAAGAATGAAACATTTATTACACATATCAAAATGGGCATCGAATAATCAAATGATGATCACAACAAACATTAATGGTGAATATCGACGACGAATATTCTGGAATAATTTTCATCGTAAATATTTGCAATTATATTCTGAAACAATTAGTTTTAGTCCAACATTAGGTATTGTTTTGTTTACATTGGAAATGATGTCAAAATCTTCAATAGTTATTTCCATGTTGTTTTATGTACGTCAAACACATATGAATCTATTCATTATAGTATCATTAATGATAGCATTGATGGTATTTTGTTTTCCAATCATACTTTATTCACGTGTTGCACGTTTACCATCATATAATCAATTATGTTCACGTTATATGTTGAATTGGTCATCACGTCCACAATGGCTATTGTTGATTGGCAATCAAAATAACAATAATGATGGAAATAATAATTTTATCAAAACAACAACAACAACAAATTATCGATCAAGAATTCAACATTATTCATTGAAATCAACATTATTCGTGCAAACAATGAATAATAATCGTTTTGGTTTCAAATGTGGCCATTTATTTTTCATTACAAAATTCCGATATATTCAGCTATTGATTTTCAATATTCATTTATTGCTTAAATTTTATAAAAAACTCATACATTCATCATCGACAAGTTTATAGGTTAAAAATCAATTTTATTATTATTTACTGACAATTGGGTATAAACAACAATTGTGCATTATTACATTTTACAAATTAAAAATCAATAATATAATATAAATATATGTATGTATTTTTTTCTCATTTGTTTTGTTTTAAATATCAAAAAAAAACAAGAAAAAAAATCATCATTTTCTTCATGTTGGAAAGTAGTAGTAGATATATAAAATGTTCATGTTGGATGTGTTTATCAATGTTTGCAACATCTTTATGAAAGTTTTGATACTTCAGTACAAAGCCAATCAAGACCTTCATATAGGCCATCACCTTGTGTAGCACATGTTGCCTGTATATACCAATGACGATTACGCATCTGACCTAATCCTAAACGATCTTTTAATTCAGATGTTGACATTGCATTCGGTAAATCTTGTTTATTAGCAAATACCAATAATATTGAATCACGTAATTCATCTTCATTCAACATTCGTTGTAATTCTTCAGCAGCTTCGCCTACACGTTCTCTGTATGGAATTGGAATGTTTGAATTTAAGAAAAGAAAAATTGGTTATATATACAGCAAAAAAAAGTAAACAGTTACTTACTTATCATTACTATCGACAACGAAAATTAAACCTTGTGTATTTTGAAAATAATGTCGCCATAATGGACGAATTTTATCCTGGCCACCAACATCCCAAACAGTGAAACTAATGTTTTTATATTCAACGGTTTCAACATTGAATCCAATGGTGGGAATAGTTGTAACAACTTCACCTAATTTTAATTTATATAAAATTGTCGTTTTACCGGCCGCATCAAGTCCAACCATCAATATTCGGACCTGTTTTTTACCAAATAAACGTGTAAATAGACTGGATATGGTTAGACCCATTATTGTTGGTCAAAATTGAATGTTAAAATTGAGATCGATCAAATATTGAGACGAATGTGAATGATGATGAATTTGTATTGAAATTTATTTTTCAGATCAAAAAAGAAAAACAAAAAAAAATCAAATTTACAAATCGATGACGTTATCCTTTACAAAAAAAAAATTTTATTCCTGGTTAGAGTACACAATTAAATAACTCAGCTGCATTATATATACACCTCTTATATTGTGAAAAGCTTTTCTTTTTCGTGTATTTGTGTATGTGTTGAAGCACGTTCATAAATGACAGTATTATTGTAGTTTATAATTTCTTTTTTCATTGTTGGATGGCGCTACACCACAATGTGGTTTTTTTTCCATTTGTATTTTCTCATCATTCGAATCATTTTTCATCTTGCTGTTTAATCGTGAATCATGAATATATATTCTTTTTTATTATTTTTAATCTAATTATTATCTAATTATTTAAATTATAAATTAAAATGATGCATTCATACATATTTTTTCATAAAACATTATAATCAATGGTATGTTCATCATAAGCATTTCAATATATTTGAATTTTGTAATGAAGAATAAATGACCACATGTGAAGCCAAGTTCATTTTTACTCATAACTTGTACAAATAGATTTGATTTTATTGTTGTTCGTCGTACAATATGTAATTTTTGTATTCTTAAATTCCGATTATAGAATAATGTATCCGGTCCTGACCATTGTGTTCGTGCTAACCATTTGATTATCGATTTACAACAACGACGATTATATGATGGTAATCGTGCAACACGTGAATAAAGACTGGTTACACAAACAAATTCTGACATTAATGATAGAATGGCCATTAAACAATATTGACTTAGCTCTTTTTGTCTACTATAAAACATGCATGATATTATGATGCTTGTTTTTGATACCGTTTCCATATACAAAAGCATCGAACCGAATGATTTATTGAAATCGGCAATTTCGGCATAAAGTTTGACATATTGTTGTTGAAACCGATTCCAGAATAATTGTTTCAATTCATTATTTTGCCAAGAACGTGTAAACATTCTCTTTGCAAGTCTATATAATTCTTCCAATTTTACTTGAAAAAATTCAATGACAAATACAATGAATGTTAAAATGGTCGTAAACATTTGTCCAAGAAGATAAGCTATATCTATACATATGAAAAAAAATATAGGCATGCTTAAAATTAATTTTTTAAAAGTTGTAAGATTTTCCATATAGAATATGATGGCCCAATAATATCCGAATATAATTGTAAATATAGCATTGACAATATATAATCGAAAAGTAGTTATTCCGATAAAATAAATAATGATATAGAATCGTTTTAAATATTTCAATGATTTTGTTGATAGTTCATTCTCATTATAATCAAGATTATTAATGACAAATTGTACTAATGATGAACGATAATTTAAAGCATTGGTTGTTAAATGTAACCACATTGCTTCTAGTACGATCAACATAATGAATATTGCCAATATGAATATATCCATACGTTCAGTTTTTAGAATTCGTTCAAAATTATCATAACTCATAAATGGATGTGTATTTGGTAATAAAGCCAATAATCCAAGACCAATTATTGCCACCCATGACAATGATGTAAACAATACTGTACTGCGAAATGTATTCCATGTCCATGGTATATTTTGATTTTGATAATCATCAATAGAAAATTGTAATCGAAATGTATAGATTTTCATAAAATCAAAACCACGTATAAATATTGTTTTAAAGTCAGCTTTTTTCCATGATTCTGATATGATGGCCATTATTTTCAATGTTTGAAATTTGAAGTTTTATTAAACAATATTCTTAATGTTTGTGTGTGGCTAAATGAATGAATGAAATGTTTTGTTTTGACAATCAACTCTTTTTATATCTGCTGAACTACTAAAAAATTGTTCACCAATCGAATTGTAATCGAACCATTAATCATACCAATAGATCGAACCATTAATTATCATTCATTCATTATATATAAACCTAAAATTAATGAGTTCTGTATGAATTTTATTCAATGTCAAAACAAAATATACATTTATTTTGCACTGAATAAAATTTTTCATATTTCTCCACATATATAAATATATGATTTGTGAAAAAAAAATTTGCACGGAATCGAAAACGATTTTTAAAAAAACCAAATTTTCCTTTTTTTTCACCAATAATAATCGATCATAAAACTTTGATGATGATCAAAACACAAACAGCACACACTTATAGATGCTGTTGTGATGGCAACCATTTTTTTTATTATTACTTTTTGATCAATTGATGATCAATTTATTATTCTGGAATGAAATAAATTCGTAGAATTTTTTGCATGAAATTTTGAATTGTAATAAAAAGAAAATTCTCAAGAATCCTAATCATTATATATTTTAATGTGCAAATAGCATTTCTATGTATATATATATATATATATGAGATGATACACAATACAATAATGTGTTGCAATCAAAAATTCAATGGAAAAAACGAATAATTTTTTTATAAAACATCATAATGACTGAAAAATTTAGTAAAAATAATTCTATACATTTATAACGTGTTATAAAGAATAAATGGCCACAATGGAAACCTAAACGATTGTTGGCCATTGTCTGTATGAATAGATTTGATTTAATCATCTGATACCAAATGATACGTTCTGAAATGTTATTTAATTTTTTACCATCATTTTTACGATAATATTGTAATCGAGCCAACCAATTTGAAATGGATTTAATATATAAATGATTTATTGCCGGCAATCTTGCTATACGAAAATAGATACCAGTTGTATATGGAAAAATGGCCAACATTGCACCGATGACCATTGTATTATGGAAATCCATTTGCCATTGAAAGCTATAATAAATACAGCTCATTATGATGGCCGATTTTGAAATTAATTCAATGCACAGAAATATTCTGCTTGCCGTATGATTAAAATGTCTAATTTCAGCATATAATTGTACATATTCATAATGGAATTGATTTCTGAATTTTAATATTTTTGTTTTATCGGCGAAATTTTTTGATTTTTCAACCAAATAATAATGATAATAAAATGGTGACAATTGTTGTAGCCATATTTTGAAAAATTCAATTATAAAAATGATGAAATTTAATGAATAAAATAATTGACCCAATAAATAGCATATATATGCAGTAATAATGACAATTGCTGGCACACTTATTACCAATTTCAATATGGTAATCTGATTATGTGAATAAAATATTATTGAACAATAAGTGAATAAAATATCGACGATAATCAATGCAATAATAAGTGTATAATAAAATGTGACTGATAAAAAATCAGTAATAATATAGAAACGGATAAGATTTTGTCTTACACGTTTATCCAATCGTTTCGATATAAATGATGACCATTTTTTAAAGGCAATAAAATTAGTAATGGAACAACGATATTGTAGAACATTATTGATTAAATATAGCCATGTTAATTCCATTATAATGGATATGATTATTAATTCAATGGCTAATAGATCATTTCGTTGTGAGCCTAACATTTGATCAAATAATTTCATATTAATGAAAAATGGATTTTCTGGATAATACATATCAATAGTAAATGAAATAATCATTGCCCATCCAATTATTGAAATGTATATGCCACGTTTAATTGAATGATTAGTTTTTGATATACGTCCATTACGATAATCTGATAATGAATATTCCATACGTATTGTAAAATATTTCCAATGTTCAAATCCTTTATTGAATATCTGTTCAATTTGTAATTTTTTCATTGTAAATCGTTGTAATAAATTCATGTTTCAAACACACAATTCTTGAAGTCAAATGAGTAAATGAAAATAATGAATTTATATCAAAAATTTTCGTTTGTCAATTTTTTTTTAAATTTCCTGTCCATAATCAATAATCAACAAACAAAATCATTAATATAGAACAAACAACAAAAACAACGAAAAAAAAAATGTTTGTTTTGCAATCGTTATTGTACACACATTAATGTTGTTATTAAGGTGGAAAAAAATCGAAATTTTTAAATGAAAATTTTTCATTCCGTCGTGTTCTAGCTAATCGATGAATGTATGGAGAGTTTTTCATTTACTTTCATTTTTTATTTGATTCAAATGTTTAATTGGAACAACAACAAGAGAAATTCAAAATTCAAAACTAACGGTATGGTTTAACAAGAATAATTCAATTTTTGTGTATAGTGCAGTAATTTTTTTTTCATTTAATGTACCATGTAAAATGTTTCATGCTTATTTTAAAAAATGAAATGAATAAAAATTCACAAAAATTTCTCATCTTAAAGTCATTTAGTTGAATTGGTTCTATGTGTACAAAAGTGAATGTCACCCAAAAATGTCTAATGATAAAGCCCAAAAAGTTAAATATATTTTTTCGGTTTTTGTAATTGCAAAAAAAAAAATATCAGAACCAGGTTACCAGGTGATTGAATGATGATGATGATGATGATGATGATTATGATTATGATGATGAAAAACATGAAACACACGACATGACACTCATTTCCATTTTTTTTTTTCGTGTAATGACGTACAGTTGATTATAGTTGCACAACAGGTGTATTATTTCGGCCATAATTATCACTAATCGACCATAATATTGGACATATGTTCGGCGGTGGTGGTGGTGGTGGTGGTGGTAGTGGTGATTAAGATGATATTGATCAGGAAGTATGATGATTCAATTTATCGACCATAACCAATAGCTGGACCATAAAATGGATGTACTACTTTTCGATAATAATCATATGCAGGCAATACAGTTTTACATTCATCTTCAACAATGATTCTATGAAATTTATGAAAAAACAAAAAAAAAATGATCAATTTCAAAGAATTTCTTCTTTCATTTAAAAAAAACTTACATTTTACCACGTTTATTTCGTTTTTTATGACCTTTAACTATGATATTTGGTGTGTTACAATTTTTACCACCAAATACAAAACTAAAAGTTCCAAAAAAAATTCATAAAATTTTTCATTGATTCAACAAATATTGAAAACTTACACATCATTACCGGCACCTTTTTTGCCAGCAATTTTAATGATATAGGCAATTTTTGTATCAATAATCACAATCATCATCGATGACCATATTAAAATGATGAAAAATATTATGAATAAAATCGATGATGATGATGATGATGATGATTGCTGATATCGGTGTTGTTTATGTTGAAATAGTTTCATCGTATTTTTGTTTTTTTATTTATTTATTTTTTTTTTTTTTTTTTTTGGAGGAATGTAAAATAAAATAAAAAACATTCACCAGAAAATAAAAGAAACGAAACTATCAATGATCATAACATTTCATCGTCCAAAATCAATGTGGTGGTGATTATCATTTGTTTCATTCCAACACTTTTTTTGTTTGTTTGTTTGTTTGAAAAAGTTTTTTATTCGGTTTTATTCGATCCAGAAATGGAATACACACAATGCAGTGAAACAAAAAAAAAGTAGCGCATGTAAATTTAATTATTATTTTTTTTTTTTCATTATTCAAACGAAAGAGAAACCTGTCCCGTTGTATCAAATCATGTGTTTGTGGTAAAAAGGTATTACACACACACACACTCAGACACATTTTCTGGTAATAAATAAAGATGAAATCAAATCGATTGACGATTGTGTCAATTCCTTGATGATAGATTGATTGATTGATTGATTGATTGAATGTCGTTCAATAGGAACAACAACAACAACGACAACAACTTGATGAAATAATCAATTTTTCTCATTCTTTATATGCTTTGTTTGCCAAATTGAATCATATTGTTCAATTTTTTTTGGATTTTTTTCAAATTAATTTTGATATTACCCGGATAATGTTCTGTTGTTTTTTTTTTTGATTCGAAATCAATTTCCGTTTCGGGTGATTTTTTTTGTTGTTGTTGTTGCAATGAATTGATTTTGATTATCTTGAATGGAAAAAATAAAATTTTCTTCTGCGTTTTTTTTTTTCAAGTGAAACTTGTTCACACACTTTAAAACAAACAAACATTTGTGTGAATTTAGTGAGTCACAATTTGGTTGTCCACTGATAAAATAAACAAAGATTTTTTTTTTTTTTTTTTGGACCAATGGTCGAGGTTAATGGATTTTTATTGTTTTTTTTTCTCTCTCTCTCTTTATTTGTTCATTCATTGTGTTGTTGGTTGTGTGTTCATTCTTCAAAGACGAAAAAAGAAAAAGTTCAATTTCAAACCTGTTGAAGCGTTTCACATGCCCGTTGAATTTGTAATTACCGACTAAAAAAAAAAATTTTTTTTTCACATTTTTTTAGACAAATTGAGAAATTATCCGATTCGTTGCCAAATGTTTCCGATGATGATGGTGGTGGTGGTGGAAATTCGACAACACACAAAAAAATTTAGGTCAAAAAATTTTTTTTTTTTTCATTTTCTTTAATCATTAGAAATGACAAAAATAAACAAACAAACAAAATTTATTCAATTGGATCACATCCACATTCATGACGAAATTGAATGATTTTTTTCATAAATTTTTCATCATTAAATCGATTACATTTTTCATCATTATTATGGCCATGTTCATAAATGTAATGTAATTCTTGTCGTTGATTATCATGATCTACTGATTCGGTTGTAGATTTTTGTCTGGATAGCATTAGTTGATGACATTTATCAGCAAATTTTTCCACACGTTTTACATTAAAACAGGCACGTGATAATAATTGCATTGCAATACGATCAGTTTCTTGTTCTAATGTTTCAGAATAATTCATTTTCGACAACATTTTCCTATATTTTTCATAGCAAATATCACGTGCCCATTCATCGGATGTGATTATAAAACGAAAAAAATTGGTCAATTTTTCTTTCAACAATTCATTCGGATGAAAAATCCACATTAATCGACTTGAATATATCATACAAAGGCCTTTCCAGATTTGTGTTGGACGAAGATTTGATAACTATATGGTGGTTGAGTGGATGAATTATTAGAAAAAAAAATCAATTTAATTTCATTAGTCAATCATTAAACACATACCGGTTCACGATAATGTTTTAAAATTACATGCGATAATGAATGTGCAATTAAATAGGCAAGCTGATGTTCATCATCATCGCAAAGATCAACTAATTTTTTCGTTAGTATTAAAAATTTTTCCGAACATATTGTTTGTGAATAAAAATGTTCATCATCATCATCAATAATTATTGTCGACCATGTTGTATCAATATGTTTTTCATCATCAATATATTCTTTATTCGTTTCGATTAATTTCTTTAGGATTTTATCACACATTTGAATGGATTTATGTGATGATTGTAAAAATTTACCATCATATTCAACAAGTAGATCATTTAGTAACAGTTGTTCGTAAAGTTCATTGATAGCTATTTGAATGAGAGAAAACAATAATGTTATAATTAATTACAAAAAAAACAAACATATCCACTTACTATCAGGTAGCAATCGTATAAAATATCGATCGGTTATTTCATGTTTTTTTGTCATAGAAGCCAGAAAAACAATGTGTATTATTATGATTGCAAAAATGAATATAACGTATTGAACACCATTGAATACCATAGAATTGATTTTTTCTTGTCGTGATGATTCTATCCATTCGGCTATTGCACTATTGTGATGAAAAATCAATACAAATATTAATAGCACAACACAATTGAAACAATCCAGAAAAAAAACAAATCTTACACTGGTCTCCATAGAATCATACGAAAAAGAAAATTTTTTTCCGATAAATTTTTCATTTGAATTAATAATGATGAAAATTGTTTACCAGTAATTACTGGCTGTTCAGCAATTTGAGCATTTATAACACGTGGTTCAGATTTTTTTGTTATTTCTAAATTATCGGACGATGTTGATTGAACAATTTTTGTTAATTGAATTTTTGATCGTTTTGGATCATTATCATTGATGTTTGATGATGATGATGATGATGAAAAGAATTTCGATGACAATATGAACGATGATTTATAGTGAAATTTTCTATACAACGCCAATCTTAACTCTGATGATGATGATGACGATGAATATGAACATAGAATAAATCGATAATGGTGATTATAACGAGCTAGAAACGTCATTTTTTCTCACAAAGAAAAAAAAAGAATTACGAATTCAGAATTGAAAAAAAAAAAAAATTCTAGAGATCAGCTGATTTGAGCCAAACAAAAAAAAAGCAGCATGAAACTGTGGGGTGGCACATGCGTGAATTCAATATGAAAATCAAATGGTATTCATTGGTGTTGTGGTAATTATTCGTTCAGAATCAATGAATGCCGATTCTTTTTGATTTTGTTGTTGTTGTTGTTGTTTCGTATCGGTTGACATTATAGAATTATGATCATGATCATTATGATTATGATTAATAATCCATTCATTTGTTAATTCAATTGGATTGAAACCTGTTGGCGTTGGTTTTATTGATGGTGCAATCTGATAAATATGATCATCAACATTATCATTATTTGTTGTTGTTGTTATAGTTGTACCTAGAAAACGACGTTTCATCATATTAGATGTTTGTAATTCTTCTAAAAAACGTTTTTGTAAACGTCTTTTATGAATGATTTCTAATTTCATTTTCAAATACATTGATAATAGATATGAAAATGTAAATAATGATGATATAATTTGCAACAAAATTATTGACCATCTATATGATTGAATGGCCATCGACAATGTGGCCAGAATTAAATTCAAACTTGCAGCTGTAATAAGAAAGAAAAAATGTTCTTTAAATGTGGCCAATAATGTAACCAAAGTAATTATGAATGTGGCCAAATATGAACCAAGTAAAATAATAATCAAATCATCATCATTTGAATTTTGGACAAGAAATAAATGTCTTATAAACAAAGTGATTAAACCGATGATCAATAATGATAATGTACAAATAAGCATATATTTGAATATGTTGACAATACTTATTTCATCATCATCATCATCATCATCGTCATCATTATCGTGATGATTATGATGTGAACGATATGATGTTGTATGATGATAAACATCGCAGGTATCCATTTTATCATCATTACATTGAATCATCATTTTGTTGAATTTTGAACAACAACAACGACAACAACAACAACGACAACAAAATCACAAATGATGATTAAATATCAATCTTGCAATATAACAAGTATGGAATTCGATTTGGTTGGTATGTAAAAGAAAAAGGTAACAATAAGGATTAGAAGATGTTGACGATGGTCGATGATGATGATGATGATGATGTCATATCCTTTTTTCAAATCATCATCTTAGCAAGAATTATTTGCAATAACTCGTTCACTTATACACACACACTCAAAAAAAAAAAAAAAAACTTATGACTTGCTCGTCGTTGCCGGTTTTTTTCCATTCCACTTTTTGGTTGTTGTGTGATATTAATTTCGGTGAGTGACTGTCTGTCTGTGTCTGTGTGTGTGTGTGTGTGTATGTTTGTTCGTGGATGTGAATTGCAATGCAACAAGCTATTACATTGAAATGAATGTGGTCAACATTCTCATTGAATCATCATCATCATATAAAACAACAACAACAACAACAACAACCAAACAAAACAAGAAAAAGGTAAGATGCAATCAAAAATTTCGGCTATATATTCACACACAGATATATAAACATGAATGTTGTTGATGAACTAGAGACATTATTAAACTCGAACTTGGTTATTGAAAAAAAAAGATTTTTTTTTGTTTTGTTTTCATTTCTCATTTTTTATCATTTTGATTGCTACTGGAACATATTGTGTGTGTGTGTATGTATGTCTTCCAGTTATTAACATTTCTGACATATACAAATCTGTTCCAGCAGCAGTATATTTTGATGATGATGATGATGATGATGATGGTGGCTTCCTCCTTTTTTTCCCCCAGCTAATAGGTAGAGGCAAGGCGTACGTCTCTCATCATTATCATCGTGATTGAAATTATTATTGTTGATAATGATGATTCTTCGTCCGAATTATATAAATTTTATTTTCCTATAAATTATACGGTTTTGTTTTTTTTTTATAGCCAGGTGTTTTGTGTTGAGAGCTGAAAGGTTTCCATGTCGTTGACGTTGTCTTGGCGTTCATTTTTTTTTTTTTTTTTTTTTCTAAGCGACAAATAGTTTTTGAAACTTGGTTTTTTTTATCATTCGTTTCATTTATTGGTCATTGATTTTCATTGACATACATTAACGAGCACCCGTCTGTAGGTGTAAAATATAAAATTAGGTTTTTTTAAAAAAAAAGACAACGGTCGTTCACCATTTTATGTTTGATTTGATTTTTTCATACCTGGCAACCAATGATTATGATGATGATGATGGATTTGTAAACAAAAAACAATATGGCGTCATAATGATTTTGGATTTGAAAATATTCAATTGCAAATCGAATCGATTGATTTTTTTTTTTCGAACGAATTAATCGTTTCCTTGCTGTGTACATTTTTTTGCCATTCATAAACAACGTGATGAACGCAAAAGAAAAAGAAAGAAATTCGACAAGTTGATAAACTTTAAACAGGAATGTTTTTTTTGTAGATCATTGCTCTCCCCCTACCACCACCACCACCACCAATATTGAACACGAACAACAACAGCAATAAAAATGAAAGGAAAAAAATTGAAAAATAAATGACGATGATGATGATCAGACAAGGAGAAAAAAACAGAAAAAATCGTCATTGTTAACGCCCACTTAATTGTAGTATACCAATGGTGATAGTGGTCATCGTCATCATAATCATCATCATCATCATCATTGATCATGTCGGCATTACATACATTAATAATTTGTCGACAATGACCACCACCACTATTACTATTCATCATTTAAGAAGAAAGAAGGTTATAACCGATTGACGATTTGAAATTCCAATGGTTCTTTTCCCAGGTGAACGATACTGTTCATATCATCATCATCATATGTTATGGATGTTCATCATCATTGTCGTGATCATCATCATTCGAATATGAACGACGTTGTCAAATTCAAATCAAAAAAAAAAAATGTTTGTGGTCATTTTCAAAAATCAATCATCGATCGATCGATCGAAAATTGTTGCAAGTCATTTAAATATTTTGGCCATATCACCATCACCACAAAACAAAATTAATGATGATGATGATAATATTGGCCAGTGGCGGTGGTGGTGGTGGTATCTCACACGAATAATCATCCTCATTTTGGACTTCGGTGATCAGAATTTGATGATCATTAAACAAAAAAAAAACTCGGTCCGTGAGAAGTGCCCTAAAGGTAATTTTCGGTATGTTTCGGGGGTGGTTGGTTGGATGGATGATGATGATTGAATATTTACCTGAACAACAAACCTAAAACAAAAAAAAATACAAATTCAATCAATTGGGTCTTCTTTTCTCATTCATTGTAGTCATCGATATCCAGATAATTGATGGTTTCCAATTTTTATCCAAATAATAAATTTCACAAGTGTGTGTAGGTGTGTGTGGGAAATTGGTAGAATACAAATTCCAGTTGCAAAATTTTTTTTTGCATGAATTCTTACAAAAAGAAAAAAAATGTATGGAATGTTGATAATTCTGGAATTTTTATTCGTTGCCGTAACATTGAAAAAAAATCCATGCGTTTTTTGTCCACCATCATTTTTTTTATCGGACATTATCGACATGTTCAAAATAATCGTGCAGAATCATTTTGTCTATTCTGTATTTGGAAATAGTAACACTTGAATGACTGGCTGATTTTTTTTTTTACTATGATGGACCACAGTACACACACACAATCAACCTAATGTACTAAAATTATCAGTTAACACGAGTGGTCAATTAAAAAAAAAAACTACGACATTGACGACCATTGAAGACCATCGTCATCATCATCATCATGATAATGATAAAGACCATGTTTTTTTTCGTATTTTGCACGACGACGACGACGACGATGAAAACGACTAAATGATGATGATGATGATGACCTCCTACTCTTCCTCCCACTATTTCACTTATATGTAAACTTTCTAAAATAGCAAATGTTTTGTTGTTGTTGTTGTTTGTTAGTTTGTTTTTTTCACTTAAAATATGTAGAATGACCCTCCTCCTACAACAACAACAACAACAACAAATCACCATTTTTATGTATAACGATCGGTTGTATCATCATCACCATATAGATTGACAATGATGAAAGAAGAAGAAAATTCGTGATTTTGTGTGTGTCTATGTGTGTGTGTGTGTGTCTAGTTAGAGATTGGGATGTGCTTTACTTGGTTTTATTCTCACTTTATGTTGTTTCAGATCAATATGATTTTGTTGTTGTTTGAAAATCAATTCTCAGATCAATTCTAAATGTTCAATTGTAATGAACAGTGTGTTTATTTTTTATTTTTGGATCCAATTGTAACCCATTTCCATTGATCATGGCCATTGTTGATTGTTGGCATTTAAAAACATCAGAAAAAAAAATTTTTTTTGTTTCAATTCTGTGTCATGATTTCCGGTGGAAAATGATTAATTAATTGATTGACAAAAATACAAATTAAACAGTGTCAATTTTTCACGATAAACAACAACAACAACAACAACAACGACGACGACAACAACAATGTATTTGCCGGTAAGTTTTTTTTTATTTTAATTTTCGTGAAAAAAATTCAAAATTTGTAAAAATTGTCCTACAATGAGACCAATCTATCTATGACCTGAAAAAAAACTTTGAAAATAAAATCCTCAAATCAAATGTAAGAAACAAAAAAAAACGTGAAAAAATGATTTATGCTGATCAATCGGATAAATCAATAAATCGGTGAAAAAAAAACGAATCCTCATCATCCATTAGAGATTTGAATGAGAGAAAATAATTTCTGGATTCCATACATGTACAGCGATTATCTGGCATTTAACATATGAAAATTTTCAATTCCATCATCATTTGATTTTTGATTTTTGAAATTTGTTTGCATTTTATTTCAATTTTTTCCCCACCCCACTTCTCGCTCTCTCACTCATAAACACTATCATCACCCCCAAAGTTGTCATTCATTCATTCATACAAAAAAAAAATTCAAATTGAATTTAATTTTCTGGTCTCTTTTTTTTCGCCCACCTGTTGATCTATCAAACAAATCAAAAAAAAAAAAAGAAAAGAAAACGCTCCACATGGTACGATTATATCACAAGTTGTTGTTGTTGTTCCGACCTGGATCAATAATAAATCGATCGATTTGATGATGGCCTACGTTGAAAGTGATCATCGCTGTCGCCGCATCACCAATCATATATTCGATGGTGGTGGTGGTGGATTTAAATGAAAAAAAGGTCAACTTGTGAATTGTGAAAAATTGATTTGCATACAATCTAATGGATCAACGAGAAAAATGGTAATGGTCTCTGCATATTACACATTTTTGCAATGATTTGCAATGAAAAGAGAGAGATAAATTTTTTTTTTTTTCATCATTTAATAATGAAAAATGATTAAAAAATTCAAATTTTGTCGGAATATTTCCTTTTTTTCTCGTTACAAAATAATGATGATGATAACTTTGTCGGCGGCCATATTAAATAATAATGATGATGATGTGTGGATTTGACAATAAGTTAGACAAATTACCTGAATATTTTTTTTTCTTTTCGGTGTTTATTTGTGTGTGTGTGTGTGTGTGTGATTAATTTCGGAATTTGCAAAAAACCGAAATTAATAATAAATGATCATTGAATAAACATATACACAGCTTCCTGTGGTAAAAAAAATTCTTCATTTCAAAATTTGGTGAGCCAAACTTTTTTTTCGATGATGATGATGATGATGATGATGTCAAATCTAATATTTCAATCAGATCAGATTAAAAATTATCAAATTGTTTATGATACTGTCTCGTGTATGTATTCACAATGACCACAAACTTGAAAATAAAAAATTTGTCATAATCATCCAGACATGGGTGTGTGTGTGTGTCTTTAGGTCTGTAAAAGAACAAGGTACGAAGGTTTTTTCTCTCTCTCTCTCTCTCTCTCTCTCTTGGAGAATATGTACACAAAATCGATATTGGACATGTATATTTAATTTGAAATTCATTATCGATCGACGACAATTAAATGATGACATAATTGACTACGACGTTATTCGATCGATCGATCGATTGATTGTCGACCAATCAATTTGATTGTCAACAATGATAACAGACACATATAAAATGTTCAATTTTTTTTCCAAGGTCTCACCCTATTCCAGTAAAACACACACACACACACATGTCATTATCGTTTCCGATTTTTTTTTCCAATTCATCTGATATTTTTCCTTTTGTTAACAATGATGATGATGATGATGATGATGACATTGACCTGTTGATGGGTCATAATTATTCAAAGTATTTTTTTTACGACTTTTGTCCATCACATCAATGGTGATGGTGATGGTGGTGGTGGTCAGCATTTTTGTTCATATAATAATATTCTGTGACAATAAAAAAAAACACTGGCCGTTTTTTTTCCATGAGATTTTTTTTCTGGTCAAGTTTAGTTAGTTTTTTTTATTACTATTGTCATTCTGAAATTTTCAACAAAAAAAAACGAAAAAAAATGAAAAATCGTGCTGCCACATTATGAAATGAAAATGGAAATGGATATCGTTAATCTTCGGTCGGTCTGTTTTTTTTTTAGTCGATTTACATATATAGTCATTATTATTCAACGAAATTGACTGGCTCTAAAGAAAAATGAGACTCGAAACAAACAAACAAAAAAAAAAATAAACAAATTCCATACCTGAATAAAAAGAAAAGAAAGCAAACAAACAAATCCACATTTTAACCCGTTGACAGCTATGTTTTGTGTGTGTGTGTGTGTGTGTGATATGATTTGTGTAGTCGTTGTCGCCAGTAAAAAAATTTCATAATGATAATCATAAATTCCTAGATTAAAATTCTTTATTTGTTATTGGATTTTCATTTTTTAAGCTTTTGAAATGAAAAATTTTTGAAAATTGTGAACAACATCTTTGATTGCTCTGATAAACGATAAAAGAGGCAAAAAAAATGACCCAAATTTCATTAATAACAAATGCAAAAGAAAGAAAAAAAAAATAAACTATGATGATGATGGTTAGTGTACTGTGTAGAAAAGACACATGCATGACCTGCTGACCAACAATAATAATGGTCATGTCAAATGTCATTGTTATATACGTTTTAATATGACCTTTAAGGTCAAAAAAAAGCTTTTTTTGTTGTTGTTGTTGTTGTTGAATAAATGAACTTACTTATACGTTCTCATGAGTAAAATAAATGAATTTTCATTGAAATTTTTTCTGTTTTGTTTTCTTGGCTAGTTTCCATGGTGTCCATTAACACATAGTTCATTATCAATCAATTATCGAAATTATGAATTGAAATGAAAAAAAAATTTTTTCTGAATGAAAATGAATTATCAATATTTGTTTTACCGCATGGCCATCATCATATTCGTTGGATTGGTCAACCACATGTTGTGTGTGTGTGTGCTGTGTGTGTGTGTTTTGATTCATGGATGTGTATTTGTTGTTGCTGAACAATGAACGTGTCTAAATTAATTGTAATCATCATCGATCAAATCAAATCATGGTTTTGTTCTTTTAAAATCAATCAAAAAATTAATAGAATGAAAGTATCCAGTATTCTTGAATTCCGATTGGCAATGTTAATTAATCATTTGAATTTTTTTTTTGTTTTGTTTTTTCATATATAGCTGCATTATGTGTCAATGATTAGTATTGAGAAAATCTGCGTGAGAATTTACGTTTTCTTTTTTTTTCTGGAATTTTGAAATTTCAAATTTTTTTTTCCATTCAAATGACTTTTTGTTTTTGTTTTTTGTTTTTCTTTCAACAAACAATATAAATGACATCATCAACCAAACATGATCAATCAAAACTCAAAATTGTTTCGGCATTATTGATTGAACAATTCGATGAAAATTGATTATTTCTTGCTTTTAAATCTGATCGGATACAGGCATTGTTGTTGTTGTTGTTGAAATTATATCTACCTATTGAAATAATCATGATGATTTCGGGCAACAATTTGTTTGTTTTGTAGTTGTTGAAATTGGCTGCAAAAAAATTCAATTTTTTCTCATTTTTTTCCGAATTTTTCAACATAATAATTTGATTGAACTTGGCAACAAATCATTCCATTTTTTTTGATGATGATGATAATGTAATTTTCCAATTACATGTAACAACAACAACAACAACAACAACAAAAAAAACATGCCGAAAATGGCATGAAAATGAAAGGTAAAAATGCCGCCAAAAAAAGAATGAAAATTGTGTCATTTTTTTTGTTTGTTTGTTTGTTTGTTTTCTGCGATTGTGTGCACAACGTGATCATTAATGATGATGATGATGATGACAACTTTTTTTTTTTTCTGTCTCCATGATTTGTTTCCAAATTGAATTGGAAAAATCAGCTGAATTTTTCTCGTAATTTTCGGATTCTTCAATTCATTTTTTGTTGTTGTTGAAATATTTTTCCAATGAGAAAAAAAATTTTCATTACAAACAACCAAAAAAAAAAAAAAAAAAATACTTTGTTTGTGAAAAAAATTCTTGTTTTTCTACTTCTTTTGTCTCTCTATCTCTTTTTTTTTGTATGCTTTAAAGCCAGGTAAATCACATCATCATCATCATCATTGAATGATGATGATCTTATGGTACCAAATCTCACCCTCTCATTTACTCATAAGAAAAAATTTTTTTTTTTCTGTATCAAGTCTTGTCGTTGTCGTTGTCGTTGTTGATCGATCTAAGCGACCACCAGACCGACGGTCAAATCGTGACTGGCCGTTTTTCTTCAATTTTCCTTTTCTTTTCTATCATCATCATCATCATCATCAAATAAATATATAAAGTTCAATTCGTGATCTTCGATATTTTTCAAGCATAGATTTTTTTTTTTTGACTGAATTTTTCTACAACGTTGTAGGGGGGTATAGTAGTGTGTGTGCGTTTTGTATATGTTTGTTGTAGCCACCATTTAACAACAACAACAACAACAACAAAAAAAAAATACTGACCGATCATCAAGCCGTCAATTATGTGCATAATAAAAAGATACACACAAACACACACACATTATGAATCTGAAACAAATTTTTTTTTATGTTTGGCCTTAATCATCATCATCATCATCATTGGCATGGATAAATCACCATAAGGGTAGAAAATAAAAATTCACACAAATGTTGTGATTCAACCAAAAAAAAAAAAAAAAATTTCCATTCAGGTTCATTTTTATTTTTTCAAATTTCAATCAGAAATAAAAATCAGAATTGAAAAATGTGTGTAAAAAAATTATTATTTTCCATTTGTTTATACGTTGTACGTTGTACATTGTTGTTGTTGTTGTTGTTGTTATTGTTTTATTTTAAACACCATCATCATCTGTCATTGTGGTGGAAAATTCTCTTACACGACGTATTGATGTTTGGCAACAAAAATAGCCAATAAAAATGATTAATATTAAATCAATTATAATAATGATAATGATACCGATCCAGAACCATTCTTTATCATATTGTATTGGACAATAATCATTCAATATTTCCGTTGTTGATGATGATGATGATTCTGTATTTGTTGTTGCTACAGTCATGATGTTTTCGTGTTTTCGTTTTTTTTTTTTTCACAAATTCATCGACAAAAAAAAAAAACAAAATGAAAACGAATAAAAACCGGGAAAAAAAATTCCTAATTTTTATTTTGTTTGATTTACAATTTAATTAATTTATGGAATTTTTTTCCCCAAAACAGATCTCATTATTGTTACATTTTTTTTCTATGCAATCGTTTATGATTATGATGGTCGAATCAAGTGATAAAATACAATCAACATCGAACATCGAAAACAATGACAACAATACGAGCATATCGTTGTTATCGACAACAAAATCAAATTATATGTCCAACAGATAATAGTCAACTAACGAATGTATATAAAGCATCGGAATCAAATTCCAGTATTAAATTGGGACCAAATTTGTATCATAGACAATTTACAATATCATCTTTACCAGCAGTGGATCAACAACAGCCATCCAAAACAAAATCTCGTACACATGTGATCTATTATACAAAGCAATATTCTGATAATAATGGTGGCGGTGGTGGTGAGCAAAATACATTCGATTTAAATGATGAAGATGAACATCAATTTATGCATCAAACAAATATCGATGAACATATTATCGATGATGGTGGTGGCCATCAACAACGTAAATTAAATAAGTAAATTTTTTTTTCATTTTTTTTCATCATAAAAAAGTTAAATTCCGTTTTTTGTATTCTTGTTTCAGAATCAAAATTAACACATTCATCGATGATAATAAAGCAATGATTCGACGAATGTTTGGCGATTATCATCATCATTCTAAACAACAACAACAACAACATGATGGCCATTTAACGCCATTGTTACCTGATGTTGGTGATGATGATGTTGATGGTGAATTTCGTGATCATTTTTCAAGTTTTCATGATCACCATTCAGGTCATCATCGTAGTCGGCGTTCGATTAAACCAAAATTATTGTCTGGTAATAAGTAAGTTTTTGTTTTCACTATTTTATAGAGATATGAATCGTGTATTATTGTTGATTGGAATTTTTTTTTCATTCAATGAAATTTTTACAACTCAAAAAATCTGGTGTTCCGGTCACGAGTTGTTTTTTGTTGTTGTTGTTGTTGTTTCACGAGACCTATCTATACGACGACCTTGTTACGTTTTTTTTTTTTTCTCTTTTTCTCAATTGATCTAATTGTTTCTTTTTTTGATTGATTGATTGATTCATTCATTGAATTCAATAAATAATTAGGGTCGATTCATGTGAATCAACAGTGGAAATTGTAACACCATATTGGGCATCAAATTCAGCAGGAAAAATTCGTGCCATTGTTAATACACAACATTTACAACAAGCAATACAACAAGAAGTTTGCCAGTAAGTGTTACCGAAGCTAAAAAGATGGCGCCATGTGTTTTAATAATTTTTTTTTTTTTTAGAGCTGTACAAACACGACGATGTAATAAAGATTGCCGCTGTGAACAGAAATATAAATGGCATCGTTTATTAGCCTATGATCCGGATGATGATTGTAAAGGAATATTTATGGATTGGTTTCTATTTCCATCATGTTGTGTTTGTCGTTGTGCCAAATATTGATATTGATTGATATATATTGTAATATTGTTTTTTCCCACCCTCATTCTCGGACACAAACGGATTCCGGTTTCTGTGTGCGTGTGTGTTTGTGTTTGTATTTATGTTCGTTTGTAATTTCATCACATATCACATCGTTATCGTAATCGTAAGCATTCAATCTGTATTATAATTGCAATTATTAAAAGAGATGGATTTAAAAAAAACAATCATCATTTTGTAATAAAAAGTATCTCGTAATTTATCAAAAGAAAAATGTGAATTTGAATCATGTTATGAAATTCTAATCATTTCAATGAATGGAATTGACTAGTGGACACACACATATGATTTGTCCAACCTGTGTATTACACATCATCATTGTTATTGTCAATCGTTTATTCATGTTTTTTTGTTGTTGTTGCAATTTTTTGATTGAAATAATTCATCAAAGTCAAAAAAAATTTTCAAAAGCCCCCAATTGTGTGCCAAATGTTTCAAACAAAAATCATTGTGTGTGTGTGTGTGTAAATTTTTTTTTATTCATTTCGTCTTTGATCAATGATCGATGATCGTTTACAATGTTTCAATGGATGAATTGAATGTAAATTCAATGGATGAATGGATGAAAAATGTTCTCTCTCTCTCTCTCTCTCACACTATGATTGATTGATAAGTTGTGATTAATTTCCGAAAAAAAAATACCGTTGATGTCAATGTAAAAAATACATTGAACAATAAATAGAAACACTTGACCTTTGTCCTGTTTATTATATATTGTTATTATTATTATTATTATCTGAACGGGTTTCTTTCATTTTTTTGTTGTCTAAAAAATTGTTATTGATGATGATGATGATGAGTAGGTGATGAAATTTTTTTTTTTTTTTTTTTTTTTTTTGTAAATCTTGAATTATAACGATGATGGTGGCCTGTCCAATGATTAAAGTTTGACAATTAATTTCTACTATTTTTTCCATGCCGAAAATCAACATGTTAAATCATGTGATTTAACAAGAAATGAAAAAAAACAAATCTGAATATTCAAACACAATTGTTGAACAAAGAAGCGAGAAAGTGAGATAGAGATGGAGAGAGAGAGAGAGAGAGAGAGAGAGAGAGAGAGAGAGAAATATGGTCAAAATCGAATGATAAATTGAACAGTAACCGTGTCGGATGATTTGTTACCATCTCTTTGAATGTTTTTCTTTTGCTCTCTTTTGGTTTTCATTTTTCATTTTTCAAAAAAAAAAATAAAATAAAATTTGTTCCATATTGCGATAAAACAAACGTTTTGAAAAAAAAAATACAATTGAATTGAATGAAAAAAAAGCCAACACTTTAACACAATTGTGGTAGATGTGTGATAATAATAGAAATAAAAGGTGTGTCATATGTTATAACGATTTGTTGTTGTTGTTGTTGTTGTCGAAACATGAGACAAATTGAATTTCAACCATCATCATCATCATCATCATCATATCATAGACTGACGCATCCGAATCAAATTTGATTATTCGACATTGTGATTTGAAATTTATCTATTTAAAGTATTTTTTTTTCGTTACAAAAATATTGCTCGATCATTCGATTCAAAAAATGGTAAACAGTACATCGACTATTTGTGAACAATTATTCTGTGATTCTGTTATTGATAATGATGAACAAAAATTTGTTGAAAAAACAATGACAATGAATTTTGATAATAAACAACAAGAACAGCAACAAGAATCTGACAATGATAATGTATATCGACGACAAATCGTTTGGCGTAATGTAATTGCAATGACAATATTACATTTAATGGCTATTTATTCATACATTTATTTTGGTCTTGATCGTCGTATCACTTGGTATGTTTTATTCTGGCCAGATATTCTTGCACGAATTTCAGCATTAGGTGTATTAGCCGGTAGTCATCGGTTATGGTCACATAGATCATATCGTGCACGATTACCATTACGAATATTTTTAATGATTCTACAAACAATGGCATTACAGAATGATATCTATGATTGGTGTCGTGATCATCGTCTTCATCATAAACATAGTGATACTAATGCTGATCCATATAATGCACGTCGTGGTTTTTTTTTCTCACATATGGGCTGGCTAATGGTACGTAAACATCCAGATGTTATCCGTAAAGGAAAAACAATCGATTTAACTGATGTTTGGGCTGATCCAGTTGTTCGTTTTCAACGACGTTTCTACATTCCATTGGTATTATTAATATGGGGTATATTACCAACATATTTCTGTCATTATGTAACCGGATATACGATGGTTGATTGTTTTTTGGGCGCCGTTATTGTTCGTTATGTTCTATCATTACATTATGCATGGCTTGTGAATTCGGCTGCACATCTTTATGGTTATAAAATGTATGATCAATCAATGGAACCAAGAGAAAATCGTATGGTCGTGTATGCCAGTATGGGTGAAGGTTATCATAATTATCATCATACATTTCCATGGGATTATTCAGCAAGTGAACATGGTTGGTCTGAATGTTTCAATATAACCACTGCATTCATCGATCTATGTGTATGGCTAGGATTGGCTTATGGTCGTAAAAAAGCTAATGAAAAAATCATACAAAAACGTATCGAACGTACTGGTAATCGTGATTATTATCGAAAATATTATGGTCCAGGAACATTGGCTGATTATTCATTAGGAATATTATCATCATATGGTTTTCTATTCATCACTTGGACATTACGTTATCTTATCAATGGACAGTTGTAATTTTTTTTTCTTATTTTAAAATTTCATCAAAACTTATATATGTGGTATATATTTAAAAGACGAAAAAAAGAAAAAAAAATCTTTTCCATGTATATGAAAATGGAAAACTTTTAAAAAACTTAATCAACCATTGAATCTGAATCGATCAATAAAAATAAAATTGTATTGGCTAATATCATCATAAATTATAAAACGCTGTTTTCATCAAACATTTGCCAAGAATCTTTCCCAAATATTTTTGTTTTCCGAAAATAGACTATGGTCGATAGTTGAGTGATTGACGCAGTTTTCCAATGCATTTATGATCGATAAATTAAGTCAAATGATTTCGATTTCGTTTGTTGTTAGTTTTTTTTCTGAAAACTAATCATCTAAAAAAATACAAAAATTCATATTCGTCACCAATGGTAACAAGTGCGATTTTTTTTCTTCTAAAATTCAACTTGATCGATTATCATATTTTTGGTTTTGGTAAAATTATACATTCAACATTCGATAAATGTCTAATCTGAAAAATTTTGATACAACAAGAAGAAATAAACCAAACAAAACCAAAAAAAAAATGTCAACTATATTGAAACTGATAAGAAAAAATCTCAGTCTTGAATTGATACGCCATAAATATGATGGAAAAATTTTTGAATTATTGTACGAAGATTTTAAAGTGTTAAAATGGTTCAATTTTCGAATGAATTTTTCATTATTCGATTATGAGAATCGATGTTTATCGAAAAATTTTGCCACTTTCAAACCAACCATATGGTTAACATCAATTTCATGGATGACCATTTTTCTTTCAATATTCATGATTATTTATCCATCGAATTCTGTATTGATTGATTTGACGATTTATGAGAAAATGTTAAATTCGAATCGCAGTGATTTAATACTGATACAAATTGTGGTTACATTCATCATTCTTGAATTATTGTGGATTGTGTTTTTGATTGAATTGTTAACTTATCGTTCACCATTATTATCATTTCTAACAATATATTTGCCAAATTATGAACATAAAATGGATGTAAAGATGCGAAAAATTTTGATCAAATTTCAAGCATTTGCAAATTTTGCAATCACTTTCAGTTATTTGAATGTCATTGCCATTATGACCATTATCGGTGTCATAGTTCCATTTCTATGTTTCGAATTATATATGAAAAATCAAATCAATTTCATCAAATTTTTTACTAGCATACCGTTTGTCATCATTATTGATATGGTAATCATATTCATCACTGGTCAATTATTTGTGTCCGGAAAATGGGCCTATTTTTCATTGATATTTTTCAAAGAACGAATCAAAAGATTACATAATGTTTCATTATTATTGATACATTATTCACATTATTCTATGGAACGAATATTTACGAATCAATTTTGTCATAAATACATTAGTTTATATTCAGAAATTTATCGTATCAATCAAACAGCGAAAATTGTTTTATTTGCACTTGAAACATTATCCAAATCTGCCATAATGATTGCCGTTGTGTTCTATAGTAGGCAGACAGAAATGTCCATCGTTAATACATTGTTCATATTCTTAATGCTGTTAATATTTGTATTCGTGAATTTTGCCTTTATTCAAAAATAGCTTGTCTTCCCAGTTATAATGAACGATGTGTACAGAATCTTCACCACTGGTTAATACGGTCACAATTTCATTCGAAATTCAAACCAATTATACGATGGAGACAATCAATGAAAGCAAATCTATTCGTACAAGCAATGGTCAATAATCGATTTGGTTTTACTTGCGGTCCATTATTTCATATTAATAAATATAAATTCTTTGAAATGTTGTTGATGAATATATCGTGGATTATACTTTTTCATAAACAAATGTGTTTAAATCATCTATAGATAGATGGTGCTATACATAAGTCTCTGAAGTTGATCATAAATAATAAATGTCATTTACAATTTAAACAAAAAAATTTTTCATTTTAAATAAATTATAATTAAATCTTGAACCGGGAACGAAATAAATGATTTGCCTGTACACTAGATTTTTTTTCGTTTTTTTTTCGCAAAAATTTTTCTTCCGGACACCATTTTTTTAAATCGTGAAAAATGTACTTATGAATCGATTGGGTTGTGAAGAAAAAAAAACGAGAATTTTCATCGATCTTGTATATATTTTTTAGCAAGAAAAAAAATTTAGAAAAAAACAGTTTAAGAATTTTTCGCACAGTTTTTCATTCAATGATCAGCAGAAAAAACGAAAAAATGTCAGCTATATTGAAACTGATAAGAAAAGTATTAAGTATTTTAAACATGTCGTTAATTTTCAAAATTTTCAAACAAAATCTAAGCTTATTATTGCCAAGGCAAAATCATAATGAAATAATCACAAGAATGTTCAACGAAGAGTTGATTTCGACCATATTGTTGACATTCAGATTGAATTTTCCGTTATCTGATTATTACTTTCATCGAGTATCAATCAATTTTGTGACATTAAAACCGGCATTCCTCATAACAACAATTTCATGGCTAACTATTTCTGTATTTTTATCAATGATTTTCTTCCCAAATAATCAGTTATTAATCACTACAAAACATTATGAAGAAATGTTTAAAACACCAGCATTGAATTTATTATTCAGTCAATTGGTTATCATGTTTATGATCTTGGAATATTTATCTTTCTTTTATATGAAAGAAACATTGATGTATCGTTGCTCATTGATAGATTTATTGGCGGTCGATATACCGGTTCAGGAAAAAAAATTCACTACTAAAATGCGACAAAATTTAATCAAATTATTTGTAATAATAAATTTCATAGCAACAATAACCTATTTGAATATGATCATCTTAATACTTTCAATTAGTATCCTTATGAATTATTTGTACTTGCCATTTTATTTAGATAATCGCATTACAATGATACAATTTTCAACTTGTTTTCTATTATCAATGTTACTTGTAATGAAAATTATATCCTTAGCTTTTCAATTATGTACATCAGGAAAATTATTCCTGTTCTATTTACTGTTCTTTATATATCGTATCAAACAATTGTACAGGATTTCATGGTCGATAATCATTGCATCATTACATTCATCATATTTGGCTAAAAAAAGATTCTGGTTTCATTTCTTCCGTGAATACATTATTTTGTATGGCACAACTGTTCGATTAAATCGATCAGTTAAAGTAGCTTTATTGATCATTGAATTGATAAACAAATCGTTGGTTATATTTGGTTGTGTATTTTACAGTAAACAAACTGGAATGACAGTCGTTAACGCCGTATTTATAATGACTGCAATATTAACATTTATTTTCACCAATTTTACATATTCACGAATAGCCCGTATACCTGAATACAATAGAAAAAGTGCTCAATATTTACTTCAATGGTTATCACGATCACAATTTCACAATACAAGGTTGGATGCTTCAATCAAACGAATGGTTGAATTACGGCCAATAATCAAATCAAATCTATTCGTACAGACAATGACCAATAATCAACTTGGTTTCACATGTGGCCATTTATTCTACATAACTAAATACAAATATAATGAATTGATCTTGATGAATATATCATTGATATTGATGTTCTATAAACAAATTTCAAATTTAGATTAGATTAACATTCATTCAAAAAAAATAATCATTTTAATAAAAGTTAAAAATTGTTTCACATGTGGTCCATTATTTCATATTAATAAATATAAATTTATAGAATTAATCATGTTGAATACACCATGGATTTTGCTTTTTTACAAAAAAATTCTTGTTGGATATTTATTCATATTAGTAGCAATAATTGGTATTTTCTTTTCGTATGGATTATATTATCAAATTGCATCATTACCATCAAATAATGAACAATGTATTCGGGCTTTATTACGATGGTTAGCACGAACACAGTGGTCAACCAGATTTATGTTACAAGGAAAATCACGATGGCATAAAAATCATCCAATCAAATGGCGACAATCAATCAAAGCAAATCTATTTGTACAAATGATGACCATTAATCGATTTGGTTATACATGTGGAAATCTATTTGAAATAAATAAATATAAATTCTTTCAATTAATGTTATGGAATTTACCATTTATTTTGATGTTTTATAAACAAATTGCTGGAATCTATTGAATAAATAATCATTAATAATTGTTTGTAATGTCCATTATTGAATGGCCATAATAAAAATTTTTCTTTTTATTCAAATATTCTTGTCACAAAAAAAGAGAGAAAAATTTGACAGTTTCCCATTAATTTCCAATGAAATTGTATGTTGAAATATCATTGGTTTTTGTTTTTTTTTCCATTTTTTTTGCCTTATTCACAATGCTATCTTGTTATGTATGAACAAACAAATTGACAGGTTAATTTTTATTTTTTGAAAGAATATCAAACCAGTTAGGTAATGAATTTTTTCTAATTAAAAAGCATACTACTTCTATTTTTTCAAATAACCCTTTCCAGTTAATAATAGTGGCATACCGCTCACCATTTATCACCGAATCATTCATTCAATGATTCGGTTATTTGAAAACAGTTCATTATATATCACATAAAACCAATTTTTGCAATTAAAATTGACATTTCAATTTAACTATTCAATTATAAATTTTACATAATGCCTACAATTCAATCAAATCGAAATGTAATTTCATCATTTTTCTGGCAAAAATATACCAATGGATCACTTGTAGAAATGTTATTGAATGATTTTTTCTGGATGAAATGGTTTTTATTTCGATTGAATATATCATTAAATGATTATTATCATCATCGGATACGAAAAACATATGAAACATTTAAACCAACCATATGGATTATACCGATTTCATGGTCATTTCTAATATTGACAATAATAATGTTTTTATGGCCATTGAATACACCATCAACCGAGCTTAAATTCTATGAACAAATTTTACGATTACAGAGTAGTGATTTGATAACATTTCAATTTTTCATCATTTGCATCATGGTTGAATTGGTATGTTTTTTTCATCTAGAAGAGATAATCAAATATCGTAGTAGATTTTTAGATTTTTTGATTATCGATCTGGCAAAATATGAACCAAAAATCAACATTGAAACACGACAATTTATGATCAATTTTTATTTTATGGAAAAATTTATAACCATTTTCATTGCATTGAATTTAATCGTAATCGCAATGTGTGGTATGCCATATTTT